AATTGTGCACATTCCCAATATGCTCCAAGCATTTTCCTGGGCATTGGCCAATGTGATGAGCTGAGCATTGAAACAATGAGCATCTTTGGACCAAGGGAAAAACAGGTGCTGCACACAACTTTGGTATTTGACATGTTCAGGCTAGTGACTGAGCAGGTGAATGAGATGGCAGCCAGGGTTGGAGGTGGAGGTGGTGGAGGTGGTATCTGCACTGGAGGCCTATGGGGCTGTTTCTTGCCCACTCTCTGTGGCTAAGTCATATCAGGTGAAAGACACATGCCACCAGTGAGCCTAATTTGGACAGATGGGTGCTGCAAATGCTGACATCTTACCTGTATTAAAATGATCAAATAGTTGGGCACATATGAAAAAAACAATATTTTGAGTCTTCATGTATGATGGACTTCAGGCACCTGCTATAGCGATCTGTGACCGATGCTAGCACGAGGTGAGAACAGACATCGAAATAAATAAGCGTCAAGACCCCTATTTAAAAGAGTGCAGAGGTTGACTTTGGCGAGCATGATTCCTGCCAGTTTCCACCCATCTTTCTTTCCAACTACCATGTCCTACCCATCCTTTCCTATGATCTCTGTCCTCAGCTACCATCCCTCCGAAGGCAATGCCGGTGTCCCTATTTTTGTCCAACTTGACTTCTACCATCCTACCCGAGAACAAATATATCTACGTCTAAACATTGGCTGGACAGTAGTCACCACTCAAGTCTCCAAGATTTCTGAAAAATATCACCGTTATCAGCTTTGTGCTACGATTCCGCACAGAATGCGTGATCTGAAGGTTGCCCTTAGCGTCGAGGTAGTTGACTCGCACAACATCGTTCTCCATTCTGTCTTCTTTGGCTACTTTACCTACGAGGAACCCGATCTTCCCGTACAGAGACCGCAAGTCGTGACCTCTCAGGCGTCTTGGGTAGCTTCGCAGCCAGTAGCGGCTTCCCAGGCGCCAGTGCTCCCCCGACCGACCAATACTACCACCAGTATACACAACCCATTGTCAGCTCCTTCTCAGACTATTTCGGACCGCAGACCAGCATCACGCCGCATTCGTGCCAATTCCCTCGTGCGCACTAACTATGGCTCTCCAGAGGACATCAACCTCCATCCCCACACTCCTATTCTCGAGATCATAACCCCTCTTGATACTATGTGCATCGGTTGGGATCCCTTCGAAGTCTTAATGGGTCGTCGACTCGTTCGTTTTCACAAGTGCCAAGATGGTTGCAAACTCATTCTTTCTTGCGAAGCTATCCGCCAGGATGACTACAGCGACAAAGACACCGTCATTTCCTGTATTTTCAGGAATGAAAGCCTCCCATTCTATGTCACCAGCGTAGATATCATTTATCTGCTCGAGAGGCTCGCCAACGAAGACTTTCCTGTCGAGGAGAAAAACCGCATAAGACGCAATTTGGAGAGGTTGAAGCCAACAACCGTCAGCAAACATAGACCTGGTTTAGACACCTTTTTCCAGCGCATCATGGAGTTCCCTGATCCCAAGCCCCGGAATATTGAGAAAGACCTCAAAGTGTTTGAATGGTCGTTTCTTGGACAGGCGCTTGAGAGAATCCTGTCTAAATATGTAAGCTATCTCTCACGTCGTCTTTCTCTTTGAATTCTGAGGACCGTTACAGTCTATCTACATACCGGATTCACCCACCGATTCAACAGCCCCGTTTCCCGCAGACCCATCCGGCGACAGCCGACTTTACCACGACCCACTCCCAATTCCTGATAACTTCCAGCACTTTCTTCATACTATCCTTTTCCCTGCTTCGCATGATAGTTCAGGTTGATTTACCGCGGCGGAGCCAGTATATGACTACAATATGGCCTGACCAATGACGGAGCAGCACCTAGCGGCATTATCGTTGAACGACTTACATGGTCATCTGACAGAGCCACCGTTGGACCTCTACCACTGACCGCCTCAGGCCTAATCATCGCTCATACGTGGTATCAATTTCTACCGTTCTTTCATCTCTCGGTTCTTATCGCTATTTGGATTTGTACATTCCGAAGACCCTATCTCTACAAGACAAGACGGACAAATTTCCTATTTCTGTACACGTGTAGCACATCACATATCACATCATCATCTCGTCGACATCAATTGTATGGTATCCACGTTCTTTTTAGTGCAAAGATTCCGCACGTTTCACTGGAATCGAAGAGTAAATTCTATGTATTGCCTCGTAAAGTTGCAGTGACGAGGAGACGAAGGCTGGTAAGAACGAGGATGACCACATTTTCTTTCGCAAAGGCGGGCAGGGTCAGTCACAATGCTTATTCCTTTATATACGTCGAGCCATGGGGGGTCCCGGAGACATGTCCAGCCCCGAGATTATATTGTTTCGATGCTCGAGATTCACATCAAGGAAAGAACACAAGAGAAAAAGGACGAGCTTGTTACTTCGTACTTCCATCCCACACTAAGCGAGTAGACATCCACCTCGACTCGGGACCCAGGCGAAAACGATTGAATGACGGGTGCTGCGCGATGCCTAGACTTCTGATACCTGGGGACCTGCAATAATAGACTATGGCCAGACTGCGAGACGTTCTTTCGGCAGTGACGCCACAGAAGTGTCCTTACCCCAACGTCGCACACAAAGGAACGGAACATCCCTTAGAAATGAAGTAGTATTTCCGGATAGACTCGCAGCTCATTCTGATGGTTTCGAGTGACTTGCAAATTGCTTGTAGGAGATTGCACGCGTAAACAAGGGAGGTCGTAGCACTTGATGATGTTAGCAATGGTGCGGCCTAAGTATTGACTTTGATGTCATGAGAAACACACATGAGTACTCAAAGAGAAACTGAGATATACGTATATGTTTCTAAAAGCATAGGACAGGGTCGCAGAATTGGAAGTTGCATGGGGTGAATGAATATACACAATCAAAGCTCTCGAACTATCCGGTTCACATCAACGCTTGCCATGAACCTCTCGTAGGCTTGCGGCGTCGTAATATCTCAATTCCGGAGAGCACGAGTGAGCGATAAAGGAATGAACTCGGTCGTGATAGAGCTTCATCTGCATTCTTGATTCAAGACTAATTGCCCAGGCTGAGCGTTATCTAGCGTTATCTCCTAGGTTGTTATGAATCACTACCTTGCGCATGTACAACAAAATCTCTCTGCAATCGAGTTCTCTCCTCCTTTGGCCCGCCACGCGTATATGAATAGGACCGTCCTCCTTCCCCGCTTTCGCGAAGACTTGGTCTTCATGGTCTTCTCTTTTGTCCGTATTCGCAAACGGCTACCAGCTGGTCAAGTCGAGCTCCGCGACGGACCTAGCGTCTAATCCTGTGGCGCAGCATCAACCTCGCTTCACACGTCCACCGCAAAGGGTCCAGACATACAACACCAGAAGTTTCTGCAGTATGCCCTTCAAATAAGTATCGAAAGCACGAAAATGAATTGAATACGTACCTGCATGATGTATCCTTGTAGAAAGGACGCGGACAATGCCGCGCCAGAAAGGATCGACCGGTGCGGTGACCTCAAATTCAGCCAATCGTCACTGTCATCCTTCATGCTCATACTGTAACCGGATCGCTTAAAACTGTGCTACAGACAACTTCCAAGGCGACGCTGGATTATTCGTATTTGGCTAGTATACGCGATGATGTGTCTTCGAGCAACATGTTTGAGGCTGGTTCCTTGCAAATGGAAATTCATTTTCATTTGGGACATTAAATTTTCGTTCTTCGTCTCGTGCTCATTTTCCCGGTACTGAAAAGAGTGACGGAACAGTTTTAAGATACTCCCTGTATCGTATCGAAGACAAAAAATAAAGCATGAGGCTCTCCTCATATCTGGGTGGGAGTCGAACCCAATACACACGTGCTCAGATGGATGCACTATGTACCACCCCTTCCTTGGCACAACGATCTTCGCAAATTTCGAGCCACTCATGAAAATTTCTTCCTCTTCTGCAAGGACAATGTGGGAAGAAATCGGATAGCACAAGGTCATAATTGAAAGTTACATGATTTACATATAGGCGAATACACAGGATCAAAGCTCTCGAACCATCCGCTTCATTGGCATGAACTTCTCGTAGCCTTTCTGCATCATGACATCTAGATCCCATCGTAACGGCGGAGCCGCATTCGTAGGACAAGTGAGTGGCGGAAAGAGGATCTAAGTCTATAGCATAAACATAATGCTCACCATGAATAACAGGATCTATTGGATGAGCTTCATTATTGGAAACTTAAGAGCATCTTGAAGCTTGCGCTCCTCGGAAAATGTATGGCATGGTTGAAAAGTAAATTCCATGCTTCGTCTGGTAAAATCACAGTGACGAGGAGATGAAGGCCTGCAAGGATGAAATAAGTCTACCGTCTCATCTGCAGAATCCAAAATGTTATTTTACTGTGGTCTCCATCTTAAGACTGTGCCCAAGTTCCGTAAGACAATACCGCCCGCTGATGGCTTCCTTAAGGTCTGGACGACGATCCAAATACATCGGCAATGTGCCAAGGCCAAGATTGTCACAATGGAGACATCCATGGCAAAGGATCGTTGATGAGCTCCCAATACCCGGGTGTAAGATTAAGGGTATTGTCGGCCATTAGATCGTTTGGTGGTAATGAGTGCGTTCAAAGATTGATCGGGAGTATTGATACTTACTGAAATGTTGCACGACATTCTTGCACCTTGCATATGTACGTTCACTTTATTCTTCGAGTGGCATATTTTCAGGAAGAATCTACCACAAAGATGTCATCGCCAGCTGGGATGTAGAGCGCATTGAAGCAATAGGTTTGTTTACTGGGTGATGAGGCTTAGTCGAAACAGAATGAAAGGTAAATATAAACACCAGCTCGTCAGTGTTTCGATGAGATCTGACGTTTACGGAAGTATCTGGCTAGCTAAGTAAATACAGGCAGGAAGTTGGTTGTATATCGCTGAAAGTATATCAACAAGTCACGACAGTACCCCATCATGATGCGCAGGTAGAGGGAGAAGCATTTAGAATATGACAGAGCCCGACGTGAGGTCCGAGAAGGGTGCGGTCATGGAATATAGGAAGGCCTACAGAATCGTGTTCCGAGTGGTGATAACCTAGATGGGTGAAGAACGCGAACGCAACCTGTACCGTGAGGCGAGAAACGATACACCGCATATCCAATCGCGGTGGACCAGCGGTGTCCATTCCGAGAATTCGCCGATCTGACATTATCACTATGGACCAATGTGACCTTTCCCAGAAAGAGACGCCCAGTTCGCAGAGATGTATATGTCAACGACTACCAATTCCATTGACAATGATCACGTTGGCCCGGCGGTGCTGTTTTCCACATTGATCCCGAGTCCGGAAAGAGACATCGCGTCAGCTTTCGATGCTAGGAGCTACAAGCAAAATTCTGTCACCCTGTCCACTTCAAGCTCCATTTAAAGGGGGTCAGCACCGATACGAGAGGAATGTCGAATACGTTGGCCGGCTCGGACGTGGACCCCTGACATAAGAGTACAGGTACACGAAATGGACCTGGATTTCGCTATCCTCGTTTTCTGATCAGTTTCATTACTATTGAGGACAGGTTAAGATTCCTTACAGGGAAAAAGAAACAATGCATCTGGAAATCCACACGTCTCTCTAGCCCATTGCTATTCTGGATAATTCTCTAGATGACGACTGATTCTAGAGGTACACTCTGCATCCAAACCACCTCGTTGTCACGCGGTCCTCAGATTCGTGAGAAGACTTCATGCGTGCGCCACCGTGCTCCATTACCCCGTCAAGCAGTAACATCAGATGGATCTATGCAGATGTTGGATGGTGAAAGATGGTGAGGAAATCAACCTTGTCCACGTATACCTCGAGACGTCTCCAGCTCCTCTAGTCATGCCGCAGAGTCAGATCCGAGATAGCATCCTAAAATTTGACGCTAGGTCCGTCACGTTTCTTTAACCGGCGGATGGACGAGCCATCAAAAGAGAAGATCATGAAGACTAGCTCCTGGCGAAATCCTAGTGCGAAGGTTTCAACGTACGCCCCTTCCGATGAGCGTTCTCTGTTAGGGCATTGACCATCGTCTAAAAACCGGCAAATTCTGCAGTGTAGCCTTCGGATACTTATCGAAAGCACAAAAACAAACTAAATACGTACTTCGATCCTTTGCAGTGGACGTGTGAAGCGAGGTTGATGCTGCGTCACAGGATTAAACGCTAGGTCCGCCGCGGAGCTCGACTTGACCAGCTGGTAGCCGTTTGCGAATAGGAGCAAAAGAGAAGACCATGAAAACCAACTCTTGGCGAAACCGGGGAAGGAGGACGGTCCTATTCATATACGCGTGGCGGGCCAATCGAGGGGAGAACTCGATTGCAGAGAAGTGTTATTGTGCATGCGCCAAGTAGGAATTTATACCAACCTAAGAGATAACGCTCAGCCCGGGCAATTAATCTTGAATGAAGAAGGATATAACTTGTTCGTGGTTTGCCAGACGTCTGAGAAGAAAACAAAGGCTCGTCTTCAGGGCTGGTCATTTCAAATTAGTACAACGACCATACCAACTTGTCAGCTTCTAAGTCAGCTTCCAATGAACTCACCCCACGGCATCGAGGACCCGAAGGCACCAGTATCGGAGGTCCGAGATTGGACCTATACCCTAGCGAGTACGATCGCATATACCGACGAGTCGTCACTGATCGCCACATTGCAGATAGGCACTTTCGGCCTCGAGAACGTTGTAGCTTGGAGGGATAGAGCTTTGGCGACTCCTCGGAGTGAGAGAGGTGTGATGATGCTTACCTGCGAGGGAGAGATTTTGGTGAGTGCATCGTTCTGGTACCGAAGCTGCGGAGCTCATCGGTGATAGAGGAATCATATGAAAGTCACCGAGCAAGTTATGGCCTGGAGGAGCAATATCGATGTCGTACCGAACCATGCGCCACCTATACATCCCTTCGATTCCCATCGACGTCTGCTCTCGATTCTGAACGACTCCTCCTACGATCCCAGCGAGGTCCCAGACGACACGCCAACACTCAATGCTCATGAGTGGGACCGGTGGTTCCTTCTGACGCTCCTCGGCAAGCAACGGTATGACGACAGGAAGGCGTCGGAGGAACGAGAACTACTCTGGCGCGCCATACAACACGACCCACTCACCGATCCCAACGACTGGCTGGACTTCATGCGCAGCAAGAGGGACGACGAGACCCAGCACCATCGCGCCATGCGCGATGAACAGACAAATGAAATATATGACAATATGACATCGATCAGTCCATCGGCGTTGGCGACGATGATGCTAGACCACTCGTACCAACCATCCGCCGCTGCCTCACCACCAGCAAGAGGCATACCAAACAACCTATCCAGCCTGTCCGCCTCCACCTCTCGCCCTCAATGATGGCTATCCGGCTCGGTCCTCAAGTTCATAGGCTTGTTCGTTCAGGTTGCGTAATATCTATCTACAGAGCAGAGGGAGCTTCGGGCAAGCAGGCAGTGAGGCAGAAGATGCAGCTATAACGTTTTATTCACTTTCTTGAAGTAATGATATCCGTGATGAACCGACCTTTGACAGCTTCCTAGGACCGTGAGCAAGATATCTTCACACCGGTAGGTATCGGGTAGGTGCTCCAAGAGCAATCTGCGGTCCTTTCCATCGGTAGCGGGAATGCAGGGTAACGCTCGTCGACCTCGTTCTCGCCAGATGGTAAGAGACGCCGGCAGCGAGTTCTGCTGTCGTGGTGGAAGGAAGGGAAGAAGGAAGGATGATGGTCTGCCGTCACAGTCACGGTCTTCCTTGCTCCCCACGTCCGTGAATAATCCCATCCCGCTCAGCATTATCAGTGTTTCCTGTAGTGCTTCCCTTTCAGACAATAGACGCTGTCCAAAGTGCTGAAGATAAGGAATAGTGCGCTTTATGCTCCATACTGGCATCGCTTTGTTGTTGACCAGCGAGAAGATTCTAGCTTCTGTAGACCTGGCTCTTTTGCCTCTTCTCTACTGGTACTTTACACGTTTGCGATAATACAAAGCACAAATTATTTGGCTTGGTGACAATGATATTGCCGTTAACTGGTGGAAGGAAAAACTCGGTACGTCGTCGTGCAATGACAATCTCCGTCCTCTTAAAGCTCTCTTCAGGTATTGCTTTTGGTCGCAAAAGGATGACTTGCCACTGGAGGGTCCACCATATATGCTAGACGATGATGGACCGTGCCAGCGATAGTTACCGAAGGCCTCGATGGAGTCATACGAAGACATCCAGCTCTCCTAGGATTCAGTGACACCTCTCCCGAAATCCTACCCTCCGTATATACGCTTTGACCCACCTCGCAACGTCCTCAACCCCAAAAGGCGAAGGCAGAGCTCCAGTAACGAAGAAGAATGAACATCGAGCGACTTCTCGGTGCGCCATTCGTTCAATTCTTCTATTCCGCTGGTCTTTACACATTTCTCAAGGTCTCGAGATAGCGTCTCTGGTTGAGATCCTGACAAAACAGAATGGACGTTGATAGCATTCCCCAAAAGAAACCTGTAGGAGGATTCCACAGCGGGTGCGTTCGCATTTTGTTATCCTTACACCTTTAGAGTTTCCTGATGTACTCGCAGAATTGTCAGATTTCTATTTGGTTTCTCTCTGGCTTCTTCGTCCGCGGCATTTCACCTACTAGGGGAGTTCAAGATCTTCCTGTTTTTACGACGGTTATGTTGGAACGCAACCATCAGTGATTCCTGCTCCAACTCCATGGACTTGCCCCACAGCCTCGTGCTCCGGTGGGATGGCCCTACTGCGACGCGGCGAACGCTCGAAAAGCAATGAAAGAACGAAATTAGCACCTATATCCCTTTCTTCCATACCAAATGTCCATGTCAAAGGCAGTTTGAGATAAAATCCTTAACGATTCACAACTTGGAAAGAACTTGACAGAGAATGCAAGCTCCTGGGCACCGACAACCATAATTGTGAAAAAAACGCACTGATACATTCCTTGAATATCTTAACACACATACAAAACTACAGCTTCGTCCTGTAAGCCTGCTTGCCACGGCTTAGGAAGCTCATCAGCCGGGCATCAAACATGGTTCCCCCCCGCACCTCTCACCTATAACCAGTCTTCCCAGGTACGACCCCAAAAGCAGGTCCTCCCTTCCCAAACATTTTCCTCAAATCATCCACCAACGCCTGAGGCTTTTCATGCGCCGCAAAGTGTCCGCCGCCAGCATGTTCAGATTCAAAAACGACGTTACTGGTGGTATGACTCCAGCTGTGTGACGACGGCTCAGTACAGGCTTCTGCTCCGGGACACTGTATGAAAAGTACTTACAGACGAGGGAGAGAGATAAGTTCCTTCGGAAAGTACGATATGCCATGTGGAATAGCCGGTTTTTCTCCCAATACAGACTGCAAAGGGAGCTCAGACGACCCGAAAACCTCGTAGTATATGCGTATGGACGCTGTAGGACCTGATCGCGAGAACAAATAGATGGAGATCCATGTTAGGACTGGAAAAAAAAAACACATATCCAGATAAGCGACAATTGGGAGAGTGAATAAGTTTCCCGGGCCACCACCCCCACCTCACCTTCGTCATCATCCCAAGGGTACTCATCTGTCCAGTTGACGAGCTTTTCGAAAATCCACGCGAGGAGACCTACGGGAGAATCGGCGAGCGAATATCCCAGTGTTTGGGGCTGCGTAGAATGTTCCGCCGAGTAGCCGGTGCCTTTGGCGCGGAACCACTGGGCGCGAGCGAACCCGGCTTTCTCAGCAGCTGTGTACGGCGTCAAGAGGTGCCGTAGGTACAGTATGGGCTCGTGCAGAGTCGGAGGGCGACCGCTGTAGACGATCAGGATCGTCGAATGATGAAGCGAAGAAGGATACTTGCAGAGCCATGTTGCTATGCCAAGCTTTGCTATGCTTGCCCCCGTAGACTTGAGCGATTTTTCGCGTGATCTTTGCGATTGCGGTTAGCATGGTAACAATAGATGCTTCAACTGAAGACAGCACTCACCATGCTTCCCCAATCTCCACCTTGAGCGACTGGAAGCGTAAAATTAGAAGACACATCCGAAAGGGTAGTCACGGACACGTACCATATTCATTGTAGCCCAGAGCCAGCATGAGCTTGTTGGCAACCTGCGATGTTCCTTCGGGTCAGCGATATTGAAATGTAATAACGGTCACCGTCGGTGGAGAGCAGCACCTCAGCATACTGTGCAAGTCGAAATCCTTGCTTTTTGCTGGCCTCTGAAAACCCGTACCCCGGCAAGCTGAGCGCGACGACATGGAAACTCGGATGGTCCGGCGACGACGCCGTCAGAAGTGGGAGAATCTTGCGGACTTCGATGAAGCTTCCCGGCCCTGCAAGGTAAAAGTTAACACATGAGCCAATCAAGTAGCAGCAAGCCAGGTACAGCCATGAACGAAGAGCAACGGCACAGCACCCTCGACCTCGCTCTTCTTATGCACATAGTGAATGTTCAGCACCCCAAAACCCTCGACCTCAATGTCGCGGGTGAACTGCGGGAGCTCCGCGTTGAGAGCGGCCTCTTGAGCTCGCCAGTCGAAGCCGCCTTTCCACCGAACCACCAGACGTTGAATATCCTTCAACGGCGCGCCATATTTCGTTCCGGAGTCTTCAAGTTCATCCGGAAATGTAACCAACGCAAGTTTCTGCTGTAGGAGCTTGAGTTTCTCGTCCGGGATGGATATTTTGAAGGGTGATTCTGGTGATGCCATTGAGGGATGCTGTAACCCAGGAATGTCAGCTTTTATACAACAACACCCACCGGTCATAGCGCTTACCTCCACGGCCCGTCGGAGAAAAGGATGCACTGCCGAACCGAAATATCGCAGGGACGAAGCTTTGACGTTGAACAGATAGGACAGAGCACAAAGCTAGATGTAGTCACTGGATACCGTTCTTCTCACACTTCGGCCCGAACTTTTTTTGACAACACCGTAAGCGATGTAAGCATAAGTACCTTCCACACTGAAGTTAGTACATGGCGTCAAGTCATCTAACCAAAGCTAAAATCCGCGAATAGTCCTCCCGAACACTCTGGAACGTTTCCTCCAGCTTCTCCAACCGCTCGTCCTTCTCCAGCTGCGCAAGAGTTTCCTGTTGACAGGTCATATTAGTGTCTGTCATACAGACGGGAAGGATACTCACAAAGTTAAATCTGTAGAGGCGTTCTTTGACTTGAAGCCGATATGCTCGAAGGTCAGCTGGGTCTAACCGCGACAGGATGAGCATCTCAATCAGACGATGGAATTGGCGCTGTTGGGTTCTTTGTCAGGTTCGACCACAGCTGATAGAGGAACACCTACACCGGCAATCTTGAGTTCCCGTCTCCACTTCTCTGCCCAATGCTTGTCAACCGGAGGTCCGAGTTTCCCCTTCTCGGAATGTCCGCCACGACCACTTCGACCACTTTTACCTACCCCGCCAACTCGCCCCCCACCGTGCGATAGGCCATCGCCACCGAATCCTTCTTGCATAAACTTGGTGTGGGCAAAGAGCATCTGTAAGTCGTTTTTGTCGCGAAGGTCTTCAAACGCTTCAGCAGGATCTTCCACTGTCAGTTCTGCTATATGACCTTGAGATAGGATGTATTGATAGATGGCTGAATATAGCGCAGCTGTAAAGCATTCAGTGAGCCAAAAAATCGCCTTTGCCGAAATGACCCTTGACCCTTACATCCGTGGGCTTTGTCGCTGATATGAGGAGAGAATAACGAATTGACTATGAAATTTCATAAATGAATGTTAATGAACTCATGCCTGTCGACGTACCTCAGTCGTAACCTGAATTTTTCTGGGAAATGGTAGAAGTTGTACAGGGACGAGTAGCCCACGAAATGATACGTGAAACTTCCATCCCGCCGTCTGCGTTTCTCGTATCTAGAAAGCAAGTCATAAGCATGATCAGCGCCGACAACTGAGCACGACGCACAAAACGACAAATTCCCATTGATCTTCATCTTCGTTGATATAAGACCCAGCTTCGATATATAGCAGAATAAAAAGTTGCATTCGTCGATGATATTCTCTAAACCCAGGAGTGTGAAATGTAGTCTGAAACCATAGCCTTTAGCTATGCGGACTGGACAGCGTAGCGCAACAACTCACACGATAGACCTCAAAATCGATGATATGCTGTCGCCACTCTATCATCAAAGGCCCCCAGCGCGATGGAACGTCGCAATTGGAGGAAATATCTGAACCTTTTTCCCGGTGGTTTGACCGTGGGACCTCTTGGGACAAATCCTTCATCGTCGATTACATCAACAAAGAAGCAAACCTAAATTTCACCAAAGTCATACACCTCTCGGCTCTAAATCTACTCTTCACCTTGCGTTTGGCCAAAATCGATGTCTCCCCTCTTGAAACCCTCCTTACCGGCTCTTTCACCTTCGATTCGTAAACGCCGTGGTACCCAGGAAGATCTTTTGGCCAAGTGATCTCCGAACCATGGACTTTGCGGAACAAGGAGGAGTAGGCATCATTCGACTATATGCGAAAGCCGACATGAGTCTTGCACATCGAAATAGGAACTTAGGTTGGGCTGGGTAGAGCCCATTCATTGAATCACTCACAGCTGTGTTTATGTCTGAGTTCATTGTAATAACTTATCAATGACAAGTTGTACGTCATCATAAAGTATCGAGGATCATCCTCGTAATCGTAGTAGACTGTGATGGTAATCGCTGTCGTTTGTGGGGTCTCTCTGTGCGTTTACTGGCGAACTATGGATGGTCAGTTGCGAGCCATAGAAAACCCGAAGCAGAGACTTACCCCTACTTCTTCGCTTGTCTGAGAGCTACCAATCACTGGTTGCACATGTGGCGACCATTGATGTCGGCCTTGAGCTTCGTCTTGTCCACCTTCAAATTCCTTGTACCGGCGCTGCTTGAATATTTTAGTAAATGTGGAAGCTTCTTTGACGAGAGAAAGCGAACCCAAATCTCGAAGTACCAGTTTCCGATTCGATCAGGGTGCTCGTCATCACAGTACTCCCTGAAACCATCCGGAGGTGAGGGGTATTTGTCCTATACAAGAATTCAGTCGCCGTGCAATCTGGATATGAACTAACGCACTCTCGCATAATTCCACCAATCTCCCTCTTTTCTGGAACGCATCCAAATTCTTAAAGCCATATCTCGATGAGTCAAAAATGGGCCAGGAATCAGAGCATCATTACCAAAGGAATGCTGTAATTCCTTTGGAAAGCTTCTTATGAACGTCTGGCCAATAGCTGTGACCTTCAACTGCTCCAAAGCATATAGCTCTCCAATAACGTTTCGGAGGGCTCTCTGCATGAACCGGTAGTCATCCCGACTAATATCCGTCGCTTTCATATTTACCGAGTCAGGTAGGCCTGGCCACTGCTTCTCGATGAACGCCTCGTTGCTGGACAATAGATATTTCTCATGACTTTCGGGAAGTGGCTGAAAAGAGAGGAAACAATAGAGCTGATATCGGGTGTCCTCGAGAAGGCTCAGGGCTTTGTGGTATTTAGCAACTAATCGATCGTATCCTTCCGCCCTCATGTACAGGTCATTCAGGCAAGGTTCCGTGCAAGTGCAAAGAACAAAGGAACGCAGAGGTCGCTTGCACGGGCAGCTACTATGCCAAGGCGAATAGTTGTTTTCATTGTGCTGTGAGGTATGGGTCAGACCGGGTTTCATGGGGATTAGTATGCTTACCGAATTTCTCATCCGCGTATTCATCAAAGAGTCCGCCTCATGGCACATACAACTGGGGCATAGTAAATTCATCTTCATTATTTCGGGTGCCTGGAAATGTTGTCTACAGCCGCCACAACGGATAGTTACACTCCCTGTCTTTGACGATCCGTATTCTTTCCACTGTATGACTTGTTTCTACATGCAGGTTCAATACAGCCTTTGTAGAAGAATATCATGAGACTCGCCTCATAGCTTTGAAGTGCAGATTGGACGGCATATTGGAAGTTATGAGCCTCCAAGGCTTCGGTTGTAAGTGGCTGCGGTGGCATATAGATGGACAAGATAAAGCTTGATGGTTCTTTCAGTCAGGGTGTGACATTTATAGGCACAGATCGCATAAATGATAGCATCTTAAATCCGGCCTTGGTGACAAACAAGGGGCGTGGATGAAATCTGGATCATAGAACGACCATCGATGGTAGGATTTTCCTTTATCGTAGACAGACGCTCAAGGACTCGTTAACAGTATACGAAAGGATATAGGTCTGACTTTAATTGATTACGAGCCTCGAGAAGGTACTGAACCACCCTGAGTCGGAAACAAAGACCATTAACAGAAGAATGAGGTCGGTGGAAGGGCCCTCAATGGTAGATGGTAGACTGTGGCCTGTCGCAAGGGGGTGGGGTCAAGAACTGATGATGTCCTGGACGCCTTCAGACGGACAATTACACTACATAGGCGCAGCAGTCATCCCATGACACTCTTCATGGCAACCGAGCTCACGACGATGTCGTCGATAACGGCATGCTGTTTCGAAAGGTCGTCTCTTGTCGCGATAAGGGCCTTTTCTTGATCTAGTTTGTAATACTGATGTACATTCATTCATACTAAGTGGCTGTAACATGGATAATGTTTGAGGGCAGCTTACTTTCTTGATCGTGGTCCAATCGGTGAAATTCTGGAGGGAAGACAATGGCAACATAGTTCCGTCTACCACACGTGCAAGTTTCTCTTGTACTGCCGACGTGGACAGCCCAGCATTTGATACGTGGATAACAAGAAGTGAAATAGTCTTGTCTGAAATTCCGTATCGACGGATGGCTTCTGTTATCTGCACATTGATGAGCTTGAATTCTGTCTCGCAGAGTATACAACACACGTTATTGGTTGGATTGAGTGCCCACAGAATCTCGGAATGAACAGTTTTTGTCCGCAACGATCCCTAAGATTCCGTGAGGATGGCTTGGTATATCGCAGTCTCTAGATGAAGCCGGCTGGTAATCTAAGAAAATTGTCGTCAAACCAGCCAGTGAAGCATGAAATGATACCGACTAGTGTCGCATCGACAAAGGCAAAATTCACCTCATCTCGTTCTTTTTCGCCTTCGTGACCATCTGCTCTGGCGGCGGCGACAATCCGATTCCTAATATTGCTGGAGTTGTTGACAGGAGAATACAGCGCGATATGGGCGACTTGATTGTGGTCAAGGTGGGCGAAAGTGAAGACATCCATGGAATCACGTTACTCTGCTCCTTACCACCAACATGAAATTCGGCCGACTGTTCCACGACCTCCCTTCGGTCGCTGCTCCCCACATCATTGGTGCTGACACGCACCGCCGTACCCGTCAAGACCTCGGTATTGACACCCGATAATTTCGACACGACCATCGCCCGTGGCGTCTGGTTCATCGAGTATTTCTCTCCGTACTGTGGTCACTGTAGAAAATTCGCTCCGGCCTTGGAACAGCTTGTGACGATGAGCGCAGAGGGAGTGCCGAGTGTGAAGCTTGTGTAGGTCAACTGTGCAGTAAATGGAGGTGCGTTGAGGTGCTCTCGATTGTCGTGCATTACTAATTGCGACAGTAGATCTCTGTTCAGGAAATGGTATCAAGGGATATCCTACGTTGAATTTGTACAAGGATGGAAAACTTGTCGAGCCGTTCAAGGGCTCCAGAGATCTCGACATTTTGGTGTCGTTCATCAAGAGTCATGCGCCACCACCACCGCCGTCCCAGCAACAGCCCATGGTTGAGAAGCTCCCGAATCCAAAAGGAGTCGTTTTGTCACTGGATGATAACACATTTGAAACCACCCTTTCCGAGGGCCCTGCTTTCATCAAATTTTTCGCTCCATGGTAGGTGGCGAAGTCTTCCATCTCGAATAACTTGATTGACGTTCGTTTGAAGGTGTGGGCATTGCAAGAAGCTTGCTCCGACATGGAAGAAGCTAGCAAAACAAATGCAGAACTAACTGACCATTACCGAAGTCAAATGCGAGGATCACAAAGCTTTATGCACCTCCCAGGAAGTGCAAGGATATCCATCACTAATGTACTATTCTATTACTGGCGCCAAGAATGAGTACACAAACGGACGAAAACTCGAGCAGCTTGCTGCCTTTGCTGAGAGGGCCAGCGGCCCGTCAGTGCCGTCTCCGTACCCCGTTTTTCCCTATTGACTGCTGTTTCAGGGCCATGAAGGCTATCGACCCAGAAGATCTTGAACATTATATCGCCAAGGACGACATCATCTACGTCCTGCTTCACACCGATAATGATATCGTAACCTACCTGACCCCCACCTTCTCTTCTCTCCTTGGCTCGCCCACCGTCTACACCATCGCGAACGCCTCTGAATCTCTAACTGCTCGATATTCCATCCCCGCCTCATCCGCTTGGTCTCTGATCGCATTCAAAGATCACGACTCTGACACACCGACCTCTGTATACACTACCATGGACGTCAACGGCGTCCTCACCTGGCTCCTTGCAAACAGACTACCATCGACATCAGAGTTGACGCAAGATACGTTTCAATCGATCATGAAAGCTCCCTCCCACCCGCTTGTTGTTCTTGCGGGCGTTTCCGCAGAGAAGAAGGATCTCGTGAAGCAGAGGTTCGAAGAGATATCCGCGTCCTTCCGTTCAAAAAGTAGTGTAAACCGAGAGGTCGTGTTCGCATGGATGGATATTGAACGGTGGAAGGACTGGATGAAGAGCATGTATGGAATCAAGACACGGAGCAAGGCATTGGATGATGTGGAGGTGGTTATTGCTGATCATCATGCATTGATCTATTGGAACGTCGACGCCGAGGGAAAGCCTATCAATCTATCGAATGAGAAGGGGATGTTCTCGGCTATCGAAGGAGCTGCCAGGGGCAAGATTACACCCCTACATTCTGAAAATACTGTGGAAAGACTAGCGAGGGTATGTTCTTCCTCTTACACATATACATAAGGAATGCTGACACTTCTGAGCAGTATTTAAATGGCAAAGCAGTAGCCATTGAAGGCTATGTGGTGAACAATCCACTCCGAACGGTCTTTTTCGTTGGTTTTGGCTTTGTCGTTGTTATTCTTGCTATAAGGAGGTGGATTTTGTCGGATCTCCCGGATGATCGCCATTATCGAGGCAAGGCCGGTCGATTGGATTGAGAGATTGCTGCGGACAGTTGTACTTGTATCTTCTGTAGATTCTTGGTGATGTCGAAACATCTATAATCACTTAATGCATTTCACTCGCTTCACCATAGGTCCATAAGCTGGCATGCATTACATGTCCGTACATGCTGGTATATATCCAGTCACAACACCTGCGACGCAAATTTCCAAGGGAAAATTTTGGGTGAAAATAGCTACGCGAATACGTGACGATGCTGTAGCTGCCAGTAAGCATCGCCCGGTCAAGAAGATCGGAGGAAACACCGGAATTGCTTGATCACCGAGGAACTCTGTCCATCCGAGAAGGTGGATATCTGATTCGCCTTGAGAGTTGACGTTCTTCATATTCAGTCTTCATCCGTTCCCTCGCAGCTAAGAGTTCTTCCCTTCTCATCCTCAGTTTCTGAACCTCTTTTGCGAGGTCCCGGGAGGACTTGATCTCATCTCGTTCGCTACTGTGTCGGGTCGCGATAATAGAAAGCGGGTTAGGGGTGTAGTTTAGGTCGTTAGGAGGTTGGTCGTTGATGTAGGCCGTGACGTGAGATTGCAGAGTTTCAATTTGAGCAGTGAGAAGATGGGTTTCGAGCTGGTACCGCTCGACGCGACTGTATCGATCCTTCCCAGTCGCCGGGCGATAGAACTGATGTAATGGGACGGCAACAGCTGAGGAGAGGTCTTGATGAACAAGAGCTGGAGGATTGTGTGATATGTGTTCCATTCTCTTGGTGTATGATTACGTCTGAAGAAGTAGGTGAGAAGTCCCTAGCACGCAGAGGAATTACCTTTGCGTACTGGCGCTCCGTCTTAAATAATGATTCCTGGCACCATTGTACGTGGGTAGAGCTATCATAAAGAAGAATTGCTTTTTGTATCCGGTAGGGTAAGAGCGACAATAGCATCGTGACGAGTGGGCCTCTGTGCGTGGGACGAGACTGCATCCCGGGTCAAGCTCCGCCGTCTGGGATGAAAGGGGTTGCTCGTAGGAACGGTGTGGGTCTATGCTCTAGGAGTTTAGCCTCGCAACTCATGACCTCGATCTCTCAACCGCATGGAGATAATGACAATATTACATCCCGCGCACCCGGAAATTCGGAGTAGCACGCTGTTTCACAAAGGTTCCAGCCGCTCAATTCTTTCGTCAAGTGAGTTCCGTTTCTCCTTTGCTGCTTCCCCGTCCTCAACTTCTCCTTTCGTGTTCTCTTCTCCCAGCGTCTACCACGTTTATCACCACTATGGCCGCCGCTAATGACTCGCTTGCCACTCTTCCCATCAGCGCTCCGTACCCTCCTTCGCCTGTCGAGGCCAGGTGCTTCTATTACGGCTTACCCTCTCGGCCGACTTTGGTCGCTCGCTCCAGCGCCGACATCTGGGTCGAGCCGATGGGCCCCGAAGCATACCTTATTCCCAAGGAGTCTAGTCCTGTCGGCCTGCACCCTCTTAGAGAGATCTGGGAGGCCACAGTTGGTCCTGCCATGATTGACTATTTGGACTTCAAGGGGGTGAAGATGACAAGTCTGGACCCAGTTCGCATGGGGTATGTTGATGAGTCTTCCCCTCCCGTTATCATATGGATGGGAGTTGTCCCTGGCTCTCTCTCTGCCAAGGATGGTGTGGAGGTTGCAACTCACTGCAAGAATATCCTTTCTGCTTACAACATAAATGATGTCCATGTTGAAATTCGTGAGTCAGAGATCAGCTACTCTGCTGGTCCCAAGATGTACAGGCCTTTCTCCACCTACAATGCTACTGCCCAGGCCCAAGAGCCTTTCTCCACTGCCCTTGGTCTCCCTATCTGTGCCAAAGATTCCCCAACCATTGAGGGAACTGGTGGATTCTTCATCTCAGACCCTCGCAACCCTGGCAAGATTTATCTTGTCACAGCCAGACATGTTGTCTTCCACTCTGATAGGGATTCTAATGAGCTCTACCAGCACTGCAACTCCAGCCAGCCTCATAGGGATATCTTGCTGTTTGGTGATGCTGCTATTGAGAAGTATATCAATGCCATTGAGTTTGAGATCGGCAGGAAGCATATGATTATTGAGGATCTTTGGGACCAGTTAGAGTATGCTAAGCAGAAGGGTGAGAAGAATGCTGTGGCAAAGCAGAAGCATGTTCTGCCTCAGTTGGAGGAGGCAAGCAAGGCAATCAGAGCCCTCAAGAAGTTTCTTGCAGATGTCTCTAGGGACTGGAAAAAGCAGGAGAACCGTGTCCTTGGCCATATTGTCCTGTCTCCTCCTATTAGTTTTGGTGTTGGAGAGGAAGGGTTCATGGAGGACTGGGCAGTGATTGAGATTGATGATTCCAAGATCAACCTGAACAACTTTGTTGGAAATGTTATTGACCTTGGCACTACCATCCCTGTCGAGAAGTTCACAGTCCAGATGTTTCCTGATGCATTGAGGACCTGGGTGCTTTTCAACTCTATCGACCCATCTTTATCCAGGTTTCTAGAAAACTATCTCCTCAAGTTTGATGGCACTATTTCAGATGAGGAAATGTGGAAGCCTAGCTGGAAGACTGTCAATCATGACAATGATCCATGCATTATGGTCATCAAGCGTGGCTATGCTTCTGACCTCACCATCGGACGCCTCAACACCATCCGTTCCTTCACCAGATTCTACTTAAAGGGCCAGCCCATTCAGACATCGAGGGTAGTCACCATTTTGCCTTTCAACTCTGAGTCACATGCCTTCTCCAGCCCTGGTGACTCTGGCTCAGCTGTCGTTGATGGCAAGGGCAGGTTGGCTGGCTTGCTCACTGGTGGTGCTGGAGACACTGAAGAGTTCGACTGCACCTATCTTACCTCTATCAACTTCCTCCTCAAGTGTATGTTGGAGCATGGTCTCAAGGCTAACCTCTCTCCCTCCCTCAATGCTTAAACACCATCTGCTCTTCAGATCCTGAAGCCAGCTTATTTCTTCCTCTCTTCAAGTTTTCCATGACTTCTTGTCATTCTCTCTTTCCCTGTCTTCCCACCTGTTTCTTCTTGTATGATCTCATTTTTTTAACTCTTCATTCTTCTTTATCTATGGACTCATTGTCAGAGACTAGGTACCAGATACTTCCTTTGTATGGCATTCAGTCTCATGCTGGATGTGATGTGGCTTCTTTCACACTATGGTATTAACCCCTTGTCTCCTTCTCTTACTTGATTACTTATGATGTACTTACACCTATGTGATATGCTGCTGCGAAATGGTATTGTTACTTTGCAAGTTTTTCCTTACGTTTGATGGACTGAAGTGCCTCATTTACTACTAACCTTAATACTAACATAACATTGTTTCCTCTTGTTTCAGCTTCTCTCCTCTTGATGCCTCCCTTCACTTCTCTTCTTTCCAAGTTTCCTTTCTTGACTTCTATTTGCAGTTCTATGGCGCGGGGCAAGGTTCCAGAGGCCACTTTGAGCCACATGATACCCGCGCGGACTTCAGCGCATCAAGGAAGGTAGCCAATTAAATCTCTTTCTCTTAAGCCATCATCACCACCACCATGGATTTTGACCATGACGAGATACAAAGGGCCATTGACCTCTAATGTGTTCGACTCTGTAGGAGCTAGATAGACATTCAAAGCCATCCTGACTGATATGGCACGAAACTCTACGACGGGTACGATAAATGCAAGCAGACACAAGGTCTAGGCCGCAATACGGCGTCGCTAACTCGTCGAGTTGCCCAAGAACCCACAGTCAGGTAGCTCCAGCCTTCAAGTGTGGCTGTCAAGGTCCTAGATAGGTTAAGAGCATGCTCGGCCAGCTCGCGGACTGACAGAGCGGAAGACTGAGGCTGCTGAGGAATCAGAGAAGAGGGGAGCTGCTGACGTGGCTAGTCAAGACTGGCCGTGGGACCAGTCGAGCGGTCAGACCGGTTCGAGAGGTTAGACCAACCCAGAAGGAAGACCAGGTTAGACCACTGTTAGACCAGTCTAGTGGGGAGAAGAGCTGCATGACCGCGAGAAGTAGCCACGATCGCTTAAAAAGGCCCAGCTTTGGAGTAAGCCGTTCGATGAGCTTGAGTCTTGCTTACTGCATCCTAGGAAATTTGATTAGGTCCGTCTTCCCATGAGGACGAAACAGCAGGGATTTGTTATTCTCGTTACCAAATAGCCCGAGTCGATAACAGAGAATCAATGAACTGGGTCTAGTATGGATTTTTAACTTGAAGACCGGAAGATCGGACAACACACGAGTAAAAGGCAGTGCAGTACTCCAGAATCCGAAATAAAGAGAATTAAACGTGAACGGCGCAATTTATCGCTAGCAGCAATGCCTACAAGTCATCTGCAAGAAAGATTCGTCGTATTCGCAGTTCTATGGCGCGAGGCAAGGTTCCAGGGGCCATGTAACACATCGAACGACGTCGACCCTCTTATCACTTCTAATTCACCCGTTATCTTGCTATACCCCTTTTTCGACATTACGCTCAGCAAATTACTTGATATCTTATCTTACTCACCCTATCCTTCCCGGTTCCCTCCGTATTTGATTTCTCTACGAGTATATAAACCTCCTTGTGTTAGATTAGACGACTTTTTCTCGAATCGAAGTATCGCTTACCTGGTCTTTGCTTCGCTCGACTAAGGGTCCTCGCGTGACGAAACCGTGACGTGTCTCGCTTTCGTTACAGGCCACTTTGAGCCACGTGATACCCGCGCGGACTCCAGCGCGTCAAGGAAGGTAGCCAATTAAATCTCTTTCTCTTAAGCCATCATCACTACCACCATGGATTTTGACGATGACGAGATACAAAGGGCCATTGCACTCAGTCTTCAACAATCCAGAGCCAAAGCCAGAGCCAAATCACCTCCACATTTTCTTGAGACTATCGTGATCAGCTCGGATGATGACGACGACGAGCAGGTACAGCAGGCATTGAAGACGCAACCAGTGGAGCTTTCGAAGGCACGGGAGTTATCAGGTCCTCAATCTTCTTTTCTTTCAGAAAGAGCGCAGCTAGAGAAGGAAAGACGGGAGCGCCAACAGCGATATCTTCAAGCCACTGGGAAGGGGAAGTCCGCGAAGAATGACGATGATGAAGAGATACAGATTGTGGAGCCTTCAACGTCTCGGAACACGAAGACATCTTCCTCCGCGCCTATACCGCTCACGGATCAGCTCTTTTTTGAAGGAGAAATAAGGCCAACAGCGACGCGACTTGCAGAGCCTAGACGAGATAGAAAAGCCACGTTCCGATTGACAGAAATTTTGGGCCCAGTATGGATTTCTTTTTTTTTTTGGATGTCAGATGCTGACTCGGGAGATGATTTGACAGAAATCTGACATATCTTTCGCCATTCTGTCTACTTATGCTCACGACATATCTTGGATTTACCAATTTTTTGAGCGTGAGGTCCCAGTGATCTTTATCGCGCATGGGGAATCAGAGGGGATGCGGAATGTTCTCCCAAATTGGATTAAGACAGTGCCCAAGCTCAATGGGCCTTACGGATGTATGCATATGAAGGTTTGCGCCGTATCCCTCATATACGTTCATTCCGTTGACCACGGTCGTCTGTAGTTTATGATTGTAGGTGTTTTATTCAACGACCAGCATACGTGACGTCCAAACGAAGCACAGATATTTTACAAGACGGGTAGGTTACGCGTGGTCATCTCCACGGCGAATCTGGTCCCATTTGACTATAGAGACATTGAAAACGTACGATTTTGTATTTTGACTGCCTTCGTGTCACTCTGAACTATACCACAGGTCGTATGGCTGCAAGATATCCCTCCCCGCGGAACTCGGATTGCCAGCGACCTCAAAGCGGACGATTTTCCAGCGACAATGCAACGAGTGCTGCACGGTGTCAATGCAAGACAAGCACTAGAGCTGATGCTAAAGGAGGTGAGTCATGCACACCGTTTAAGATGCTGCACTGACTCTCCGTTAGCATCCCAATCTTCCCCTTCGCAAGATTGAGGATCTACGTTCGCGGTGGGACTTTGCGAAAGTCAAGGTCCATTTGATTCCGTCGCTTGCTGGGAAACATGACGGCTGGCCGGAGGTCACGTTGTAGGTCTTGGTGCATCCGTCTGGACTCTATGATCTTCATGGCGCCGTTTGTAGGACAGGACATATAAGACTCATGATGGCCATAAGGAATCTTGGTCTTCGAACAAAGAAGGGAAAAACTGCGAGAAAACTAGACGTGGAGTACCAGGCAAGTATTTATACAAGGATTCTCACCCGCTCTGACATTTTACAGGGCTCTTCTATCGGAAATTACACCACTCAATGGGTGAACGAATTCTTCTATTCAGCACGAGGCGAGAGCCCGCAGGATTACCTCGACGGTCCCAAAGCTAAACGCGCCAAACTTCCTTATCCCTCCATCAAAATCATATTTCCGAGCAAGAAGACTGTGCAGGAGAGTGCTCTCGGTGTGCAAGGTGGTGGTACGATATTTTGCCGAAGAGCTCAATGGAATGGTAAGAACTTCCCGAGGGACAAGTTTTATGATTCGAAAAGTCGTGCGGGAAAAGTGTTGATGCATACCAAGGTAATGAGATACGTACGTACATGACCAGATCTGACCTGATTTCGCAGATGATTATTGGTCTACTATCCGAGAACCCTGTTGATGTCGATGATTCTGATACTGAAGACAGCGATAGCCAGGTGGTGGACGCTCCGATAGGATGGGGCTACCTCGGATCGCATAATTTCACCCCTTCGGCATGGGGAACTCTTTCTGGGAGTGCTTTTAGACCGGTCCTCAACGTGAGTCCGTTTACATTTATGCATGAAACTACTTAACCTGATTTACAAAATATGCAGTTAAAGAATTATGAGATCGGCATCGTTTTCCCGATAAGAAACAAGGAGGCGTTGGAGAAGGTGACATTTTGGGAGAGGCCACCCCAGCGCTACGATGAAGGCGGACCATGGGTATGTTTCAGCATTAGGATTTTCTGGTCATCACGTTGAACTTGGTGTACAGGTGCAGGAAGAATTTATGTAATTAGCAGGTGAAGTCTTACCATCCAACAATCTTACGGTGTTGGACTATTCTTTACCGTCCATAAAGTCTCCCAGGTCGATCGCGTATATTCCAGATCCAAACACCAATGGGCTGAAAGTTTTACGACAGATCCGGCCTACAGAAGAATAGTTCTATAGTTCCATCAAGACTTGTACGTCAGGATATCGCATGTAAATATACTACGTTATACACTGATAATTAGGACATCAATTTAGAGAAGAGCGAATACGACTTATAAAGCCTGTCCCTTCAGCCAGCGATTGACAAGCTCTAGAGATTCCTGGGGTTTGTCATAAGGTACCTGATGCACGTTAGGACATCATGATGATCCAAATACGAGACACCCACCATATGGCCCGCCCCTTCAATCGTAGCAAACGTCAAGCCCTTGCTGCTCCTCGTCAAACCAGCCTTCTTTCCCCCAATGAACCATTCCCTTAGCTCCTCATTTACAAACGTTTCCTTACCACTCCAATCCAGCACCAATGTCCATGCATTGTTCCCGACCCAATTGCATATAAAATCATAGCTGCCTACGTACACAAGGACCCGTACCTTGCGCTCCAGCAGGGCCGCGATATACAGTTGCGTTTGATGGTACTCGTCCATGGTCGTCACGAAGGCACTGTTTACCTCCCATGAGACGGAGCTGAAGTTTTGTCCGTCAAAGTGTGGGTCGACGCCTAGTTTGGTGCGAACACTGGGGTGGTCGAGGTAGGCGGATATGTTACTGGGCGGATTGAGAAGGTTTAAAGAAAGCAATGGTAAGGAAGCGTACTTCGTTACGGGGTAGCAAAGCGTTTCTTCGATGGGTCCATCGCAGTCCACACTGATATCATATGGATTCTTGTCTGATCATATAAGGTTCGGGAGCATGAGGAACTGGTGGAAATGGAAACGCACTTGTGGAGCTGAACGGTCCAAATAGTTCATCTGAGCAGAAGTTGGCCGCAGCTGCACAGTTGATGTCGTCAAACTGGTCGATGCAGGACTCTTTCATCCACTTCTGGCATCGAGGGAGCTGACACGACGGGCGTCAACGGTGCCAATAAGATAAGATACGCGGGAATCACCGACCACTTGTTTCATGCGAACACATGTTCTTTACATTGATAATCGATGCGGGTTGCAAAAAAAAAAGGCACAGCGAACGCACGATATATCTAGAACGGGAGGAACGGAGGCAAAAGTGCACGTCATCTCGTAATAGGACAAGGTCATTGTGGCGAATTCAGTTAATCCGTTTCCTGATGGCACGTTCAGACTGGTTTTCGACAGACATTCAAAATACGGACCAATCATGATCGAAGACAGGTTAACTGGTGTAAGGCCAGCATCAATGAGGTATGCATTTTGGTCATATACCGCAGAAGCAAAGAGCGGCAAGTAACGTCCCTATAAACGTTTAGACATGTGAAGTAGGGACGAGGATAAATTTCTTACGCCATAGGATTCCCCAGACATGTGGAAGCCGCGACCTTTGAACTTGGTAAAATGTTCGAAGAAGATGGCTACGAAAGATGCAATATCCTTAGCGGCTTCTTCAGTTGTACCCTTGAGAAAGTGAGCGATGGTTATGTTAGATCTTCAGTCTGCTTACGACAGTTTCGCCATAGTCAGCGTAAGAGAAGCCTACGCCAATAGGCTGGTCGACGAAAAAGATGTTGGCATTAGAATTCCAGGACTCTTTATGGAAAACAGGACCACGGTCATCGGTAATCCGGCAAGGGCCAAGCTCCATGAAGAGCCCTAGCATGGAAGAGGCACCGGGACCTAGGACAAAATTGTATCGTAATATCCACAAACCGATCCAAATGAAGAGTGCGTACCTCCGTTGGTCCAGAAAATGACGTCGTCAATATCCGGATCGCTCCTGCTCTCAAAGAAGTAGAAGAACAGGTGTCTTGCTTCAATGTCGATGTATCCTGTATGGGCCCTACAGTGCCGTCAGACTGTGGATGAAATAGCGTGTCCGGCAAGCCCTACGCAACAGTACCATCGCAAAAGTCCGTTTTCTTGATTCTAACGCTGTAATTTGGAAATGCCGGGTGACTCAAGGTGGCGAACTCTGAATAAGAGAGCAGGTTCAAATCCTCCATTGGGGTGAACAGCCCACTGTCGTACGCATCGTTCTGTACAGAGAAAGACGGCGATATTGCTCCCACAAGAGATGGTAAGGACAGGCCCAGCGCAGCGGCGGCGAAGAAAAGCATGAGCTCAAATACTGGAGAGAGATTGGTCTAGGTGGCCCTTCACAACCGTGACTTGTCGGCTTCCCGGGTGCGGTCCGACATCCGTATTTACGTTAGACATCACATGACCGTGGCCGCAGATCAAAATGATAGTACTGGTTATTTTGTTTTCTGGAGAGCTGTGGAAAGGATGTAAATTTTTAATGTGAAGGTCGAAAAATCTCATAAAGGTCATGGACGATGGAGAGCCAGTCGAACACCGGAACAGTACACAAGGAATTATTATTGTACTTTGCTTGGCAAGAGCCAGACTGGTGCCGGCAAATTTCCGGCAACCTTAATGGTTTTCCGCTCAGATTCTACATCGTGGCAGTAGCCGCGCCACTCTCCTTCTTGTACCATGAACAAAAGACGGAGGATATCGTTGCTACCGTCGAAGCTGGCATCGACCTCCTCGGAATCAGTCAAAGATATCCCAGCCGGCAGTTTCGTATGCATTGCTTGTAATCGTACAATTACCACGCGTACGTCGTGTGCAATATTATGCTCAAGGTGGGCCTTCTGGATATCTGAAGAATTTCGACTACATGTTATCCAGATGTGGTTCCCCGACATGCGTGATATGTTCCCGAAAATGTACTGCACACCGTCCACCTTTGCCCTCACCGTCAGCATCTCTGTCACCGTCTCGGTCGGCCCTAGCACTCAATGCGCCCAACACGAATTTGATGATAGTAACGACTACGAATCTGCCTACATCCCCTCCGGCGCAATCCCATAAAAGGAAGAAGACTACTGACGGCGACACTGAAGTCCCTGGCAAATCGGTGTCCAGTAAGGACGGCGATGGCGAGGAGGAGGTGACAAGCTGCGGGAGAGTAGTATGTCGGAACTGCTGCATAGAAAACGTTCAGAGGTACTACAATCCTTATGTTATTCTTTATCTGTGTGCTGATACCATTCCTAGCGAAATAACCACCTGCCTTGACTGTTTTGAATTCCACTCCAGCTAATGCATGGAATTCTCTGTTTATTTTCATGATGATCTACTTTCTCCACCTCTGCATTCATCAAGTTATATATCATGCAACCATCCCCACTGTATTGCCCTGTATTCTTCTGCAATATCAACATATATAATATGTGGCCTGCTTCATCTCGAATGTTCAAAACGCCTAGGCCTACTAGTTTTCTCGCGGATTATTGGACGTCGGTCACATTGAATGATGGAGCCACGGATTCACAACGCGTTTGGGCCTGGCTGCGCGTTCTCGTGTTCCGTCTCAGGTTTTCGGGTGTCTGTACATCTTGGCATCACTTCGACGTGTACTCAGTACAAGCGTCAAGGCCCGCACTATATTTGGTAAACCACAAATGTTGTATATTGAAAAGAATCAATTTTAAATAATACAACAGCAGGGTCTTAAGCAATGGTCTATCTACCAGTGCCTTACTGCTGGTTTATTTCTGTTCTTCAAAATGAGGACTTTCCTGTTGAAACATTATATGACTCTGAGGGGGGTCGCATAGCTAATGGATCCACTTAGGGCGGCGTCATCACATGGCGCTCGCAGTGAGTCCTGTGTTCGCAGCTCGGCAGGGGGTAATATAATGATCGAGATTGAATTCATCAGGGACTGCCATCCAGGAGGAAGGTGTGAGCTTTGAAACCGGGCGGGCATGGAACCCCCCTGCCAATACATGGCGAATCGTATTAAGCCAAGGACAAAGAACGCACTCTTCGTACATGTCCTGCCTCGAATCAACGAATTGGTTGTCCTACATCAATTCCGCCAGTCTCTTTGAGGCGAATCGTCGTCAGACTCGAAGTTTTTCTCATGGAGTATATTATGGAGCTCATCTAGAATCCAGTGCCTCTTCCCAATACCAGTCATGTCGTCGGCTTTCGCATTGGCGATGTCAAGCAACGCTTCTTCCGACTTCCGCGAGGCGCTCGGCCAACTGATCTTAACAACCAGATTCATGCCAGGCCATTCGTCGCATGTCGTACAGACGACGCATGTATCGCGTCCAATCAAACCTCGCTAGCAATAGATTGTTTTGCCCAATTTAAGCATGATAGTTTTGCCACTCAAGAATAGCCTCTTCGTCCATATAATGATCATCAAAAATATGATGAGGGATGCCATGCTGAGGGACGGTAAGACAATGGCATTACAATGGGGACACTAAAAGGGCCTACTTCGTTGGCCAGGTCGGTGGCTTGAGAGATGACAACTGAAGGACGGTCTCGGTCAGTTAAAGTGTGGGATCCCTTGAATCTGATGTTTGTAGGTCATATATCGCGCACTGAAAATGGCCTGCCTCAGAGCTACGCGCAAACTGGTCTTTCATCAAGAATGTTCGCGGACTTGGTGACCAATATACCCGTCGAAGACACCTCTGTGGATACCCACGAGACCTTTGAGGAGGCTCGCTAATCAAACAGGTGTACAAAAAGAGTGGTAACGTATCTCATCGCCAGACCCATTGCCAGGATTTTCTGTACGTTTTCGACTATTGTGCTGACGATTCATGCCACGTCGGAGGGCAGAGCTGGTTGAAAGAGTAGAACACATAAAGGAGACAGGTTGCCAATTGAGCGCATACGTTGCTTCGGTTATAGGCTCGTTTTCTGATCGTAATGGGATCCGATCTGAAGAATTATTGAACTTGTGAAGTTTGAAGCAAGCAGTGGGATACGGATGCCCGCGCCGTTGCAAAATTTCGGGCTGATGCCGAAGTAACACGCTTACACAGGTCTACTTTCAAGTCGACCTTCAGGCCTCAGGCTTCGCATAACCCTGGATACCCTTAGGGAAAGATCAAACCACCAAGGTGCCATCCTCATCTCAAGCCGGCGTTACTCTCCTGGGACCACATCTCCACTGTGGGACAGTCACCAATGACTGTACAGATCGGCTGCCATTCTATCTCGTAGTTCGGAGCTGTTGTTCCGATAGAGGAAGTCAATCTGACCGTGAATGGATTCCTCTGTATTTTCTTATTCCTGTATTTTAACCTCCGGTAGTAGTTGTTGCTTCATTTAAACGGTGGAGAGATGTTGACATGTTTTAGCGGGAACCAAATGAATGAAAGAATTCACGCATATGTTGTGCTGGTTTGAAGTAGCGGTAATGTGGCTATTCTCGGCCCTACTGCCTATCATCGATACCAAGAGACATCGACGCGGCAATCCTAACATCACGAGACATGTTCACGGACCCATCTTACTATCTACAGAACGCGTGTCTTAGACGAAGTGGCGTTGACGACTCGGCTCAGGATTTGGCAAGGCGAACATGGTAGCATGCTTGTTGAGTGACCGTCGATGATATTGCTGAAGATACAGGAGAGGGCAACGGTACCCTCCAATCGCTCTACCTATCTGTGTCAGAGAAAAAACCGAGCCTGGCAGCTAACAAGGTGCTGGAATTGCCAAAAGTGAGAGGTCGGCAACTTGGGTGAAGAAGAGACCTAACCTGAAGTTGGGTGGTTTAATATACGGAAAACCACGACAGAGATTATAACCTAAATTCTACAACACTACCTCCCCCTCACATCATCCTCAAACCTGGCAAACACGATGGCCTCCAATGCCCCCACTTCTCGCGTAGAAAGTATATTCTGAGCGAATCATCAGTATCAAATCCCAGTCGAAAAATTAGTAAATTCACATCAACTAGTACACACGGCAATCCCTTCAACGCGTCCTGACTCCAATGCTGGAGGGCAGGGAGTAATCCTGCTAACTTCATCCGTGGTTCTTCTGTTACATCCCCGACGCTTGAAGAGGGAAAGACATTTCTCTCTAGATCCGCAAACAGGATCGCCACCGCTGTATCCAGAGCACGATCTAGGACGAGACCAAAATCGACGGACTGCAAAATCCCATGAAGCTCTTCGAATAGAGGCATAAGAGATTTGTCTTCAGGTGGTAGCGATGAAAGTTGTGATAGATTCGGTGCCGCGGAGGTGGAGATAGTCCATGTATGCGATGAAGGGTCGCTGATGGATGGTAATGGTGGTGTCGAACGACTGAACCCGCCTTGTGCAAGGACATGGGCAGTCAGTTCTGGCGTAGGTGGAAGAAGAGTGCGTCGGAAGCTAGTGCAAGCAACAACGGTTAGAACTCGTGGTCATGGAGAAGTCAATAGCTTCAAAGTATGAAAATGCCCTAGGCAAGACACGAGCTACTCGGCAGCGCTGTAGCATCGACAGAAAACAAATACGTACTCAGCACTGAGGTCAATCCGCCGCCGCACGTTCAGAACAAGTCGATGAAGGTCTGGAAGCGTCAGTCGTGTCTTAAGGGATACCCTGTCAATTTTCGTGAGCCAAAAGTCATGAGAAAGAATGGTTGGAAAACAAAACGAAGGTCTTAAGCTGACTACTCACCCCTCAAAAACGTCCTCCACGCTTGTCCTGATTCTTTCACCCACATCCTTCCAACCGACGTGAAGCAGCCACCAGCTCATCGTCAGAAATCTCGCTTCTGTATCTTCAGTTGGTCCTTCGGGGAGGTCGCTAAACAGCACAGATAAATTCCCTGACATGAGCTCCTCCATCTCCTCCCCCGTGTTTCCAAAGAGTAAACCCGTTATTGATAGCTGCTCCTCGATGCTCTCGGCCAATCGTTCCTCCCGCGCTGTCGCAAGCACAGAAGACAAATACCTTGCGCGTCCGAGAAGAGTGAGTTGTTGGGAGGTAAGCAGAGAGAGAAGAGTGGTGGTGTATATGAGGGTGAGAGTACGAGTAAGACTGAGTATTTTCACAGCGTTCCATAACGAAGCTTTGGTTTTGGGTGAGGAGAAAGATGTTGACGAGGCGGCAGAGTCAGGTAGACTCACCTCTGAAGGCGATATTGAAGACACAGAGGCCGATATGGACATATCCGATTCCGGCTGAAAGCTCATCTCACTGCTGCTCCCGAGAGAGACGACCGACGCCTCTGACACTACACTCATGCTTGACGACATACTCCGTGGGCTCCCATGTTCATCCTCCACATTCATTGGCGAAGGCACAAGCCGAGCCTTGCCAAAATTCTGCAGTTCTTGAATGAGTGCCTCGACGTCCATGCCCTCCATGATCTGCTCAGAAAGCGTCGGTATCAGAGCCAAGACTGCATACGAGATGTCCTCGTGCGTTTGTCGAAATCTTCGTTTCAAGCTGAAGCAGTACGGTGAGCACAAGACAAGCACTCTAGTGAACCAATGTACTCACCCATCCCTCGCTCTTCTGTTTCTTTCCAGCCCATCCCGCGTCTCCTCCAGCCTATCACGAATATATCGCTGGACAGCGTACGCACTTCCCAATGCGATAGCCGTCTTCTTGAGAGTAGGTAAGTGCTGTCGAGCAACGTCCAGCATTGGTGGTGGTGGTAGTTGATAGGGAAGCCGTGCGTAAAACCTGGGGTCCGTGATTTCATCGATGTTGCCTCCGGACTCGGCTATTATGTCATTGCCACGAACTCCGACCGACTTCACCCAAATAATATCATCATCATCGAGCAATGGTATGTCGTCGTCGTCGTCCACAGGACATATATTGACTTTCTGCAGGGTGGAGGTGGACGATATCCCTATCCCAAGTATGTTTGGTCGCCAGCTGGTGAGTAGTCTCCCTACACCGGTGATATCACAGCTACTGACAAGTTTGTTGAAGGCGGCTGGTGGGTTCAACCATCCAACTGGAAAGCGAACACAGCCATCGTCGCTACCGGTATCTTTGCCATCGCTTACCTCGTCGGATCACTGAGTGCTGCGAGAGAGGTGCATCTACTGAATCCTTTCTTTTTTTTTCCAAAGTGCTGACGTCCAAGCAGCAACGCCCTGTGGCACCGAAGAAGTGGATTCCGTCCATGTTGTGGGCGAAACAGTTCCAGGAGGCGGAGAAAGTGTGTCGCCAAAGTTTTCCGCCGTTCAAAGCTTATCTTCACCTAGGAATTATAATAGAAGACTCCATCCTCAATGGCAATGCTTTTTCTCTTGACTAAACTCACATTGGTGCATAAAAATCATCGAAAATTCTGAAGGAACGTTAAGAGAAAGCTTTTCGGTCATCCCCACTGCTATTCTGAAACTACGAATTGAATCGGAATCGTGCAGGAGAAGGCATCGCGTATCTTTCCCTCGAAGCAAAATGAAACGATGTGTGAACATGGGCTGTCGACAGCGCCTTACGCGACACTATCTGCGCCCTCTGCCATTGTTTCGATTGAAACCTATTCACAATGTTGACCCTTTAACTTATAATTACAACTTTTTCATCTCTGTATTCGATGGTTCTCAAGCAAGGACCACTCAATATCAACAACACATACCTTCGTGATGACATTCGAAGTACTGCCAGTGCGTGATTTCTGACGAGCGGGGCATTCTTACTGTGGCGATTACACCAGGACAGATAGGTTTGCAGCTTCAAACATACGTCACAAGTATAACGATATCATACGTGGTCTGTCTATAAGCGCCTGACTGCTGGGGCCCGATTATGCTCACAACGAGTATTTTCTCTTAAAAATTTCGCATTACTGCTAAGGACGTCCCATAGCCAACGGATCCACCTCGGGTAGTGTCATCGAACGGGGCTTTCACTTGGCCCTGTGGTAGTTTCTGCTCACGGAGCATGGCACCGTCCCGGTTGATATAAATCATATCACTCTCCACCATTGAGAGCAAATATGTGGCAGCGACTCATACCTCAAAAGAGGCCCTTTGGTTTCATTCTTTCATCTTGCAACTTTTTGCACCCATTACCAAGCCTACTGTACTGTTCACAGACAACCAGTTGGCTATCACACTCACCAAGGACCATCAGTACCATGCAAGGACCAAGGACATCGATGTCCAATTCTATTTTATCTGTTGGATTGTTGAAAATGGCTCTATCTGTCTCATCTATTGCCCCACTGACGAAATGGTTACTAATACTCTCACCAAAACTCTCCCATCTGCTAAGGTCAAGCACTTTGCATCGGAGCTCAGTCTCTCGATGGCTTGAGTGGGAGTGTTAAATACCAAGCCCTCAGGAGCACCTCGCACACTCGCACACTGCCTTCTTACCTGTTGCCACTGTGACAATCCACTTCCTGGACAGTGCAACCCTTGTTTCATTTCTGTGCTTACACTTCACTTACAATTCCTTGCTTCCCCAGACCTTAGAATAGTATTCATATCACTTACCTCGTAGTTAGCACCTCAGCTTTTGCTCTCATACAGACAGAGAAGGCTGAGGTGAGTATAATCTGTATACCTGTTACTAGATGCATTACTTACTTCTAGTTAGCAATGCGTGTATTCTTACAGCAGAGACAAGAAAAGAGAGAAAGGATCCCAGAAAAAGATGCTAAAGATTACGGCCGACACCTGCGTCGAGCCCATGACCGACGACGAAAAGAGCCACCTAGTAAGCCACAGCCACCGGTCCGAAAGTGCTAAGGTCATTTACAGCAGTTGTCTTCCCGACGCAAATCTTTTTTTGGCCATACCTTCATTTTATGTCTTGATTAACACCCGCAGACAGTACCCAAGTAGTATATAATATGAGAAATGATACACTGAGTCTGAACAAGATAGTGACGCGTGGTGGTACATGATGGTAAATGTTGTCCGTATAGCAATAGTATGATAATCCTTTATAGCAGCGTTCCAATGAGCAGTCCCAAAAGCTGATGAATAATGACAGGATAGCGATGCGAAAGCGATGAGGATGAAAGATAAGTAGTGTCTCTGCACCTCTAGTGAAGCGATGATAAACCGAAGAGTTAAAAGAGTCCGTTGTCCATGCGAAAAATGAGAGTATGAGCCAAGTGTTGGCTTTTTGATGCTTAGTACCGAATATCGAGTCGTACGCCGAGCCGCCGTCATTTTGAGACAGCATTCTCTAGACGTTGAAGGAGCCTCGATTTCGTGTATTCGCCGCTCTCGAATGCACAAGCACGAGTCTTTTTAACGTGTTCGGCTCCTTGCCCCGAATACATCGTATCGTAGTCCAACGGCACACTCTTGCTGCGTCCCAGAGCCTGACCCCTTGCAGCATCCCACATGCTGCTGAGAAAGCCATCGGAGGGAGCACTTCTCGTAATCACAGGCATCGACACGCTAGTCGTGATAGACGACACCTTGACTCCAGTAACTATAGCCGTAGCTCCTGATACTGAACGCTTGCCAGAGGTTCGTTGAGACTGCAGCGACGAAATAGATGGAAGTGAGGACGATTTCGCCAGAGAGAGCGGTGTAACCGTGCGTACAGAGGACGCATCTGACGGCTTTGGAGATCGACTCTGGGCGATATGCTGATTTCCGCGCGACAGACGAACAATAAAAGGTTTTTTGCCTGGCGCCACCATTTCCTCCCTTGCTAGAACTTGGTGGTCACCATATGAGCCGAAGTGGACACGCGGCTCGACGTGCTCCTCAGTCTCCGATTCTGATTCTGAGCTTATTCCCGATGACGAACTAGACGACGAGCCAGTATCATCTATCAGTGAACAGATATCACTTGAACAAGTTGACGAAAACGAGGTGGTCCACGTTGAGTTTGATGTCAGAGCGCTCGGCATAGGCAAGGGGTCAACGGAATCCGCACGAATGTGAGCCTTGGAAAGGCGGATAGCAAGTCCACGGACCAGCGAAATCGGGCGAGAAACGGCGCACGGCGCAGAGAGAACGTCCTCTGATGGCGTGAGAGGCTGTTGCGGCTTCTGCTCCTGAGAAAGTGCTCCTCTTGTTTTGCCAGCCTTTGCAACCTTGTCGACTGCGGATGCTAGCGTACTGGCCTGGCGAGCTACAATAGTCATGTACGGAGCAAAAATAGCGCACGCTTCCTCCTCGCTAAATCGCAGGTCGTAGTCTAGCAGATACAGTAGCTGAATCTCCATCAAGTTGATCTCTGTGACGGTGAAGAGGTCCGAGAGTGCGGCCCAATCAATGTTCTTCGGACTTGAATCGTTGAGATACTTAGAGGTCACAATGAGCGTGGCAAGGAAGATGCGATGAATTGTGCAAGGCAGACCTATTGGGGAAAACTAAGCTAAGCGATACCGATCAAGACGGAAACGTACCTCCGGGGACCGTGGGCAGCTTCCTTCGAAATCGCTCCAGATAGACAAGACAAGACAAGAGGGTCGAGACATTCACACCAGCTTTGTTGACAATATGACTGATGAAATTTTGCAGTGAATGTGGCGAGGTTCCTTCGACGGGGGAGTTACAATCAAGACGGATGATTTTTATCGTTCGCTGAGCAACATAATCAATCATGTCCGTCGAGACCTGGGATGCCATGAGATTCACGAGATACGGATTATGCGCAGCAATTGGGATGAGAGAAGCCGGATGGCGGCGATGGGACGAACGAGCCGACATCATATGAGAATGAGGAGTAGAATGTATATGTTATGCGTGATATTGCATATAAAGGTGGTATTGCATATAAAGAAGCAGACGGATAAGAGGGAAGTGGAAGGGAAGGAAAGAAGGGCGGGACGTCCGACGACCGACGGACGCCTTCTTATAGGTTCAAACGCGATGTGATGTGACACGTCACAGTCGACAACATACGACCACCGTGCCACCACGACTCAGACACGACCACGACGATGCACGACTGGCTGGCGACGCTGGGCCTCGTATTCGGTGGGTGCTGCAGCAACGCTGTCAGCCTCGAGCGACTCACCTCCGACTACCCCACCTCTGGATCCCTCATCACTTTTTTCCAGTTCTCTATCATTTCTCTGTACGGTCTTCCAAAGCATACCATCTGGACTCCCTACGGACCTCGTCTTGCGCCAACTAGAATCCCTATTTCTCGTTATCTTATTCAGGTTATTCTATTTTATATCATATCCCTCTTGAACAATGCCGCTTTTGCATACCAGATACCCATGTCTGTACATATAATCTTTCGGAGCGGGGGCTTGATTGTTACTATGATACTAGGGTGGTCTGTCATTGGTAAAAAGTACGCATCTCTCTTTGCTTACAATACCATCATCTGATTATGATGTTTAGGTATAATATACACCAAGTTTTATCCGTCCTTCTCGTCACTCTGGGAGTCGCTTGTACAACGCTATCCGCATCCAATTCATCTTCCAATGAATCTCATACGGGCTTCAACACATATCTTACTGGCATATCCATCCTATCACTGGCCCTTATCCTCTCTGGTTTTCTCGGTCTTGTCCAGGACCACACTTATTCCAAATACTCCAGCGCGTCATCATGGCAAGAGTCCATGTTCTACCTCCACTTCCTCGCTCTTCCCATGTTTCTCTTCATCCGAAATGACCTCACGACGCAATTTCACGTCGTCCACGCTGGACCAAGAATGTCATTTGCATCCATACCCACCACTTATCCCGCTCTCCTCCTCAACACCCTCACACAGCTCGTCTGCGTCGCCGGTGTGAACCGCTTGACTACGCGGGTTAATTCGCTGACCGTCACACTCGTTCTCGTTGTCCGCAAGGCCGTTAGCCTTGTCCTGAGCGTAGCGATGCGCCAGACGGCTAACAACGTTGATATGCATCTTTTGTGGGCCGGTGCGGCCATGGTTCTCTTAGGGACAATATGGTACTCTGTAGGAGGGAAGAAGGCAAAGACCAAGCAGGAATAGCCACACAATGTATTGGAGATTCAGTTGGAAGAATCTATGGCGCCATGTCATGTGGTCATTGTGCCTGCGATAATGACGTCCCTTAAGGTTTTTGTTCGCCCTGTCTCTGCCTTCGGCCTTCTCATATACTTATTCACCGTGTACCTCGGATCGGCAAGTTGACGTGTTTGCGCGTAACAAGATTGTAATATACGTTTCGAAGAGATGGGCTTGTTTTTGGGAAGAAGAATCTACGAGACTTCCTCTGACAGCATCCAGCCTCAGTTTCTACCGGTATTTTCAGAAACGATCTACCTGTCCCGCACGCTCAGAGTCCAAGATTTTCTGAATCTCAAGTTCCGTCTCAAGCATTATTATCCGACCCTGTCCGTAGCTTCGTGCTGGCGGAGTTTCGTTTCTCCACATACGTGATGACGACCATCGGCGAGCCAGGAACACGCATGTTGCACAGCCAAAAATATGGGGAGAACTGGGGCCGCGAAGCGCGTAGCAAATGATTTTACGTGTTCATCTAGGCTCACGGGAACTTCACAGCTGCGGGAGGAGGCCTATTTGCCTTGTTCCATGGAAAGGGCCTTGACATCTGAACCAAGTCTCTGTGCGAGTCCCAACGACGCGTCCGTTCACAAGCTTGATTTGACCGGCAGGGTATCCGACCGTAGTTCCACCCATAGTGATCGTGAACACTCCGAACTTATTCAGGGCAATTGGCCAACTTTTCATGGGGTGACGCATGTCATATGACATGAATCGGATACGGACTCCGTGCTTAGCTTCCAGATTCTGCTAGCGACACAGAATCATTCTTTTTTGACCAGCTGATGCGAAAGGACGTACACGGTACAAAATTATTGTAATTCTCCTGGCCCAGGGTAAACCTCTTCCAAATGTGTATTGAAACGCGCGAGGGTGGAAAGTTAATCTCATTTCTGCAAACCAAGCTCTGGGTATACAAAAAACTGCGTCGTCGGCTTAGAAGGTAGCGTTAATCTTCCTTGACACGTCCATTTCCGACCAATTATTAACCCGCCAAAAATCGTTACTATCATTTGAGGGTTTCGTTGCTATTTTGTGGTAACGGCCCTAATGATCGGGGTAGGAAACCAAGACTTGTCCGACTGTAGATGCTCAACGGAAAAGCGAATGGAAAGTCAACATCTCCCAACACATTGACTGAGAATCTGTCACCTTCTTTCCCTCCCGTATTCCCACTATACGAAGCCAGTGCAAAATAAGTAGTGAATGCTTTCAATAGCATTAAACCAAATCAGTACAATAGAAATTACAACAACAGGTGTTCCAAAATTCACAGGGTATATCTATCACTCCTCCATCACTTTTGACAAACAAAACGCTCCTTCAACCGTCGGCATCCCCGGATCTTCGTGCGTAATCCTCCAGTTCCCAACAAAGTTCTTCCCACCCACGATATAGCCGTAGAAGAACCACTTGCCGAGCCCCCTGTCCCGCGGAACCCTCAGGATTCCAATCATCCCATCCCATCGCCTCACGCGTCCGTAATACGTGTAATAATTCCACGCCTGCCCATGCCTATCATCTGTCGAGCCCGTCACAATCACATCCTGCACGCCTGTACAAGGCGGCAGAGGGACCGTATCCGCCGGATGCTCCTCCTCCGACCACCCAGGCATCATATGCGTCGCCCTCAGCACACACCCCCCACACGAGTCAGGATCGTGCTGCACGGCCCCCAGCTTGTGGTAGACGTATTCCTTCCCTTCACAATTCAGGCGCATGCCAGTGCCGTCATACGTGCCCTTGAAGGATTCCTCTGTGACGCCGCCGGGAAAATACGCATTCTGAAGGCCTTGGTCAAACTCTTCGAGGAGCCGCTGGTCGCTAATCTCGGGAACAGGGTCATCTACGTCCTCTTCCTCTTCCTCTTCGTCTCCCTCGGCGTCTTCGTAGACAGATGGAGGCTGTGGTCCCCGCACACCCGAAGGAATAATGTCCTCACCCCCATAAGATACGAACTCTTGTAGCCTCATATATATAGGCCGATTCGTAAGCGACAGGAGCATTTCATCGAAACCTGGCGGAAGAGGAACGAGATGATCGTTGGGATTCTGGACCATGAGAAGTTGAGCAAGCGCTTGTTCGTTGGGAATCTAGAGCAGCAACGGGTCAGTAAAGCATGTTGAGAATGAATGAAGGCCGTAGGACCATGTGTTCTTCCGTTCGGAACGTTTCACAACTTCTCATCCTCATTTCAGCATGAGGAAAGAGACAAGACTGAGAAACCACATTTCCTGCACCCTCCTAGGCTGGTGAGCATGGTACAGTCAATGAATGCAGGAGGGGCTTCAAGGAAGGAACCGTGCTCCCATTCATACAGAAACCAGTTTGTTTCGGCCACAAGAGGACAGGAAATACGTGCTTCCATGTTGTCTATCGGAGCAGGGACGGCAACACATACACAAGAGTATCGGTCCAAGACGAACCCAAGCCCCGGCCACGAATAGACAGAATGTACACTTACCAGCATACGTCCAGCCCACAATCCGGTTAACGAGCCAAGCGTATACACGTCCCCGCGTCGAAACCTTAACCTACGAGTCCCGCTGCCCCGTCGGACCAACATCCTCTTTCCCAGTTTAACGCGTCTCCAGATCTCATCGTCGTCCCCGTGGCTGTTATCCCAAACGTTTCCACATAACCGTAACCTATACCAGTCCGCATCGTACAGCCTGCTGGCTTGCGATCCCTCATCAACGCCATCAGGACCGACACTCGTGACACTGTAAGGCAATTTCGTACCGCCATCCTTGCCATCGGGACCACCCAATCGATTACGGTTGATCTCAAGGATATCAGCCTGCGTCGCACCCGTCATTCTCCTCTGTATAGCGTCGGCGCGGTCCCTGGGAAGAGTAGGCATCATACCCAGCGCGTACCTCTCCCTCCGCGCAAAGTACAGAAGCTTTGCAGCTGTTGTGACGAGAGGCCAGGTTATCTCTATGCGTCTTGTAAAGTACACCTGAAGCCAAATCGGGTCCGTGGAACGGTAGACTGGGAAAGGCCCGTGGGGGGTAAGAACGGAGAGAAGATGGGTCTGGCGTGTACGGAAGGGTATACGGGTATTAGTATTAGCGTTGGAGAAGTCGCCAGACTGAGAAACCAAAGGCAGGGTAAAGTGATTGGGTGGCGCATAGGCCATCGCATACCGGAAGGGAATAGTAACGAAGGGGAGTATCAGATTCACAATGTTGTCGGAAACATCCTCGGGTTCAGACAGAATTCGTTCTACATATGGACATCAGGGAGAAGAGAGTTCGACTGCCGCGAGACACGTACCTTTCGTCGACAAAGACCAGAATACCCACAACGCCAAAGAATTCATGCAGTTATCGAGCGGCCACCCACCGTTATCGCTCGCGCCATCGTACAAACGCTTGGTGACGAGCTCGTGAATCCATTCATACGCACCGACAGCGTTTAGCTGGAGGGTATTGGCGCCGTCATCGTCCAAACACATGAACGTCAGGACCCACAGAACCTCTTCCGTGGACATATGATCAGCATCCACCGGTTCCTTTCCATCTAGGCCCCGCATTTCCTGGACGAACTGCAGACTGTCGTCGTACAGCTGTAGTAACTGGCGATACTCCCTCGACGTGGGCTCGAACGACCGCCTGGAAACGGCACTGTGGCTAAACTTGCTCTTGAAAATTGAGCGATAGATAGCATTTGAATGCAAAAAGACGTTGTTAATGGCCGTGCATGTCAGACGAAAGGAACGGATAGAGTTCGGACGACCTTCCAACGTCGGGCAAGCTACATAAAGAGCTGTTTCCTCGATGAGTTCTGTTGGTAGAGACAGGATAGTGGGCATGCTGCATGAATAAAGACGACGGGGACAACGTAGGACGAAGAGAAGGCCAGATTCATGGCGAGGTCGAGTTAAATGTGGTGGTAAACTCCGATGCCTTGATTCCTCATTGGATTCGGCAAATCCCGTATTTGTCTGTATTTATCTCCGATCACGGTGCCAGCTGTCCCTTTTTCGCTGAAGGCCGTCTGTATTATTCTCAGCATCCCGATATCCCTCTTTTCGCCTTGTTTCGACAGTAGACTAAACATATTGTATCTGTGTACGCCGGCCCTCATATCTACCCATCACGCGAAGCTTATCGAAAAAGGTACTTGGCCCTAATATTGATCGCCGCTGTCCTGCGAACGTAAGGAGCCTCTCACCGCTCCTCGATCCTGTAGCCATCAGTATGATGCATTTCTTCGAAGGAAAACAGTGAGCTAGATACGTAGGTAAGATGTATAGTTAACTGCGGAGCATATCCATTGAATAAATAGCGATGCTTTCTCTATTTAAAGACGGCCAACTTGGACCATCAAAGTCCTGCGCGGCGAGCGCGAAAAACGCCAAAGTGCAACGTCAAAGTAAGACTGGCATGATGCAACATCATGCCAGTTGGGCTTCTCATGACCTGCGATAGGCGTGGTAAAAGATCTGGACGCAGATTCTTTCCCTGAATGTCGTGGGGAATTCGGTCATTGCAGTCAAAAGACGCCGCCCTTCCTTACATTTCAGTCCCACGTTCATAGTGGTTCGGGGGAAGCTCCCAAGAAAACTCACAGAAGTGTCTTCGGAAACTCTCATGTTGTGAATCATGAAGTATTGCATGAAGGAAGTTTTGTGAATGGCAAGGCCATCACTAACTAACGCATTCAATTGAAAAGTTGAATAACGGTAATGAAAGCGTCTCACAAGTCTGATCATCCGAACCTTCACAGGGCAACTGGGCACCGAGAACTAAAACCTCCGCTGCTAATCCTTGGCAGGTATACACTCCAAAGTTTTCTTGGCTGCCCCTAGAGCTCAGCACTGTTGCTCGGGATCTGTGATGCGTACTTGTCAGGGCCGAGGGAAGATCCGCGGCGTCTCTATAAGAGACAATGCGCCAGCCGCATGTATAAATTGATCGATATGATGCGGAGTAAGGGCGCCCTGACCAGTGACGTTACAATCCGTTCAAGAGGTTGGATAAGAACTTGCTCGGATATTTGTAGCACCAAGTCTCGGCCCCATGAGCGTTCATTTCTTGACGTCAGCCCTTCAGACTTCCTCAAACAGTAAGCCTAACAAGAAGAAACATCATGAAATATGACATGATAAACGTACCGGTACCGTACCATTGGGATTATGACGCCGATCAACAACGAACTGGATCCGAGATGCCGAACATCTGATGGAGTCAAGGGTACCACCAGAGTAATCGCGTGAAACAGGTATTTAGTGTTGGGAACTGTGGAACGACAAGCTGGCCTGCGGCCATGACAAGGGGATCAAAACAAATAAGCACAGGACTCCGTCGTGATCATATTACTATTCTTTGGTCTGTCGAATCCCGGTCCATCCTTGGGTAGCTGTAGATATCATTTACATCGGGGTCAATGGCGATCCATTCTGTACAAATTAGAGGTACAACACGTTGCACGCTATCATTTAGGCTCGGGTTGCTCACATGACGATCGACTCGATGATACAAACCAATTGGCGCCGCCGCAATTCCAAGTGTCGGCTTGCAATGTAGTGAAAAATCGTTGCATGTAGGCCATGTCCTGGGTTTCAGGCTTCAAAGCCACAGGACACAGTCAGCATTTCATGTTAGGTATACGGGTCTAAAGAGTACCATCTCCCCCGAGTCTCGGTAATTCAGAGGTAGGATCGTTCCCAGTCCATAGCTCTTATGTCTGGATTGATGGCTAAACGTCCAGGTAATGCATTTGAGGTCTGTCCGTCTAAAATATCATCCGACTGTACTGTAATCCACCAACGTAAATTTGATATCACATACCGAGCAGTCGTCTTGTTCCCCGATAAATCACGTATCCTTTGAACGGACTCGGCGTGTTGGAGCTCCAGGGTTTTCCATCCAGTCTGTCAATACAATAAGGCCGAAAGGATAGGCCAGAGACTTGTATCTCATTAGCCCATCGCACAGACCTGACCCATACGTCATGCAGCACCTTCAAACCTTAGATGGGTGAACCTGATGCGTTTTGAGCATAGGTGTTACCGTCTGGCTACGGGTCAAGGAGGTGCTCCTATGCGAGGAGGGGGTCCCGCCTTCTAGAAAGGATACATGAGCTTTGACCAGTCATCCCCACACCCTCGGGGGCAAGAAAGCGCACCTTCTTCCGTAGCGAGGGAGGCCACCCCCCCCTTCCTTCTTGGCATCCCTGGAGCCCTCCCCTAGATATGGGAATGGGAATCATGGCCGGCGAAAGGTGGACAAGGTCATGGGAATTTCTGAGTATGAGGAGTTGGGCCAGGAGCACGATCCAGGGGAGTTTTGTCCGCGAGCGCACTTGTTGAAAACGTCGGGCGGAGTTCTTCAGGCATGACTTTTTTTTTTGAACGAGCAGGAGCGGGAGGGATTCCACTTTTGCGCCGAAGGCTCGGAATGGAAACGGAATCAGTTTCGATCCTAAGCCGGTCTAGTTGGCCAGAAGGAGATTGTCCAAGGGGATAACAAAAATATTCCAACGGATGGACCGCCTCTATTTCCCCGTAAGAGGGCATATGCATTGAAGTCTTGGGGACGTCGTCGTTGTGATAGTCAGTGAAAATAAATTAAAGCCCGACATTGGAAATATAAGGTCTATTGTCATACCGAGAGCTCGAGCAGTTTGGCGGGGAACCACGAATGAGGAAGAAACCACTTGGACATACGTAACTTCTACTGTACCTCAGGACGTTTGTCTCGATTTATGGCCCTCACCTTTACTTACTTTAGACAGGGCCACCCCTCAAGCTTGTCAATTTGAATATTCCCCGTTTCGTCCCTAAAGACGTATGAGCGCGTCACCGGCTCCAATACGAAAGGGAATATGGATCGAGAATCGAAGAGCCGCCAAATTCTGCCGTGAACTTGTACGGAGTGACCACAGTCTGAGTCTCGCGGCCGACTAGTAAATTCTGTTCAGATGCCAGAGTGAATCAAGAATTTTCTGATAGCGTAATGTCGCTAGCTTCGGAGCTTACAATGAGGGACCCGGAACCGTTCTGAAAGATTCAGATCAGCTGTCGGATAGGAATGAATGCAAGAGGCTATTTTTTCACCAATGATTCCTTTGAAACGGTTCTCATTCCCACCAGAATCAATAGAAATAGAAGAGAATCTCAGTCCGGCTGGAGAGCGGGCCATCGATACTACTACCGTGACCACAACTCGATTACCAAGGACATCGCTGAATGGATGTCATGAATAAGCTTCACAACTCGTCAGATATATTTTCTTACAGCGTTCATCGACGAATGTGACTCTAAGCCGCTGCCGCAACAAGAGACTGTGGTACCAGGCCCCAATGAGATGTACACGAGCCAGTAACCACTTTGCTAAGAAAAGGCCAGCAGGAACGCTGAAAGCAGAAAAGCGATTATACTCTATTGTGAGGAATCAATCCTGTAGATCACTAAAGGTCAGAATTAGGTACAGAAAAGGGAAGAAAACTGATCGGATATCCTACGAGTTGGACTTGGCTGATAGCATGCACTTAGCATGCATCAACAATATTTTACGACTGATCAAGAGAACAGCAAAATATAGTAAAAATTGCTTGACCACAGGCCAAGGCCTCACGACGCACCAAGTAGACTATGCACTAGTAGTCAGGGCGGACATGCATATAACTAACTACTCACATGTCCTCCAGCCAAAGAAAAGAAGGCAGGCACTAGTACGGCATCAACGACCAACATCCGTCGGCATATACCAGGAGACTCCTAGAGACTGTGTCACCGAAAAAGGACGCAAGAAGCGTAAGTATAGTTCAGTGAAGACATACATTTACCTACAAAACATACCGTACCGCCTGTGTCACCTCGAAGGACCGGGAGGCTTGGGTACGTCAAGCCCTTGGCGCATGGCTGAGAAAGACTGGTCATTCCATGATCCAGCGTAAAGATCTATATGCGAGAACTGGGTCAAGGGCAGCAACCTAGCTGTCAACCAACACTTCAAAAGCATCACCTGTCTGACCATTGGCATCTGGAACTGATAACATCATTATGACCGTGAAGTAGACATGCACATGAAGTGAATGGGGCGTGATGAAAGAACGTGGGTTCATTGAACATGATAGGAATGCACAGATATAATGTGCGCAAAAATCAGGGCAATAAAGATCCCAAAAAGCTACCACAGAAAACCCACAACGCGTTAACGCAGAGATAACGTTTACCCGCCCTGGCTCTTCTTCACCCCAGCTAGAAAGGTGCGACCAGCAGCTATGACTCCATGCGAGTATCCAGTCACAGGTTGGAGCTTCGGGTTGGCAGGCGTGATGTTCGTATGATAAGGCGCGAAGAAAGGGACATCATTATCGTCCAATTTGGTTACACAAGGGACAGGCGGCGAGAGAGAACAGACGCTCGACGGCAAAGGTATTATCTTGGCATTATGTTTCTCAGAATGAAGAACTGGCGGCGGTGAAGGCGGGCTCGCGGTGCGAGAGCAAAAGGAGACAATGCAGAGTGTGAGGGCCTGGGCGAAGACAACAATAACTGCAAACGCGACGGCGACGCGCCAAGCGGAGAGCGATAGCGAATGGTGGGCGACGTTGTCAACGGGGGGCATTTTTGAAAATAGCTTGATGGTGGTGGTTGCGGTTGAAGAGTAGGTCGTTCACTTGGCCAAGGATGGATCGAGAGTCGGAAGTTGCCGTAGCTTGACGGAAACTTCCGTTCCGGCGTACCAATTCCCTTGCAAACTCCCGTCTCTCGCTCTAATGGTAATGAGCTATAGTTTAGCCGCGTTATGTTGGTTCAGCTTCACATCCGCGAGTTTTAATCTGGCCCTGGTCTCGCGTAAATGGACTTGACGATAACTATCGGCAGACAGGATGTCCATTGCCGGTTGTTGCACCTTGTAGATCCATGCGGATTCAATATACTATACTTAATTTCGTGGGCGCTTCATTTCCCATCGAAAACGTGCCGCTGCATTTGAATTGCTCACCCTCTCTTCTTTTTTCCACTGCTTTTACCAGTTACCCAACTTACCACTCATTGATATTATCTGTTCCAAGTCAAAATGTCGTTTAGCACACTTCGTTTACCAAGATATCAACATGGAACTGACCAGGTTTCATACCCATCTTTTTGTCGTGCGAAGCATTCAACCTTGTAATTATATCGCTGAATGATTACTATCTCAGGGCGTGCTTGGTGCAAGTTTTAACATTATTCATCCTATATATGGTGCCTTGATAGTTGTCATTTGTTTCGTTACTAATGTTCTTTCTCGTGTAATACAAACACATTGAGCTATTATATCAAACCACTCGACAAGAAGACTCGTCTATTGACACTACCATGCGCGGCGCCATACCCTGATGCATTGCATCAGATCATTCTCGAAAGACTGGTATCTTCGCCGCGCTGAAAGTTGTCCAACTCTGATATTACCGGGTCCAATACTGAGGGTCTACTATTTCGGAATGATTAATAGTAAAAGTACTTACGGCAACAGGCCCCATGTATGATATCATGCCGCAGTCGCTTTCCTGTGCAACGAGATGATAGAATAAGAGTCCGATGCCGAGGGGGGGGGGAACAGTAAGAGCGAAGAAAAACTAGTTGCTGGAGTAAAAGCTAAGGAAGCAGAGGAAGCGATATCACTGCCAGAGATTGGCAAATAGAAGCAACAGCACAGCCTAGGCGATGTCGTCGCAAGTCAGCGCCAAAAGGAAGCTGCGCGCCACCTGAGACATCCCAAAAAGGAAATATGAGCCTGCCCTAAACCCATCCGATAACGTGCGACAGGGCACTGCTGAATTCTGTCCTTGACCCGTTTTCATCTCATCCACGACCATCAAAAGGTAAAGCCCTTCCACTCTGCCTTTTCCTTATCTCATGATGGGATACAGAATATATACACTAGCATAATGGAGGAAGAAGTCGCAGCGCTTGTATGGTTTATCGTCCTTTGGATGCAGGTCCAAGTTGATCTCCTCCGCAGGTCATTGACAATGGATCCGGAATGTGCAAGGCTGGCTGTGCGTCCCATTTTACGTCTCTTTCGCTCTATTACTGATCTTTTTTGCAGTTGCTGGTACAGATATTCACTTGCTCTCGTCGTTGTTGGTGCTGAAACTCAGTTTTGTACAGGTGACGATGCTCCCCGTGCAGTTTTCCCGTGAGTCCGATTTCTTGCTTAAAATGTGCAGGAAACTCACTAGAACCAGATCTATCGTCGGTCGCCCTCGCCACCAGGGTGTCATGGTCGGAATGGGCCAAAAGGACTCCTATGTCGGGTCTGTGCTCAACTTTTTTTTTCGCATCTACGCTGCTTACCTTAGCGATACAGTGACGAAGCACAATCTAAGCGAGGTATACTTACTTTGAAATATCCCATCGAACACGGTATCGTCACGAACTGGGATGATATGGAAAAGATCTGGCATCACACCTTTTACAACGAGCTGCGTGTCGCCCCTGAGGAGCACCCAGTTCTATTGACAGAGGCGCCTCTTAACCCCAAAGCTAACAGGGAGAAGATGACCCAGATCATGTTCGAGACCTTCAATGCCCCTGCCTTCTACGTTGCTATCCAGGCCGTCTTGTCTCTATACGCCTCTGGTCGTACTACCGGTATCGTCTTGGATTCCGGTGATGGTGTCACACACACTGTACCCATTTACGAAGGTTTTGCCATTCCTCATGCTATCCTCCGTCTTGACCTTGCTGGTCGTGATTTGACGGAGTACTTGATCAAGAACTTGATGGAGCGTGGATACCCCTTCACCACCACGGCTGAACGGGAAATTGTCCGGGACATCAAGGAGAAGCTGTGTTATGTCGCTCTTGACTTTGAGCAGGAGCTGCAGACGGCTGCACAGAGCAGTGCCCTGGAGAAATCTTACGAACTGCCCGATGGACAGGTCATCACCATCGGTAACGAACGGTGGGTTCATCTCGCACTGTCACGGTATACGCGTAACTGATATTTTTGGTAGATTCCGTGCTCCAGAGGCCTTGTTCCAACCAGCGTTCTTGGGATTGGAAGCCGCTGGTATTCATGAGACAACGTATGTAGTTACTTCCTCTTCCTAATGCTGTTGTCGCCCATTGACAAATGCAGATACAACTCCATCTTCAAGTGTGACCTTGATATTCGTCGTGACCTTTATGGAAACGTCGTCCTCTCCGGTGGTACAACGATGTTCCCTGGTATTGCTGACCGCATGCAGAAGGAGTTGACGTCTCTCTCTCCTTCCAGCATGAAGGTTAGTGACAATGTTGGTGCATAGTCAATTGCTGATTTGATGTCTTGTTCAGGTCAAGATCGTCGCTCCTCCTGAACGTAAATACTCCGTCTGGATTGGTGGATCTATTCTTGCTTCGCTCTCTACGTTCCAGAACTTGTGGTGCTCAAAGCAGGAGTATGACGAGAGTGGCCCTGGTATCGTTCACCGCAGTAAGTTGCCTCTGCTTCTCTATGATGGACCATGTCCTGATCCCCCTTTTTTTCAGAATGCTTCTAAGCAACGAGCGTGTTGGAATAGGATAGAAGTTAATGTCGGAAGTGGATTTCTGTTTCTGCTACCTGTCTCGCATATACAATACATCGATTACGCTTAGGTCTTCATTGTCACTCTGTACTACTTTGGTGATGAGGATATGGATTTCTTCTCTTTCTCATATTGTTTGCGCGTCTGGTAACGACTCCTCATATGTCACGATGTTTTGCGAAGGAGCTTTTGGGACGAGTGATGTAGGATCTAAAGATTAGAATTAGATAAATAACTGCGCATGCGCAGGCGTTCCCTGCAAATCAATTGCCAAGACTCAAAATGATCGTGGCTACGTTCTTCTCGAGACAATGCTATCCTTACAATATTCTTAGGTTATCCGAAATTTTTTTCGGATGGTAGGGCTGCTCACTGGCAGCCTGGAGTGGTGGACCTCCCCAAGCACGATTTAAGATCCCGAGACTTGGAGATCGTGGACGATTATTCAAAGGTGAGGTTCAAGAAGTGTATCAGCATGCGAAGAATTATGTTTGCTGTATCGCAATATGTATCAGCTCTTCGCTCAAGGCAGGTCATTTATCTGGTAGCTCTTTAATGGCATCATTGCAGTGTCATTTCAATCGGGATTTTGGTTAACAAGTTACCATTTACCACCACTGTTACCACCGCAAATTACTATCCGTGTATCATTCCTCATATTATATACTACTTAGGTATTGTCTGCAGCCGACAATAAAGACATAAAATGAAGGCATAGCCAAAAAAGATCTGCGTCGCGAAGGCAACTGCTATCGATGTGGTTCACCGTGCAGTGTGTCGACGCTACATCGATTATCCACCATGACCAATATTTCCTCGACAGCCGAGCGAGCCGAGTAGACGTGAGGCGAGATGTCGCATATAAACTTGAAGCAAATTGCCATACTAGGTGGCAAACCCGCAGAACAAGAAACGCTGCCCTGGGCGGCGGTGACACGAAGTGAATTCTTGAATCAAATTATGACAAGTACAGAAAAAAACGGGAGGGGAACTTACAAGGAGTGCCCTCAGCACTCAGTAATTATCGAGGGGTGCATTGTCTAGACTGGAGCAATAGTAAGAGCAAGTTGCAAGGAATGCTGGCGTTGAATGCCAAATGGGGACTCGTGAGTTAGAAACAATGCCGCCGATCACGTGGATGAGCGCAGGTTGAAATCCCGCCACTCAGTCAGTGTTGCCATTGTTCTCCGGCTCCGTTTTCCATATATTAACTGCCATGGCTGTCGTAATATTTATCGGAGCCCCCCCACCATCCTACGCGAGAAAGACTACGCGTTTGCTGGCCTCCAAACGCGCGGCGCGACGTCGAATGGAGGCGCTACAATATCGCGACAATCGCTCGTCATCACTGGAGCCGGTGCCCACCACTCCTCCCAACAACGGCAGCATCACCTCTGACGACAACGATGTGCTTCCTGTAGCTGGATCCTCACAGCAGCGGAAGGCAAAGGCGAGGCCCAGACCCCAACTGCAGAATACGCCGTACGGCCATGGAACGGCCAGCCACTCTGTAATAGAGTTGCAGACGGTGGATGGCCATGACCATAACGTTACTGAAATGGATGCCTACCTCAGAGAGGACCTTCGCCGTCGCATCTTTATCGAGTTCGAGACCTTTCTCGTCAAAATTCTACATCTTCCCGATGACTGGCGTGTCTCTTTCAAGTCCGTCATCGATGCTGTCCAGGATGACCCAGATTTCAAAGGTTTACTTTGGGGTTACCTAAATCTATGCAATAAGGTCGGAACAGGTTACGAGAAGGAGAGGCGCCTGTATTGTCCTCACGCAGACCTATGCAATCGTGTCATTGACGTGGCTCAGATGCAATCCGGCACTGAGGTTTCGAATGACGATAACATAGAGTTTTTCCGTATGGACCCTTATTCTGTGCGGGGGTCAAATGACGCGGTTCGCCCCGACATCGTGGGCATGCTACGTACCATATTTAAGCTGCCCGACTGCCAGGAGGCTCGAGATCGTATCAAAAAGTTTGGCCGAGACAAAAGATGTCCGTCGCGGTTTGTGCCTGGGTGGCCTCATGTCATTGAGGTGAAAGAGATGAAAGCCACAGATGATACGATCGACGAGGGTGTTGGTGCGATCAGACTATTGACCAAAGGTAATACATTTTTTCGTTGAGTTTCTGTCTTGTGTCCTGATTGTTTATGTCAGATGGCAAGGATCCTATGACGACGAGACCGAAGAAAAATCGCAAGGATAAAAAGGACGAACCGAAACCTGCTGAATCTTCTGGTGCATCCTCTACACAAGAAGGGGAGGCCTCTCAGGGAGGTTCAAAGGGTCGAAAACGCAAAGCGGACACCGAAAACGAGGTGTGTGCATCCTTTCCCAATCTTTCACGCTCACTGCTCACTAATGTCATATATTAGCGATCTTCGTCAAAATTCGCCCGAACATCTAAAACAGTGTCGTCCAGGGCCCAGAGGGCCTTTGATGATGACAGCTTCCCTTCGGGAACTGATCGGGCAGAAAAGGCCCGCATCCAGTGTGCACGCTATGCCCTGCAGATACTTTCGAACGCCGGGCTGAGATCCCATGCTCTCGTGACTCTCATTGACTGCGACCGCGTCCAGCTCTCTTACTACGATCGATCTGCAATCATTGTTTCTCAAGCCATCGATCTCGGGGAGAAAGATGATGAGATGCTTTTCATCGCGATGCTGATAGGATGTCACCGTCTTACGCTCAAACAGCGTGGTATCTTGCATCATATCATCGAAGACCCGTACATTACTAACTTCAATCGGTTCAATACCGTTTCGAACGATCCGAAGAAGCTGTTCTCCGGGCTCTTGACGACTCTTCAGAGAAATGGCAAGACCATCGAGGTTAACCTGGGCAGAACGATCTATCGGCAGCGAGGCCTGATTGGACGCGATTCGTGTGTTGTTGCTGCGACATGCAATGAATGGCCTGGAATGAAATTGGTTGTGAAGATCAGTTGGCCGAGCACCTCACGGAAGTCGGAAAAGGCTTTGGTTGACAAGGCGAAGGCGGAAGCCGACAAGAAAGCTGGTGATGGCAAGAGGCACTGGGTTCTGGATCACCTCCCGAATATCCTTCATGAGCAAGACTTCCCGTTTGACGACGATTCGGCGCAGAAGATGATCGCGGAGGTGTTGCATGATGGCGAGTTCATCGGTGGAGAGGGCACATACGAAGATCGTGTTCTCCGTATTTCTGTTATGGAAGAGCTGTTCCCGATTAAGAGTCTTCGAGAGGCCAAGGACTATGCCCAGGTGTTTGTTGACATACTTCAGTGTACGTTTTCCTTGTATCTTTTCTCCGATTCCCCTTTCTGACGTGATGACGTTGACTCGTTGCAGGTCACAAGTGGCTTTATGATCACCCTCGCATCCTTCATCGAGACATCAGTATGGCGAATATTATGTATCGAAGAGATAGCAAAGGGAATATCTGCGGAGTCCTCAATGACTTTGATCTCTCGTCGTTACTTCCTATCAAAGAAGCCACATCCCTTCATCGCACGGGTACGCCGCCTTACATGGCATTTGATCTTCTTCAAGAACGAAATGATGGCCCACATCTTTACCGCCATGATTTGGAGGCGCTATTCTATGTCATGTTGATGATATGCTGTCGCCATTCTATCATTGAAAAGCCCCAGCCCGGTGGCATGTCTCAACTGAAGGAAATATCCGAACCTTTCTCCCGGTGGTTTGCCCGTGGGGTCTCTTGGGAAGACTTGGCCAAATTCAAAACATCTTTTTTCACTGATGCCGACACCCTTCCTGTCTCTCCGTGCTTCGACAACTTTCGTCCTTGGCTCGATGCCATTCGCAATGCCTTTTCAATAGGGATCAATGCCCGCCGGAGTTGGAAGAAGCCACTTGTGAATGTGTCATGGGTGACTGTCTCAGAAGAATTCACTTTTGGTGTTTCTGTATCCCCCCAGCTGAAACCACTGCAGGAGCCAGTCCAAGCACCGTTTGATGATATGACCCTTGGTGGATTTATTACATACCAGACATTCTTGATATTCATGCACGTATTTAACGGGAAAAAGCTCATTTTGAAGAACAAAGATATACCCCCAGCAGTCATGCCCTCATAGATAGGCTACATGATATTGTTATTACCCTTGTAACACACTGATGATAGACTATTGACACTACAGACTTCTACTCAGTGAATAATAGTGATAGTGATTTATCTGGTATGAGTGTGAGACATAGGCAGTATTGTTGGTGGTGTGGTGGCGAAAGTTGCTGCGGAGTTTGACTTATAGCGGCCCTCCTACTTGACTGATACGGATATGAGATAGTTCGCTACTAGAACCGTTGCAAGGCAGAACCAGCCATCGCAGAACTTCGAGTCCCATGCACATCCTCTTTGCGGACTGTCTGGCAACACGTCTACATCTGCTCCCGATGCCCTCAACTCTATAGGGATTGCTGCACGCAAACTCTCCACAACTTGATGACAGTTGACCAATGTACCATGCGGGACCGATGATCATCGAGTTTCAGAGGGAGTAGTTCGAGTCTAGTGGTACGGACGGCAAAACTTTCAGCCTGGTACTAGTTATGTTCTACAAGGTTCAGCAAAATCCCAACAGGATTTGATGTAACGATTATAAGACACTCAGTCATCTAGGGTTTCTAGATCGAATGACTCTACCTCTGTATCTTCATCTACGATGGACATTTGCAAAGCAACGAAGCCGCGCGCCAATATCATTCCGGATGGAGGTGAGGTCGAAATCGTTCAAAACACCGCGTAAATGATCCGGCGCCAAATTATGTTTCCTTGACTGATATTGTGATGAAGAAGCTAGAACGATCTGAGATACATTACAAAACATCGACTGTCCACAGAATATTTCCAGTATTCTCTGGTGCATTTTTTAAAGAGTCAAAAGAAATCTATACACCCTCGTTACTGTTTCCGTCACGTCGACCCAGTTGGCTGGACAGCAATGAGTCAAGTTGACAGAGGCTGATCCAATGAATTGAGTGCACATCAAAGAAAAGTAAGCACTCGGACGTACCGCCAACAGCTTTACATGGATCGGCATCTGAGCATCTCCATCTACAAACGACTGAAGGTTTCCAATGAAAAAGCTCTGGACATGATGCGGAGTGCTCGTCAGCTCAAAATGGCGGATCACAAGGCAAATCATGATCTTGAATTCCAAGAGGGCTATTATGGTAATATTAGAAGCTACTTGCGGGGCTAGACGAAAAGGGTCACCGAGGCGCCATCCAATACAACTACGCGGGCCGTCCAAGAAGGATGCGACATTTCCGTATGGCCCAGATGGTAATTGAGCCGCCGAAGGTACTCCATGAGGAAGAAACCATCGCTCTGGCTTGAACTCGGCGGCATCCTCACCCCACACATTAGGGTCCGTATTCTGAACCACGCTGGGTATCTGGAAAACCTGCTGATCGCTCAAGCGCAGTAATCAAATAGAAGAGAAGGAACGGACCTGTCCAGCTCTGATAGCAATAGAAGACACGATTTCCCCATTGGAGAGTGTTAATGGCTGGCTCAGAGGGAGAACATCGTCTTCCAGAGCAATGCGATCGGTCCTTGGCCCAGCCGGATGAAGACGCAATCTAATCACGCGTCGTGAGTACACGATCCAGGAAAACTCTGATGGATTACAAGTACCCTTCGCGGCATACAACATCAAGGTAGGGCAGGCTTTGAATGTGGTCATAGCTAAAGTCGCTCAAGTCATGAATTTCTTGTCGTAGTCTCTTTTGGACCTCGGGGTCGCGAGCGAGATGGTACAGAGTGAAGCTGACAGTGCAAGAGGTTGTTTCGTGTCCCACCATTCTATAAAAAAGGGCAAGTGAGTAGAGGAGAGAAGATATGAACAAGACTTGCATCAGTGTTGCTATCTAATGTTTCTCAATAACAAGTACGAACAAGTATGCGGAAAGCATAGAACGTACATTTTCCAATAATGCTCTATGCGACAGACGATCACCATGTTTCGAATGCTTCTGGTCCCTGACCAAAATCGAGAGAATATCTTTGCCGTCGCCATTTTCCAAATGCGCCTGGTTCTCCCGGAGAAACTCTCCGGCGAGCCTGATAGCCGCTCGCTTTGCAACACCGTCCGTCCGGAAAGCCGGAATCGGAAGCTTGCTGAACCACGGGAAAGTAGACATCATGATGGGCATCAGGAATCCAGGCGTGGTCCTCCCGAACAAAACATCCTTATGCCATGACTCGGCTATTTCTATTGCTTCCTGGGATTCGCCACTACGAAAGTCATGCCCAAACGCTACGCGACCTATAATATCCAGTCTATGACAAGTTGACAGAGGGTTCACAATCGATAAATGGAGAGCTACTGACGTGCATGCCGACAGGAAGGGAGTGATATTGATTAGTCTCGCCCCCTCGCGATGTAACATGTTTTGCGACTCGTTGTACGAGCTGTCGCAATAGATTAGATTGTCGGTCCTGGAAAGATCTGGTATACAAACGATTTACCCTCTGGGTGCATTCGACAACATCATCAGACATTCCTTTCACAGCGCCGAGACTGAAAATATGTATGAAATCTGCCAAGGTAGCAACAGACTCTGGGCTCACGTGAAGGCTGGCGCGAGAAGTCTGCGTTGACGTCTATGCTCGTCACCCGAAACATATACTATACCTTTTCCAAGTTGGCTTTCCACTATAGGTAAGAACTCGGGCGCCTTGGCTGTCATGATAAGGATGTGTGAGCAGGAGGACGAGTATCAGAGGCCACGAACGATATCGGTAAGTATTTGCATGAATATGATGCACAGCAAAATTATCTGTGGCAATAATCTACAGGGTCGTTGAGTTAATTGAAGAGTTGTGAGTGGCGAAAGAACCTTACAATGTCACGTTTGAAGAAGGACGCCTTGATTCTATACACAGGTCCGAGAGCCATAGCCCATTTAGAATACATTTTCCCAATTTCGTTTTGCCATTCGATGAATTCGTGACCCCAGAGCCAGTGTGCATCAGACCAGGGCTGGATACCGTTAAAGGATTCAAGAAAGAAGTTGATACGGTTAACCCGCTCACCGCGCATCGTATTTTTCTAGCAGGATCCTTTCTGGCTTGGATAAACCGAACAAGCAGCACAAATAGCAGAGTTAAAGAAACGGGGAGGACGACTCCAACCGACAGCATTGCTGGTTATCAAGTGGGAGTCTGTAAATGCCGTTGAAGAGATGCGCCGATAGCAGATGATAAGGAAAAGAGTACGTACTTATACCATTCATATCTTAGTAAGCATTGTCATAACTGTTCACGCGCTCAGTGTTCAAGGCCCCGTGGAGGAAACGGCAACAATTCTCTGCCTAAGCTTCTTTAATTGATGGAGTCCGATTACTCGTTCAATGCGAATTATATCATGGAGGAATTACCGTAACTATTAGGGGAAAATCAGCTAATTGTGAGGTTCAGAAGGACGTTGCACCGGTACCCAAAGGAAATATTGCGCCCATTAATCCGGACTCACACGCGAAAAACTACAACGAAAGTTTAAACAGCAGGTGGGAGAAAATGGCCTTGTTCCTGGTAAGTGTCAAGTCACAGTCTGCTCTCTACGTTGAGTCGGAAGGATCGAGGAGCATTATCGTGGTTAATGAAGGAACTGAACAGAGACTCGGAAAAACAATCATACTGCCACAAGATAACAAGCAGGCAGGGAGTTAACAGAGGTATGGCCGTTAAAGTAGAGTAGTAGCGAAGGCGTTATAGGCTCGTTGGCTCGACCCTGTCAAAATGAAGATGGAATTCGCCTGCCGGCGTTTCATAAATACTTTGAATTGTACGACGAGCTCGACAGGGCCTAGTATGTACCGCAGTCGGGGCGAGAAAGCAGTGTGCCATTCAGAATTTAAAGCGAGGCAGCATCAGTCCCATTCCAAAAGTTGAGCTAGGTGGCTGTCAAAGTCTGAGGCTTGACCTCTTTGAAAACTTTCTGCCTCGGGACAATCGGACCGTACCGGAAGTTCCCTCGCATCAGCCGCTGCCGAATCTCACTCGAGTCTTGTGACTCGCGATATAAATCAACAGTACTAGACATATCTAACTTTAAGGATTACAAGAATTGCAAAATGTTGTATATGACGTGGGTTAGGCGTGGGTTTGTGTCTGAAAGACCTTGGCATGTTTTTTTTTTCGTCCACTCTCAGTATTTCTTATGTCTTCACAGATAGTCTAAGCTTTTACAACTCATATGTCCACTTTTTCGATGCTAAGCCCTTTAAATCAAAAGACAGCACTCGTTTCTCATTCCCCTTCCTTCAGCTGCCGTAGCCTTTGTTGTTTCTTTCGGTTCCGCGCCAACCCGGCTAAGCCCGAGTCGAACCTGAGACTGAGCGGGCAAGGACAATCGTCAGTGGGCCTAATCCACTGACAGGATCTGCGACGTTTGCACGACCATACTGCCGCAAATCGAAAAAATGATACGCGATGACTGTACGACGCGTCGTAGGATGATACTAACGAGACTTCTAAGACCGAGTACGCAGGAACAACCGTGCATTCGGTGCAATCACTGGCTCCTTTCTGGGCCCGTGGACGGAAATTCGACGACGTCATGTTGGGCTATATCACGCTGACACGATGACTCGGCTGAATTCCTAGTACTTCCGCATATCTATTGTTGGAGCCCTTTGATGTGATGCGGTCTCGTGTTCAAGAATCACTGGTTCTATGCCCACCCTAGCTAGGTCCATCGTTTGTCTCGGACTCGCTTTGATGTATGCGAGTCCGAGATATTGCTTGATAACTTCTTGCCACCGTGCGCACCTCAATTGCCTCCTCCACTTAAGGCTATGATTCTCTCAATTCTGCCGGTTCTACGACAAATTTCTCGGAATTAATTGTCTCGAACGGGCTTTGTATTCTTGCGTATATATATATCCTGTACCTCAGAACGCAGTGCTACTGCTAGGACATGCCTTACTTTGCTCATCGACGGTTGTTTCTCTGCCTTTCCTCTCTATTGGTCTCCACAGCGTCGGCAGTCGTAGAGGTGTCCTTGTCTCTCTCTGTGCCGTCAAACGCTCCGGAACTCTCTCCTAGTCTCCTGTCATTTTCTATCGAAGGGGATAGATGGACGGACTGGACTGGCACGACTTCAAAGAATCAGTTTCTTTACAATGCCTTGGATAATCTGAAAACTCTTACCGGGGTACCGCCTAGCATCAGAATTGGAGGTGACAGCGAGGATCATACTAATTTCAATCCGAACGTGGAGGTGAAAATGTCGTTAGACGAGTTGCGAATTTATACTTACAGCTTAGGATTCGCAGTTTTCAGAAGCGATATTTCCTGACTTCTCTACGACGGTTCCATATCCTGAAGCCACGAATGTTACCGTCGGCGACGGTTACTATGAAACGGCCCGCTTTCTTCCGTCTGGTACGACTTCATATACATATGCCAGATATCGTTGATCACATATTTTATACTAGGAATGCGTATAACATGGGGTGTCAATTTTGGTCAGGACAACCTTACTGCGGCATTTCTCACGGCACGTTCGATGGCGAAGGCGTTTTCATCTCCTGCTATGAAAGACGCCGGAGTGACTCTTGATTTTGTGGAGATTGGTAATGAAGCCGACTGGTATATTAACAACGGTGCACGTCCGTCCAACTGGACTTCTGTTGATTATACACAAGAGTAAGCGTCTCGCATGGTTCACACGGTTCTTTTTATGCTAACGATTGCACGCTATATAGGTGGACTGAGTTCGCCAGTAATATCTCCGAGACCGTAGGAATGTCTTCGACATCCCATACAAAATTCTTCGTTGGAAGTTTTATTACTTCGTCCAACTCAACCACCGGGTTTTCACCTCAGGCCATCTATGCCGAAGGGATACTCGACTCTGAACCGGGTGCCTTCATTACAACGTAAGATTTTATTCTCTTGAAACCACTAGACAGGCTACACATAATACCAAGTTTTTCGCAGCATCAATATTCAGGTGTCTTCAGCGAAGGTGATGAGGATCTTCTACAGGAACTGATGACGAAGGAAAACATTCGTGGCAATCTTTCGGTCCACAGCACAGACATTGCAGTTACGCACAGCCGAGGCCTGGATTATGTCCTTGGAGAAGCCAATAGCTTTGCCAATCATGTATGTTTGAACTCTTCTATCTCCACCGGTCTGCTTTTGATCTTACGCGGTATCGAAGGGTGTATCGAACGTTAGCAACACTGCTGGAGCTGCACTATGGGCGTTGGATTATACCTTATTCGCGTAAGTGCCGTCACGAGCCACTGGAGTCGTTAATCAATTTGTCGGTAGGTCACAGCTGGGAATATCTCACGTCTTTTTCCACGAAGGCGTAGGATACAAATACAACTTCGTATTAATGATTCTTTTCGCTGGTTGACAGTGACTTACATGTCCCTATCAGATCCAACCTGTTGAATTGACTAGATCCATCCTCGACGGATCTGCGCTCCCAGAACCTGTAGCTCCTCATGTTCAGCCTCCATACTACGCCGCAATCATAATCGGAGAGGCCATAGGTAACTCTAACCAGACTCAGGCAGTGGAGTTGTCAATCGACAATTCTCGTATCTCTGGTTACGCCTTTTATGAACACGATGTTCTCGTCCGTGCCGTTGTCATCAATTCTCAAGCATATATGAAAGCAGAAACCACTTCCCGCTCTAGTACTCATCTTGACCTCGGTTTTTTGGGGGAGAGCGAATCGCGCCCGACGACTGTGCAGGTCAAAAGACTAGCCATTGGGTGCGTTAATAGATTCATCCCGGAAGTAATTTTTGATCAATGATCTCAGCCATGCCGACGACGATTCTGGGCTAACCTGGGGAGGGCAAACGTATGAGACAAATGATGCACGCGCACAAGGGGAGCTGGAGATTGAAACCATGCAGGTCGCATCCGGATTGGATATCGCCGAAACTGAGGCCGTCCTCCTCTCCTTTATATATTAAAGTTGTTCGGGCTTTAGGTGTTCATAGTCAAGCCAGATTGCCATAGATATTATTGATAAATATTAAGTTTTTTCGCCACGGTAAAGCGCAGTATGCTACCCACACAACTCCCCCCAATGCGCTGATTTTTAGCCTTACGCGCGGGGTTCCCCAACGTCGGCTTCAAAGTTGCTTCAAAGAGGGCTGGTAAGAACGAGACCACACATCTCGGCAGCTATTCTGCCGATTTTATCAATCCTCCTGCGTAGCCATGCTACTAAGAGAGGAAAGCATTCACAAACAGATCAACTTCACCAATTGGAAAAAAAAAAAACTGCCCCGAACTACATGATAAAATGGCAGCGAATTTGTACAGTCATTGGCGACTGCCCCACAGTGGAGATGTGGTCCCAGGAGAGAAACATGGGCTTGGGATGAGTATGACCCTTAGGAGGTTTGATTTTCCCCCAAGGGCGTCCAGGGTTATGTGACGCCTGACGGTCAACTTGAAAGTAGAACTGTATAAGAGTGTTAGTGGGAATCCAATCAGGAGACTTAGGCGAGTGCATTTACATAGCTTGTAACCTCTGTGCTGAAAGTAAGCGCAAGAAGGACAAACCAAACATATTGTGAAGAGTCTACTGTGGTTGTAACTGAAATATAGCTGTATATCAGTCCACAGATTTCGGATACATAGCATTAAAATCGCCTCACCAAGTTCCAGATGCTTTCGGATATAGGGATGATGGTCTCCAAACACATCTGTAATCGTCTGTTGGTGCTCGGACAGCCAATTCTCAAATTGGTCTCCTACAAGTTCCTGAGAAATGGCACGCCCAAGCCCAAGATAGAGTTGTTCTTCTATGTTGCATGCAAAAGGAATACTATATACTCTGCTTCTGTCAGAAAGAGATAGATATTGACAACAAAGAAAGACGAACGATCTTCCCTGAGTCCAAGCTCCAAGCTTGCGGAGGATGTCGGACTTTTTATATTCATAATCCCACGCCGGGGAGGGGGAATATTTTGGGTCCATGACCAATTTTGTCTGGCCGTCCTCGAGGAGGGAAGGGATGCGATTGATTCTGGGTTCCGTCGAAGATGCCGGATTGATCGCATTGAACAATATGACAAATTTCTTGGAGAATGGATCAATATATCCCACAGAGCCCAGAGGAATGTACTGTTCAAACATAGGAATATATGCCTCCGAGCCGTCATAATGTAATCCAGCTAGATACTTAAAATGCCGCCCGTGAAGCAAACATGAGCGCTGGAACTCCCGTTCGCCAAACATGACACGAGACAAGAATTCCGTTCCTACATCTTGCGTTGGATAATCATATGGTCTTCGTCTGAAGGAGGGGATCGGAATATCAAGCTGTACATCTGTAGTCAACGAAGCTAGACACTTCCATTCGATGAGAGGGGTTAAGAGCGGCATCAATATCCACGCTGTGGATCCCATGACGCAGAGCTGGCGGACTCGTCGGACAACGATGGGTTGCGCACATAGACAATGAAATGGCCGTGGGAGAGTGAGAAGCGTCCACAATCGGTAGCGATATACAATGGTTAGCTGGGTGGTCTGCTGAGGAATCCAGAAGCGGGGGATGTGGACCTGTGGATCGTCGAGATAGTCCACGTAAATATGAATGCCATCTTGGGGTGTACTAGGATCATAGAATAGCCTGCGAAGCACCGATTCTATCCCCCTGTTAGCCGTAATGGAGGGCCCGCATCCTGACTTCCGAATGGAATCTGGCATCAACATGTAGTCCACTTTGAATGTTATGGTGCGGCAGAGCAACGGTTTAGGTATTGAAGACATCGACCGGATAGTATACAGATAACCTCCGCCATAGGATAAGGGGATAACCGAATGCGTGGAGTTCACCTCCTTGATGAGAGCAGACCATTGTTTGGATACAAGGGAGCAGATTGAGAAAATTTGGATGTGTCCATCAGTGGAAGATTGAACGGACCAGAGTTCGAAAAGAATACAGGAGATAAGCTCAGATGGAAGCATCATCAATGCCTGAAGAACGGGCGAGACAAAGACGAAACCTTGACGAAACCATCGGCCCGAAGTTTTTCAACGGCCCGGTCATCCGCTTTGTTCACCGATCATCAGACGAACGAGCCAAGGTGAACAGAAGAAAAGTATGCACTCATCTGGGAAAACTGCCTTCTCTGTGCCTTCTACTCCTTCAAAAAGCTCCGCCTTCCATGGCACGAAATCGTCAGCCTCTCGCCCACTATATTCAAAACCGTAAAGCAAATCGCACCAATGGGTTGGGCGATGAGGTACATTACCTCTCTTTGGGCCCTGGCCTCGTTCACACCTCAGGTCTGGTCAAAAAGCTGCCTTCAAGATCTCGTGGTATCCACAGGGGTGTCTTCGATGGGTACATTGGCCATCAAGCTCAAGTACGAGAAGGTTCTCGACAAAGACCGCTGCGCATAGAGTTGTGAATCAACATCGTCATTGCGCGCATGTGGTCTACAAAAAAACCGTATTGGGATCCCACACTTCGATTGACCGAGGTCGTTCTTCAATATTTTAATCGTCGTCTTTCAGGTCACCGATCCGACGAACAAGGTGAGACCTTTACATGCCATAGTCATTGGGTGCGTTATTAGCTTTATCCCGGAGCTGATTTTTGATCAATGATTTGTCACGCCGACGACGATTCCGGGCTAACCTGGGGAGGACAAACGTATGAGGCAAACGATTGTCCCACCGCCGGTAGCAACTCCCCTCCAGGCTGTATGGAAGTGATATGCTACTCGATATGAACTCTTTCCAGTTGTCGCACAAAAACTCAGGTGCTTGAGCAGTGGTGAAGCGGCGAGAGAGGTTGTCTGTAACTATACTGTCTAAGAACGGCGCAAGCATCGCCGATGTACGAACTGAGTGAGGTGCTGAATTACGACGAAGACGCGCGAGTTAAATAAAGCCTGCAAGCATTGAAAGGGCATACCTGGAACTCGTGGCAGAATGCGACGTCGTACGCATAAGGGTCATACATACACTCCCCGTGCGCAACGTCATGAAGCCAAGGACCTACAGTGATCCAAGTGTAACTAGCAGTAAATAGGCGGACATTTTCCGGCATACGCTATCGGCAGGTCGAAGGCGAACATGACATACTTGAGGAGTCCACGGTCACGAAGGTATTGTCTACCCCCAGTGGTAGTAATCCCTCTTGACGGGTGGGCCTCGGTACGATTGGCGAGATCGTTGAGCGATGCGATATCCTGTGCAACAAAGCTCAGATATCATGCAACCGGACTTGATGGAGTAGTATGAGTACCCGGTGAACGATCGAGTTAGCGTGAAGAAATGCCACAGCCTTCAGTATTATACTATTAAGCAGTGATCCAAATAAACTGTTGGATCAATCTTACCTTTAACAAACAAAGTGTAAGTGCAAGATGTCCTCTATGCGATGTAAAGGTAGATTATTTCGGATAGGCGACCGCCAGAAACGAGGGCTGAAAGAACGACCGACCGAGGCATCCTTCATTGTCCTGAGCATAGAATACCATGGACTGGGCTTGGTGTGAGTATACGACATGCATAACATATGCATATCAGACGCAGCCTATTGCAAGCACCCATAAAGGGATCTCTCGCCCAGTCTACTCATGGCTTAGCTTCACTATCGTAACGCGTAGGAATGCTGGACCGGTCCACTGAAGCTTGAGAGTCTGGACGGACATAAGCTCGTGACGGCCCTGAGGCGGGCTTGTAGAGATAATAGCCACGGGCGAGAAGTAACGCGAATGTCCGGTATGATTCCCCAAACTTCGTCTGCTCGTCCAGCGAGAGGGCTCTAAAAGCGAAATACTTTTAGCTGCGTATTTTTTCGTATTCATGGGGTTTCATAGGACGACGTGATCGGCAGAAGATATTGAGCATTACGGTACCTGGAGAAGGCGCAGGAAGCGCGAATTATGTTTGCGCCACCGGATTCGTCCGTCCAGCACTACCGCCTTCGAACGAGCAGGACCAGTTGTAGGAATTCAAAAAGAGGTATTAAATCATGAGCAGATCATACACATTTATATAAGTGTTACAGTAATATTGCCCTTTACATGCCTTCATGCAATGAAAGACATCATGATTTGATGGGCCCGTTCTCTGCAGCGTAAACTGCAGATACAAGATCAAAGTGGAAAAATGGTGTTTGCCGAGTAGAATCATCCTGTCTGACCGAAGCCCTTGAGCTTCTATCCTGTTTCCAGTCTGCTGTCTCGATGTCTCCTTCGTGCAGCTCCGATGGTACAGATGTACCGTCTCGATAGGGGACAACGGCCGCGATTTCCTGAGGCACTCGCTGGCCTATACCAAACCCACCAGCGATTAGCGCCCGGCGGATCCAGGGAGAGAGGATAGTGGCAAAGTGAAACTAAATGGTTGATGAGTTCAAAAACCCGCGAAGGAACATCATAGACGTACCTCTACAGGGTGGTCGGTCCATCGTTCTATTTCATTCCGGGTATCTATTAGCGCTTGGACAGCAGTAGTATCAATTTGCGAGCTGTCGTAAAGAGATCAATACAAATGAAGATGCCTAACAAATCGAAGCGTACATCACAGAGAAATCGAGAACAACGGCCCGTAGAGTTGGAAGATTCGCGTTGGCTTCGGCTGCAGCATCGTGATCGCCTCGCTTGGGTCCAGGATCGTTCCATGCTCGGTCGCTCAGCTTCACCGTGCTCATGTCTTTGCCTCTTCTCGTGTTCTTCTTGACATAGTCCACGAGGGTTGAGTTCAACTGCGAGCTGTTGGGGTAGAGGAAGCTTTCTTCGAACCGGTAAACAATGACACCAGGAGACGGCGGGGTGACTTGAACGTCTGAGTTGGTGATGCCATCCTTTGTGAGGGGAACAAACACCTCTTGGCGATGTTTATCTGAATCGTCATTCAGAGTGACTTTACCGAGGAAGTATCCGCGAGGATGAGCGATGCGTATGAGGAGGAGGGCCAGAGACGTGCAGATGGACACGTATATGCCGTTTTCGATGGATGAAAATATCGTTACGAGAACTGCCGCGACCCATATCACAAATTCCAAGGGAGACACTCGCCAGTAGGAATAGACCTAGTAATAAGTTCAGTACAGTGAGGTGATGTGTATGCATCGAACATACCTGCCGAGGAGATGCTACCAGATCAGCCACTGCATGGATAATCACGGCAGAAAGACCTGCGGTAGGGATCCAGTAGAATGCAGGTGTTAGGCCATACAGTGCCACAATCACGACAACTGCAGTGATGATACCAGCGGCAGGAGTTCTTACACCGGACTTCGATTTCAAGGCAGAGCGAGAGAACGAGCCTGTAGCAGGATACGCGCCGAAACATGAACCCACGGTGTTCGTAACTCCTATGGCGATGAGCTCTTGGTTAGGGTTGATTTTGTAACCATTCACTCGTCCGAACGCTTCAAGAATCGTAAGTATCATAACCTGAATTTGCACATGGCGAGACTTACACTTTGCAATAGCGATGTGCTCAAGCAATAGAATAATAACTGCAACAGGAAGTTTCGCAGCCAAAGCAGAAACAAGCTTTGGGTCGATGTTGGGCTGACCGACGTGTCTGAGACCACTGGGGACCGTCTTTAAGATTTTGATTGGGTAGCTTCCCGACTTGCTACGTCGGTGTCTTGTGTACAGCCATGCAGCGATTGTCAGAATAAGGATGACAAAGGCATTCCTGAAAACAGAGATGAAGAAGAACAGTCGTCCTCTGCGAGGGAAACGCTTTGTGAGCTGATCGCATATGATGCGGATGGCGTATAATGCAACCAATCCGGTCAGTCCCCAAGCGGCATCAAGCTTGGTATTCGGCAGTCCCTTCAAGGTGTTTATGATAACTTCGTAAGTGGCAGCGCGAGTACTAGAATTTACGGTTTAGAATCGAGAATGAATGATAAATCAGACTGCGTACTTGAAACCAGTGATACCCATTAATCCAGGAACTTGACCAGCGATGATATTAATCGCAGAACCGGTCATAAAACCGCTGACGGCCGGTGCAGGAATAAAGTCAACTATCCATCCCAGCCGCAAGAGTCCAATGCCCAAGACGATAAAACCAGCGATGAACGCGACAGTGGTGGCTATTTGAGGACCTCCCCATTCACTGGGATGTTTTTTATCGATATAACTGATGATCTGGGATACAGTCAAGGACATGACAGCGACTGGACCAATGGACACGTCTTTCGAAGTTGCAAAAAACTAGATGGTAGATTAGCAAGTTGAGTTTAGGCATTGAAAAAAGGACAAACGCAGTATATCAATACACCAACGAACGAAGAATAGAGCCCATATTCGGGATCGAGGGTGGCAATCTATTGTCCGTCAGACTCGTTCTCTGGAGGATCCAATAAAAACTTGCCTGAGCGTAGGACATGCTCTGCGGAACGATGACCATCCCAACAGTAAGTCCAGCAATAACATCTCCAGTAAGCCATCCCAGATCTAGGATCTGTTTCAGTTGCCAATTCCCTCAGACGCACAGGGAGAAACTCACTGTATCTAGTGATCCATCCAAATATAGGGAACAAGCCGACAAGATAATCCACCACCTGTAATCAAATATGTAAAAACGACTCAAGATTGGAGAAAAGCATACGCACCCGTTTACCGGGGTCCTGGGTGTATTGAAGTACATAGTCCTTGGAAGAGACGACGGGGACAATCTCCTCTGGATACCCGATGATGCGTTTACCGAGGCGTTTCGCGGAGCTGATCATGGCGCTAACTGGACCTCGAGAAAGATGTTCCTGATGCTGCAGCATCTCTGAACTGGCGCTAAAAAATAACAGCGTTAGAGTTAACTCCGGTACGCTCTGAACGAACAAAGCGTTACGTACTACAGACGTCTCTCACGTAAACAGAAGCGTCGAAAAGCGAAGTCGGTAGCGACAAGCGAAAAAGCAAGACATTTTCAAGAATATTTTGAGGCTGGGAGATCGCGACATTAGGTGATCAACTGCCCAATGATTGCGCAATGCGGAGCCTGAATGACATCACGCGGGAATTCGAAAATTCAATCGATGACATTGGCGAATGTCGACGCGATTGGGCCCTGGTATGTCGCTTTGTCGATGGCGGGCCAGGAGAGGCCAGGAAATCGACCTTGGATCCTCGTGAACTCGTACGTATACGTATAAGTCCCGAAATTTTTGGCCCCGTTTGATTTGGAAAAAGATTTCTAAACCAGGCAGTAGCCGCGAAGCCGATCGTCACCTGCTCTGGCAGTGTGCCACACTTATTACATTGCAGATTCAGGTAGTAAAGAAATTACTTAGGGTTTGGCTAGCGGAATGCGAGAGAAGAGGGAGGTCATACGTCTACCTACAACAAGCGAAGATTGTCACGAAAACCCAACTACTTCAACTTAGTTAAGACAACAATTTAACGTACTTAGGAGTGCCCAACAAGCACTCTGTTAGTGGTATGACCTTATAGACTATGACGTGATAATTCATGAATTCAAGAAGTCATGATAGCTTGTTGATTGAGGGGTAGTTCCGAGTCCGCAGAGGAATACATTAGGAAGGCTGAGTTCATTGAATAACTCAAATCTTTCGACGAGGAAGACGTCATGCAACACGGGTACCTTGTCAAACCTACTGTACAGGTGCTCTGCGGGTAATGCTCCACATCCATGACACCCAATCATCAAAGCAGATGGGACGCTATAGAGTCAGGGACACGGATGTTTCACCAAAGAGTACTAGAACGATTCAGCTACCGCCATGAACACCAGAAGGAGCTCCACCAACCTCGTCTCGAGACCCAACGGCCAATAACAACGCAGCATCTCGTTCCTTAAAAGAATCGGGAATCGGGATGGGGCTGGGGACGGTCAGGTGGATCTCGACATATGACCCTGCGAAGTTACATGTGAACGCATGGTCAGCCGGTCATGCATACTCCTCAAGATGCTTACCGTATGCTTTTGGGTATATACGATAGCCCACATATGAGTCTTTTATAAGAGGAAAATACACAAAACCATCCAGCCCGACACCGTCGTGAAGAAATCCCGAGGAACAGCATTCGCCGGAGGTCGGAAGTTGTTGGCTGTTAAGGTGACCAAACCAGTCTCGGCTCGCGCCATTTCACGTGTATCGCCCAGAATATAATATCATCAACGCGACGAAGAGTAACCGACTGAACAGATGTGACGCGTCGAGCGCGGATATATCGGGAAAAGGAACTGCAACAAAGGTCAATCCTCTCCACCTAGGGTGCTAGGGAAGCAACTTCATCGGGATGCCGCTCGTCCAGTCTCAGACCTAGCATACAATATTAGACCACAGACCGAAATTAAATAAAGGCACAATCTAACGCACCAACCATTATTAGCAAATCCCGTGGACATTTCGTTCAAAAGCGGGTATAATCATAGACGTACCAGCGGAGCGCGTCATTTGAAACGTAGACAAGGAATCCCAATAACAAAAGGACCCAGAATAAGCGGAGAGAGCATGCGGTGTCATCGGCAAAATCCAAGTCTCTGATCGACCCCCGACCTGACTGGACCACTTGTTGCACACTGCAGCGCAGTCCTCCATGGGGAATACTTAATCACCGCTGCTAGCCAAAGACTAGCTGCAGGGCCCAGTTACATCGAAAAGTGCAGTGCTAGAGTTCCTCTCGCGAGACAGTTAAAGCGGAACCAAGGTGTATGGGACGAAGGTTTTCTCGCCATTCTGGGAAATTTCAGACCAAGTTCATCGCCTTTGGTTTAACCCTGTCAGAACGGGCGGCTGAGAAACCAAGTTTGTCAAGCCAGTTTTCATACGACTGGAAGGAAGTAAAACGGCTCACCGCTATGTCATATAACATTATTTGTACACTAGCACTTGCAACATTTGACGGATGTCCAAGAGGAAAGGATGGTTTGCTAGTTCTGATCCTGCAAAAAATTCGTTAGTAGGGTCAATTATATTTTCACTGGCCGCACTCGCAGATACTTTAACTGTATTCACCAGAATGAGCAACATAGTCAAGGGCTATTGAGACTCCGCTTGCCCTGCATGAATGTACTAGGTGTGGTCGTAGACTGAGGCTTGAGGGCATTTCGTACCAAACGGACACGAGGATCAACATAGCTTTGTTGGTTGTCTTGGCTATCGAAATAGGGCTAATGGCTTTTATCCTAGAATCGGATTGTCCATATAGCGGCTTGAACTTCGAAGTTGAATGTGAACTGACACGTAGGAAAAATTCGGTCGCTTCCTCGGCCTGTAGTTCCGTTGCCAGATGGTATTGTTTTTGCATCTATTTCTGAGTGTACACTTATAGCTCTGGGCTATTAAATACATGACTTTCAGGCATTTTCTTCAGAGATCCTTGCCTTCCTCATACATGAACATTGGGCGTGCCTTTTACGCAACTGGCTGGATGGGATGCACGGAACTGTCGAAGAGCGCACTGACCTGGTGCTCAGGGCAGGCAACTAGGACTCAGATTCCAGTGGCTTTTGTAGGTCATATCATGTGTGTCCTTTCCGAACCCCAACAAACTACTCACTCAGGAGAAATAAATAGCAACATCGACTCCCAAGATCCCAGCAGACTGAACATTCGCTGAGTTTACCTCTGATCTTAGCCCCGCTTGTGGGATGGGAATATGATTTACGAAAATAGTAGGCATTGGTTTTTCAGCTGCGGAAAATCGCCTTCCCGTTAATGCACCTTATGGCATTGAGGTGGACATCCGAGTCATTAGCCGCCTCAGTGGCGCACCCCATCTTCCGATACTCGGTGTAGATCCGAGTCGAAGGAGGGATGCATATTTACTCTGGTTTTTCCGTCCCTGAGAAGCTAACCAAAGTCCGCGCTTGTCGTGAGTATCTATCCGTAGACAGGGCTCAATATACAGAGTGACTTTACTGGCATGGAGGCGACATATAATCTGGGGGTAAACACGGACCGCAATGTTCTAATCATTCCTTCTAGCGTTGCTTGAAAAGTCTCGCACGACCTCGACTGTTTTACCACGGTTTGCCTCCTTGACATTTTTTGACTTAGCTTCCTCAACCATCGTCTTTACTCGGAAATGCTTCCTTCTTCAAGTTGTGCTGCCTTCTTTGTCATTACTTATCACATTGTCAATCAGACTCCAGAGATCTGGAAGGCGAATAGTTTTATTATCTGACATAGATGGGTTTTTGTAAATTGGAGAACAATCTGATTTTACTCTTCTTTGCTACATGAACAGTAAGAAATGGTAGTGGCACTTAAGTAGAACACTAATGAAGCCTATCTATTACTTAGAATAAGTAGGGTGACCGAGGCTTGAAGTAACTGTGGATGTTAGCAATGCCAATCGTTTCGTCAGTGCTCACTTGGCTACTACTAAAGTCTAGGGATGACACCATCGTGATGCGGCTGATTCAGAATGCTCAGAATTTGGGCCGACACAGCATCAGGGTCTTCTTGGACGACCTGAGAAAGGTATAAAACAGGGCAACGGAGACATGATTCTGAATGCTCACTAGGTGTCCTCCTGAAGAGATCCTCGAAATAGAGGCCGGCTTTCGCCCTTTGGATAAATCAGAGAGACTGTCTTGAGAATACTGTGGACTAATTTCAGATGCTTAGAATTGAATTAAACTAACAACAATGATTTATAACGCACACAAGGCTGTCCTTTTTGCCGTAGATGATATGTATTGGGACGGTTGCGCAGACTTTTTCGATCTGCTCAGCAGCTTCAAAGGTCGACCCGAAATCGGTAAAACCACTCGATTCGTGGCGTTTGTCGCACTTCGTGGTAACGGAATCCAACGGATGTTCAGGGTCCAATGGGCGAAGGCCGTGATTCTGGTGATAGGTGAATGAGGATTACGATGGATAAGGAATGCACCAACAACGTGGATAACCACAGTTCGAATATCCCATGTCTTCCATGGCGCGCGCTTCACGAAGTACTCAAATGCTGCTTTCCGGTTATTCCAGGTGTTGCGCTGTGCAGCTATAGCTTTCGTTAACATCGAAGTCTGGCGCTCGCGGTCCTTTATATTCGCTTGGAATACATGCCTGTCGATCATGGGCGGTTCAACCAATATGATACTTTCATATGGTAATTCACCAGAAGAGTAACACTTCGTAGAAAACATCCTAGAAACGGCGTCTATGAAGAGGTTAGAGCAGATGTAAAAACACGGACGCAGCGGAAGCTCCGGCGGAATGTCCGACTACGATGATACGCTCGCCTCGCAGGCGATTCTCCGCAAATTCTGCGATGCCACGGGCCCAGTCCGAAATCGCTAAGGGTCCTCGCTTTCCGTCAGATTTGGCTTCATTGATATAAGAAGGCCTTACATGGAGAGAAGCCGGCAATCTCCTTAGCGTTCAGGAGTGCTGATTCGCCATGATTGAGCGAATCAAAGGCCCAGCATTCTTTAACACTCTGAGTGGAACTGAATATGTTGGCGATAACAGGCTCCCAATGTTCCTTGTCTAGAATGCATGGAAGAAAAGACATCATCGGAGAGTAGTTGTGTACTTACGCGTGCCGGTTGCATGCAAAAAGATTAGGACCTTTCCATCATTCTTGGTGGAAGCAGTAGGTGTATACCGCTTCGCAGCCATTTTGAGGGGCACCCCATTAACGGTGCAAGCCGTCTTGATAACAACGGCTTCAACAATGAAGGCGGAAAGAGACATATCGGATGATCAACGAACTCTTTCGCTTGAACTTCCCATAAATACTCTCCGGTTCTTTGAGAAAGTCGATCTGATTGCCGGCTGTTGCGGTGACTTCGGGGCCGGCACCATCCGGTCGTCTACTCATGCTTTGACAGCCGGACCTGCTTTGAATCAGCCCGTGTTAGTAGTAACAGGCCCGAGGCAGAAGTGTGGCTAGATTTTGAGAATTCATCGGGGTCTACGGGATATACCTAGGCAACATCAGAAATCAGAATCAGAATCAGACAAGGAAATGACAAAAGGTGCTATGTACGTACTGTTGTTGTTCAATGGAGGATATATGAGCGTTGTGTTCCACTGTGGTTTCCGCGATTCTCTAACTTCAGCGACTCGAAGATGTTGAGTTTGACTCAAAACTTGGAACACACAATGTTGTTCGCATTTGGCTGTCCAAAGATACATTGATTTGAACCGAGGCAACTTGAACCGTAAATGGAAAACACCATAAGTCAACTACGTTAAACGCCGTGCAAATGGACGCTGGACCTAGGCCTCGGAACAATGCGACATTGGAACGGAGAAGGATGGCTGATATTTGTGTCAACACCTTGAAATAGGATAAACGAAGGTGCGCACCTCGTTACACCCGTGGTATAGGATATCTCTGGACAATATTCTGCACCTGTGTTGACGTCAACAGGTTTTAGGATGTTGAAGCAGGCAAGTATGTTGGCAATGTTGAGAATAACAGATGTTTCGGCGAATCCAGCACCTTTTAAGCGCTCCTTCGTTAGATGATCAGGCCACAAGGTGACTTGCACTAACCAGGGCAGACCCGTCTTCCGAAGCCAAACGCAAGCTTCCGTGGGTCCATCTCGTTTCTTGTAAGAAACCGGTTGGGATCAAAAATATCCGGGTTAGTATACACTGAGGGATCGCGACATATTGCCCTAAATGACCTTCAGGAAAACACAACGTTCAGCCAGAACGCCGTATCTCACCAGATATTTGCCATAACTGTACTACTTTGGGGGATCCTGTATCCGTTATAGGTGTCTTCTTGAATGACACGATGAGGCAGGCCTTTCTTACACTGAGTTACAAGCAATCATACACTCGGCATATACTCACCCAGTCTAGCCGCTGGGGAATACCGTAATATCTCCTTGAAGAGGGCTGACACATACGGAAGAGAGGATTGGTCGTCGAGGTTGGGAAGACGATGGTCGTCCAACACAGAGTCAATTTCGTTTTGGGCCTTCTTCTGTACGTCTGGATATTGTATCATCAACGCGATGAAAGATAGCATTATTGAAACCGTCTGCGAAGTAAGTTGCAAGACACCACGATATTAATACTGAAGGGAAAGGACATACAGTATCTGCACCTCCAGCATATAAAGCAGACGAACACCAGGCTATCATACGTTCCTCATTGTTATCAACATAATGCCCATCTTGAGGCTGAAGGTGTTGGGATGTAAATGAATCCTTGGCGTTGCCGCTTGCCTGCGTGACTTCAGCCGCTTTGACGTTGTCGATCTTCGAGGATACTCGCCATCTGTTCCTTCGTCCATTTAAGCGGTTCCTGATCAATTGCCTTCATACGCGCACGAACAGAAAACGCAAATCTCTTGAAGTGGGCCCCCGGCATCCAAGATGGAACGAATCGCACTTTTCAAACGTACAGCAACATCAGCAATGGGGGATAACAAGTCAATGACATACGTACGGAAGGGCATTACTTCGACTAACCATCGGCCAGGCTGAACTACCTGCTTATGAAGGGCGAACGCCTCCTCCATGAGTGAAACGAAGTAGTCATCATCACTGGTGACCGGCCATCCGTAAGCGAGATCTAATACTACTGCGCCAGCGTTCCTATTTCATCATGAGAAAGAGGGACCTGGGGTAGTAAAAATACGTTACCGTCGAAGATGCTTCACATAGTTTTCGGGTGTATTCAGAAGCCCCTCTAAGAGAATATGCAGTTCCCGCTCTAGAATACCTTGATAGCCTTGAACTGCTCTCGGATTGAGACCTGACTGAAGCAGCCGTCGATATATTTTATGATGGGGGTGTTGCGAAGAGACGGAGAAGACAGTCATTCCACGTCCAGCTAGTTCATTATACATCCACACGACCGGTCTGTCCGAATATATATTAGAGCGATGTTCAAGAAGCGCCAAAGCAGCTTCGACGCTGTTCAACACTATAAAGTGCCGCCCGAAAAATCTGTAGTGAATTATTGCACTCCCTACGAAGTTCGTGAAGCAGAAGCCTAAAAAGTTGGCATAACCGTACCGTATTGCTTCGACCATTCAGCGAAAGTAGTCCAAGGCGCGACTCTTGGCATCTGATGAATATTTCCTGAGATCGTTTTCGGCGGAGGCCCTGGGGGAAGTTGTTGAGCCCCGCGGAATAGAATTGTACTCGACAGAGCTAAAGTTAAGCCTAAGAGTACGAGTCCAGCCAAAAATTCAAGTTGCCCAAGCATAACAAGCTACTAAGAATAGTCGTGAAGGCGATAGAATGCGAGTGATCTCCGCACTCGCATTCTTAGCAGAACTAAAGTACGTAACCGGAATTCGCCGTATGAGAATGCTTGTTGCCGATCTTGTCTTGTTACTTATTGGACTGGCTCCAGAATCGTCTTTTAATTATGTAGTCTCTTGCCGGTATGACAGACTAGGGTCAGCATACCCTTGATCACGATGAAAAATTATACATATATAAATAGTTCCAGGCCGTCCTAACCATGCCGCTGGACTAGGAGAACTTCAGATTAGACAAATCTTTGGTGATGGGCCTCATCCCGAGACGCGCTATCTCGACGCCTTACAACCGGACCGCTACCAATGATGTTCACTGAATATTACGTCAAACGCCTACGAATCAAACATCCTCGTTCCTCTTCAGGTGGCTACTCCCCGTCGGGTCTATATCTTGGCCTCGGCTACTGCTGATCTGTACTCGGTCTTCGTCGCTCTCTTGGTACGATCTTATTCCGACTTTCAGAGTCCCGGCAGAACTTGACTGAGGTTCCGTCCGAACAATGGCCGCGAAATCCAGATGACTCAAGACGTTGTGCTGGTGGTCGTATTTTTGATACCGGGCTAGTGCCGCTCGTAGTAGGATGACGGAGAACGTAATTGGAATGATTTGACCAATCTACCAAAGAAGTGTCATCAGTAAGACAACTTGACATCCGCATACTGAAAACCCACCAGGTCGACAACAAGGTACGCGGCATTTGACTGCCGCAGATAGATTACCAGCATGGAAATGAGCGCTAGAGAATATAATGCGCCGCATTCGAGGATCACCAGAATGATGGGATAGAAAGAGCTCCTTGAAGTATGCGTGGACGTAGTAGCGAAGTACTTAACGGCACGCCGGTGGGCTATCCACAACTTTGTCGCCAAAATGGCTAGAGGAGGATTAGCAGGGTCACACACTGATTAACATGCTTTAACTTACACGTCGCTGATATGTTGGTCGCCAAAGCGATAGAGTAGAAAGACACTACCCATTGTTGAGTCTGGTGGACAAATATTGCGTCTTTATTAATTGTTCCGGTCTCTCTTGCTATGGACCAGATGGTGTGGGCTCCCGCCACTAAGAAAAGAAGGATGAGGGGCGATGAAATCATCGAAAGCGAGCGTCTTACCAACGGTTCCAATCCAGCCGAGAATCGGGAAAGCAATAATCAAGGCGTTTTGCCAGACAATATAGCAACGATAAATCTATCAGCAGCGACTTTAACAAATATGAATGCTGAAAGAAGATCGCCATACAAGAATGCCGTCAGCCAGGAGAGTCTCCAAATAGTACACCGAGTTCTTGAAAGTGAATCTGGTGCTGTCAAGGAAGTAGATGTGATCGCCTTTCGAAATAATGAATCCTTGATACACGTAGATTCCATCTGCAATGACATGCTTGGTTCTCGGTCAGTTGAAATTTGTGCTAATGAAGAGCTGGATTTTACGCACAAGAGTACTGAGAATTCCCAAGGCGCATACACCTACAAGCGTTACTGTAGAACGTTGGCGGTCGTTCCGCTCATGGGTTAGAGCCCAAAGTGTAATGAAAATAAGCAAAGCAGCAAAACCTGTGGAAATGATTGTTATGGTATGACCCGAAATGAGGGACGGAGCATCGATGCACACCGTATAGAACGGATTCGACTATAATAGCGATGAATTCGGCAGCCTCGATAGAAAAGGCCATAAACTTGACAGATAAGTATGGAGCGAGAAGAAAGATATCTTCAATCGATACAGCTCCTGTCAAGCTCCTGCGGGCTTAACTACTTCCCTGAAATGTCGTCACGGAGAAAGATTGCAGGCACCAAGGGACAAAAGTAGCATCGGTGAAGTCCGAGAGCTGTCGAAGCTGGGGCACAAAAGGAAACCAATGAGCATCCAGTAGACACCCTTGTGTAAATCCACAGAAAGATAGCTACGCGCCATGGCTCTCAACTACACAGCATCCGACCATTCCAAAATCCCATATTATCGCACCAATGGACCCATGGGTTGACGCGAAAGCGAAGTACTTTGACCGTCATTCCCACGTTTGCTAGCCACGGTAACCACGATTAGCTCGGAAATGTCATGGGATGCAGTAAGTATCATCGCGTTTCCTGGTTTCCTGGTCCCCTGGTCCTGAATCTCGGGTGTATCATGCCCATACACTGACAAATTTGCAGCGTATGTTCAACACATGAAAGCGACGTGGAATGGTACGATCGGAGATCAAGGGGTGGACATAAGGAATTTCCCGAGATCTAGTTCCCCTACTTGCGTCGCAATTCTCGCACTAAATCATCCCTTTATCTCTCTCTCCTTGAGCTTTCTGATGTAAAACATCATAAAAACATAGTTACTTACTAAAAAAACCCCCCCGAATTTTGATGGCATCATGATTCAATATTCAGCTTGCGGTGGCACAAATCTTGCGGATCGACCTATTTCTCCATGAGAGAACACATGAGTAACACTTATGACATACAGTTTTCGGAAAACGCCGCTGGCTATTGCCGCAACATCCGTGGCGGCTTCCAGAAGTCGGTCAAAAAAAAAACCGCCATTCTGTGAGGCTCAGAGACTTCCTCAGCGCTGTGCTTGGGAACGGAGACACCTGAATAGTCAGCGGAGTATCAAGTTTATGCGTCCATCAGAATGGATAAGCGTCAGTTTATTTTCCTCGATTTATTCTAATAATGTGGCCATGCTTTGGTATTCTTTCCAGAGTCGGGACCATATCGGCAACAAACCCTACCAGCGGGGATTTGCTTATAGGCGCAAAGAATTGAACGCTGGCGTTAACAACCATCCCCCATTAGCTACCTTCATATGGCATCTAAAGTCCTTTCTGCGTCAGACTCTTCTTCATTAACATTTAATGGAAAATCACTTCTATCTCGTCCGTCATTCTCTTGGCTTTTAGCCGCATATGGTGAGAAACTTACAACTGTATCTACCACTCTATCTAATGTCGTGATGCTCTGACAGCTAAGGCCGCTCTATTATCTTCCCTGAGCCAAGGTCTCCGTCGGGGTTCACTCGTCATCTTCGACCAGGGAGATTCTTACCGGTTCGGCAACTTAATCCTTGACGAAGACGCAGATTCCGTCGTCTTCCAGGTAAAATCTCCCAATTTCTGGACTCGGATCTACCTCAGTCATGACCTTGGCTGTAAGTTTTTCTTAGCCAAGGGTCACCCCTCCGTCATCTAACTGTGCTCTTATTCAGTCGCTGAGGCTTATATGAACGGAGAATTTGAAGCCAGCAGCCTCAGAAGGGCACTTAATGTCCGTCTCTTTACATTTATCGGCACGTGCACGCCTGATATCGATTTAGTTATGGCTGGATAATCGCACTCATCTCAGCGAGCTTTCGTCTTTTTGGAATCGCTGCTCGGTCGCTTTTTCGTCTTTGTATATATGTTTTCTCGGTCAGTCCTTGGGTAATGCCAAACTAAACGTCGTATGCGTTTATTACTATGAATGTATCTCGCTCTTCGGTTTACTTCAATGTAGGTAACCGGCTACGAGGTCGACAATGAATTTTTCAAAGTGAGTATCGCAACGTCTACTCGACGCTGTCTCTCATACCTCTCGAATAGTCTTTCCTGAGTCGCGACATGACTTACTCCTGTGCAATCTGGCCTGAGAGCGCTGGCGGCGTTCGCGGAGATCTAACGAGCGAATGGCAGGAGGGAGACTTGGAAGCAGCGCAACTCTACAAGATCCGCAACTTGATAAGCAAGGCTCGGCTCCGTCCTGGAGATCGTCTACTGGAATTCGGTACCGGTTGGGGTGCTCTTGCAATTGAGGTGGGTTCGCACATTTGTTAATAACCGTACCAACTGGCTGATAACAACGAGGCCGCGAAAATGGGATGCCAAGTAGATACGCTGACACTCTCTGTCAATCAAAAAGCGGTTGCGGAACAAAGGGTAGCCGCGCTATCATTGCAAGATCGTGTGCGTGTCCACCTGCTGGACTACCGGAACATGCCAGGTGATTTCGAACACGCATTTGACGCGTTTATCAGCGTCGAAATGGTGGAGGTCGGTCAACGTTCCGCTCGAGTCTATGTAACCATCTCGACAATAGACCCTATAGGCAGTCGGCGCGATGCACCTCGGGAGCTTTTTCAAGCTTCTTGACTGGGCGCTGAAGCGTCATCGTGCTGCGGCTGTAATCACGGCCACAACCCAGCCCGAGTGGCGTTTTAAAGTTCTTCAGTAAGCAACGGTGTAATCTACGTCTGCGTCGTACTCATTCTTCCATGAAGACCTGATGACTATGCTAGACGATATCAGTGGCCCAACTCCTTTATTCCTTCTGCTACATATTTCCTGCAGGTTGCTGAAGCTGCAACTAAAGGAAGTCTCACCGTCGAGAGCGTAGAAAATTTTGGATCCCGTGAGTACTCCCTTTTTCGTACAACATACAAGGCATTCTTATTTGACGTGATTTTCTTTTGATTACCCTCGAACACTGCGCGAATGGGGAAGGTGGGACTTTCCGTGTGATCCTTGTTATTCCATTCTGACGGCGAGAGCGTTAGGCGTTTTTCGCGGAACTGGGGGAATGAAGAACTTATGGCTTCACTGGCGAAAAGCCAACCACAGCTATTGAGAGTGCCAGGCGCCCTGGAGGCCTTTAAACGCAAGTGGGAATATCTGTGGGTGTACGCAGAAGTTGGGTATGCTCGTGCATATACGTCAATGCACCACTTCACATTCATGCGTCCCGTAAGTGGCACCCGCAACCCTGCTCACAAATCACCGACTTACGCTCTGCACAGGAATTTGTCTCCGTCCCTTGCGATTGATGCTGTGCGGGCGATCTGCCATTACAAAGATGTAGAATAGTGACAAGAACCAATACATATCTCGTTGGTAGGAAGCTTATTGATCTCTCGCGGCCAATCTCAGGATTTTGACGACAGCAGATTCATAGAGTAGTCATAATTAATTCGAGATGATTCTTCCAAAGCGTCGAAAAGATAACTTTGAGGCGGGAGAGATGTGAGGGATTCATTTAAAGGAGTAAAATTCGACAAGGAACATAACGGATCAGTCCAGAGAGATCCTGACAGTTCTCCCTCGAGCTTGAAGGTTCGCGTCAAGATAAGATAAGATCTATTTGTTCATGTTGAGTGACGTCATCATATACGACCGCGAAGAAGGCTGACGGCAGTTAATTTGCACTGAGCTCGAACAGTCACTAGCCATCGCTGAGATGGTGTTGGGCGTTATCGGTATCGCAGCAGGCGGCGTTGCCATACCCTTGGCGGCATCTGGAGTAGCTGCCTCTGTTGCCAGCATCGCGCAAGGTGCTGGTGCTCAACAGCAAGGGAAGGCGGCATCAAAACCAGCAAAGCCACCTGATCCAGATGACCCTCGACTGAAAAAGTTCACCCTCATAGCGCATTGCAGCGAGGACTCGCCGTTAAAGGACCAGGTGGAAGGCAAGCAGGTAGTCTTGCGTGATCGAAAGGTACGTCCGCCTAGCTATAATTCTCCGCTGAGAAACTGAATATTTTGCAGCTGTATCTTGATGATCAGGATTCTTCGCAGCGGAAATTCGAGGATGGGCATGGATTCAGTGGGTTCTATGTCGATTACCCTTGGAACGATAAGCCGCGAGGGCTTGTCAGCACCATCAGACCAGACCCACCGGAACTGAACTGGATATATGTGAACAAAGATACTTTGTTGGTCGAGCATGGAGGCAAGACACAGAGTCTTCCTCACATGGTAGGGCCCTGGGACTGGACAGAGAACCAAGAATGGTTGTTGTTCGAGGGCTGGGAGGGCTTTGCGGTGATGGAGGAAAGCGAGGGATGTTGGCTTCTATGTTACGACCGCGAACAGGACCATTTGGCTAGCATAAGAGGAGAAAAAAGAGTAGTAAAATGCACGCTGGAAAGAATAGTATCAAGTCCGCCCGTAAAATAGAAAACCATTGCAAACCTTGCTGAGGGCCTAGTTGGTGGTCGCGATTGAAACGTTGAAGAGTGCGGAATATACCGACATGCTGACAAATGCGCCATAACCAACAAAAAGTGGCATACAAACCCAAATATTCAAGTTACACTGGTAATTACAGGGTCGATGCCCCCAAATTTACCATACCGTAACATTTATTCCTTGTTCTCTCATCTCCTGCATCCGAACTACCGTATCGTTCAGCAATTCGCCTCCATCTCGTGGTCCAATAACCGCAGACTTCAGCATCATCCTATCCACTCGATATTCCAACATCCTCATTATGGCACCCTCATCGAGATCTACGTTGTCTTTTGACCAAGCAAGATCAAGTCGCTCGAGCCCTGGTAAAATCTCGGGTTTCGAGAGGTTATCCATCAAGTGCTGGTCGAGCGTGAAGAAACTCGCCGATTCCCTCTTTTCAATGATAGAAAGTCGCCTGAGGTTGGGAACCCTGAAGAGAAATTCAACAACCATTTTAGAGTCGAAGGGAAGATCTTTCAAAGTTAGATGAGAAAGAGAGGATCGGAGCTTCGCAAGGGATTTTGCGCAACGACAGACCATGGACTGGTAATAGAGGGAAAAAAGGCCTGGATCAACATTCTTGTATAACTCGTCCGTACAGATATTCGTATCCAACACAAGATGCGTAAGCGCCGGCAGTTCGAACGTCTCGAGGAAACCGGATACCCCATAGCGAACCACAATAAGAGACCGTAGACACCGAAGCACGGAGGATGCTCCTCGAGTCCGTCCACTAGAATCCCAATGAGACAACGTGAGGTGCCGGAGGTTGACACAAGACCTCAGCAAGTAGGAGATGTATTCCGATGGGTATTCATGGAGAGTAAGTGATTGGATCTGATGTATCGGTAGGACATACCCTGCGATCGACACGTTCCCTCCTTTAAGATGAAGTTCTCGCAGTTTCGGTGCCTTCTCGAACAACGTGCAAGGGTATGAATGCTCGGCCCAAGCACCCTGTTGAGATAGATCGAGACATTCTAGTGATGGCCATACGAAGCTATGCTCATCGGAAAGGTTGAGATGGGAGCGCAACACTTTGAATGGGTCAATGTCAAACACCAGCCTGCGGCATCTCGCCAGATCCAAGCCCCCAGCGAAGAGCTTGTCAAAGACTCTGTAATTGCGTCCGAGCCTTTCGACAGCTTGGCGCGTGGATTGGTTTGAAAATAATGCAGAAATGAAGATGGATAAGGGACGGGAGCAGGAACGATCTTGATGTAGGCTGATAATGTTACACAGTGCCTGACTGACGTCTGCCTGATTTGCATGCCCGTATACACATGTCCACATTTCTGGGGTAGAGAGTGTGATACTCCGCCAAAATGAGCATACTGAAGCGAGACGAAGGGGAGTGATGATGAGGGTTCGAACGGCATCGCCGTCCGGGAAATACGAGGATGTTGGCATCGGGCTACATGCGTCCTTGAAAATATTCGTCAAAATTTCTACGGGCAGCCGACGAACGGGGGCCAAGCGGGACTCCCATGCATCGAGGCAAAGGCTCAGCTCGTCCCGACCGTGTCTGAGCTGAACCAGGATGCTCTCAAGTCGAGAAATTTCGGCATTGTAGTCGGACAGCCTTGAGTACAAGGACGGGATCACTCTGTGTATGGATGCAGTACTTTCCGAGTCCATTTCTTGACCGGTGCGAAGAGCGTTGTGAAGAGGGAATGGGATAGGGTGCGGGGGGGAGATAAATGATGCGGAGCATTGATTGCAAAGGGGTATTGTCTTCGTATCGGTGGGCATTGTAGCTAACTGCGCATCTTTCGTTAGCCAAATATTACACGTTAAGCCTAGAGACGTGCGCACCTCAACTCCTATCATACTATGTTGTGGATGAAAACACACTTAACATACGGACCTTCAGGGTCGCGTTGAATGTGTGGTAATTGCATGGCGCCACATTCACCACGTCACGTACGGAATCTATACAGTCGAACATCGTGCCATTTCGGGAGGGTAAGGAGGGTTATAAACAGGCTGCCTTCCACATGGAGGAATCGTTATCACAGTGTGGGGAACTTGGCGTTATAGTTCCGTGACCCTTCCGAACGTTCTAGGCAGAGAGTTAGCGCTTGTCGACAACGCCAAAATATTCGGGTGGAAAATCAGAAAATCTGCTGATTTCCCTTGGATAAAACCTAGTCTCCCACTTGTCCGGACGGTTGCTAATGGACACGGTCTCTGAATATGCTGCCAGCGAAGCCTAGCCACGAGTAACGTTTTGGCTGACCTCGCACACCCAGAAACGTCATTGTGATACGGCAATCGTCTTGATTCGTGTGCTGACGCCCAAAAGACAAGTGTTAAGCGAAATATTGTCGATATCGATTCTCTCCGGAAAAAACACGGCACAACGTCCAGATTTCGGCGACAAGCGTCGTTGACGCAGATGCGCTATTTACGCCACGACGAGTAGCAGACGACCACTGTACCTAGGGAGCTTCTGGGACAACAGGGCGCGTTACAAGAAATAATCCGTGAAGATCAGTGAAGTGAGTCTATTAAATTATCGATGTGATCAAAAAAAAAAATGAGGCCGGACCGAGGCCTCCGGCCCTCCGACCAGACCAGAATTGTTTCTACAGCTCATCACGACATTCTTACGGCAACGAGATGTGCTACACTTATTTTTCTATAGAAAGCCCTGTGATATCATCCTCACTTACTAGATGAGACAGAAAGCAATACTTTGAGCACTTACTTGACAGGATTATCGGGCCGAACCTCCGCACACATAAGCACTGTAGCGTTCCAATTTCAAATTTATTCATGTTACTCCCTACCACCATGTCCTTGATAGCAAGACGAATCTCTACCACAGCGTTCAAGGCGAATCCTCGCTGGTCCTTGATGCCACCGCAGCCGCGTGATGAATGGGTTGATCAAGCAGAATTCACGATGCTAGGCAGTGACCCACTTCCTCTGCATCGCCGTCCACAAGTACCTTTTTTCAGAGCTCAGAGCCCTACTACGAATGAAAAGCCATCGACGAGGAACTATTCGCGCGCGTGGATGCTGTTCTGTGTGTTTATCGTCGATTCTTCTCTTTTCGTCTGTTTTCTAATGTCGTCGCATTGTTTAGCTTCAGAATTCATATCAAGAACCCCTTCAGTTCGGAATCGCCCATCTCTCTGATGCGCTGTCGTTGGGAGTATTAATCTATGGAATTCTGGTGTGTATGATCTACTACTATCCGGACGATCGCTGTATAATATTGCTCATTCTCAGCTTCTTGCCTCACGAGGATCAAATCCCTCGTGTTATTTTGCGTTTGCTTCATAGTAAATTCATTTCCTATTGTTGTGGGAACAATTCCTTCCGCACAAGAGTTTGTACGCTAGACCCCGGAGGTGACGATATAGGATCGGGAAATGCGCTGATGTGCTCGTTGAATATGATAATACATACCCAGTTTCATCACGCATAAGGAAGACTGTTTTTCGCCTTGAATATATCTCTACCCAGTGATGGATAATAAGGTATTTATGTAGAAATAGAGGCGACTTCTGGACCTTTATCCGAGCTGTCCTTTGCGGTGCTTCCTTTCTCACCGGTCTCTGACTGTTCATGCATCGGTTCAGCACTCTTCCTCATCCCAAGCCCGCCTTCGTATCCGAACCAGGTGTTGCGCCTACAATGTGGTCCACGTACGAGAAGTAAGACGAGGCAGATACCAGTCCATCCCAGTGATAACCCTGCCCCGGCTCGCCATCCAGCTGTCAGAAATACACGCGAACCAACATCCGCGCCCATCACTTGACCAAGGAAGACCTACCAGGGATTCAGATCAGTGGAACAACTGAACGAGAAGGTCGCCGTCTTACCGATATCAGGGACAGGGAATTTAATCGAGCACTAGCATCCACTGAAATGCTAGACAAATTCCTAAATCAGCAAAAAGTCACAGGATAAAGAGAACCTCACCTGAGTATTGACATCTGAAGGGAGACTTGTAGAATCCGGCAAAAGACATCTATACCTACTGTAGCCAAAACGACCTTGCTTCAGAGATTAGTACGATGTCCCCAAGATCACTGAAGTTTGTGATGGTACAGACAGGAACAATATGAATCCCGGCCGCGCCCACCAGGAGACTCTGGAAACAACCATAAACTATACAGCCCAACACCGAGCCATGCCATGGATGCAGCTTATCGAAGAACAGACTTGCTAGTTGTACGGGCTGTAAGATCGAACAAGCCACAAAAACATGAGTCGCCCCCACCAAGCGGCGTCATACAAACGCCAGTGATTCCTACAAGTCCAAAAAGTCCCACTATCAGGCTGGTACAAGAGGGATCGTTAATTCCTGTCCCTGCACGACAAACAGGCACCCACGTGGAGTAATTATACGGTGGACCACCCAGCAAGAACGTCAGCGTGACCCACAAATTCGAGAAGCCCGCTGCTGCAAGTAGGTTCGCTAGACATGACTGTAGTTCAAGAATCAGTGAAAACGTAAAAAGCCTCGGGGACAGACGAAGACAGCTGACCTGAATCAACAGCGGCTCCCCCACTGCGAGCTTCATCATTGACACTAGAAGTTCCCAATATATCAGGTCGTTCCCCGTCTTTGCTGGATAATCCGGGATCATCGCGTAACATGCAACCAACACTACTACCTGTACACCCACCGCAAAGTAGTACACTATCCGCCAGTCTGTATACTGGGCTATGATCCCAGCAAAGACCCGCGCGACCAAGAGCCCCATGATGAGCCCAGAGACAACAATGGATATAAAGAAGTGACGTCTGGAGGGAGGAGCCACGTCCGCTACTAGGGGGAGGAGAACTTGTGGCACGATATTAACCGTGCCTGCCAGGAAGGAGAGAACGAGGAAAGCGGTCCAGTTGTGGACGAGGGCAAGGCAGAGTGTGAGAGCGGTGGAACAGAGGAGGAGACCAAGGATCAATTGACGGCGCCTGAGCAGGTCACCTAGAGGCGCTAGGAAGAAGAGGCCTAGGACGTATCTGTCGTGGGTGTCAGGCGCCCACTTTGAAAGCATCAAAAATCGAACCCAGCTTGAAGAATAGTGGGCGCTCTGAAAAAATGGTTAGAAATGATCGTTATACAAAGAAGATATAAGCTGACCTCGAGGAATCGAGATACGACACGCCAAAATACTCGGAAAACTGAACTAGGGAGTGTTTTAGCTATCGGAAGTTCAAGTACGCCTGGACATACTTAGCAATGGCTGGCAGTAATACAGATTCGCCACAACTACAAGGGCCATAGATGAGCGTCAGGAGCACAGTATAAGAACAGTAGATGGTTACCAAAAGTACACGCAAATGCGAAAAGTAGGTTGAGGCCGATACCGAATTCAGGAAACGGCCGCGTTGCATCGTAGCAGAGTCTTTGAGGAATAGGGATTAACCCAAAGTCCTTCGTCGGACCTGAAGAGCTCATGGTGAATGCAGGTGGCAGGCAAGGCTCTCGGTATTTATGTAGTGGTGTCCACTTATTTCCATTTCCTCCAAGTGGCGAGAAGACGAAGCCCCAATTCATTTAGTGCAGGCACCTGTGAAGCTTGAACGGTCCTTACCGAGCGTGCTTCTCGGAGCCAGATGTCGCTAGTTGTCGATATCCGGCCCCCCCGTCAATATCCACTGACAGGGGAAGAAACCAGATGTGGCTGTCAGAGTCAGGCTGGAATGAACCTCCAGTCGACTCTGTCTGTTCACGATCAGCTGCAACATCATGAGTTTTGACCCCTTCTACAGGGAAAGATGACGTAGGCTTGATTTCGATACGTACACATCTGCCAAGTACATGCTGAAAGGATCCTGGTGAAGTACGGGGATTGTTCTCGTTTGAATGCATTAGTAGATGTCACAAAGTGAGGTGTCGCGGTGCTGATGCTCTTCAGAGGTATTCCAGGTATGGACGCGTCATAATATACTCATAAAGTATAAACGGCAACGTCTGGGAGCACTACGAGCGCGTGGAGTAAGGCGGCATAGTAAATTGCCACTGGCCTAGGATAGTGACGGCCACGTGCTGGGTCTGATATTCGCTTTGCATAACAGCGCCTAAACAGACGCAGAAAGTTGGACGTCGATGCAAAAGGGTAGTCCGTGTATCCCTTGGCAAAGTTCCCTGGTACATAAGTAACCAAGTCCTATCGAAACCCTCGGTAAAAATATCAGAAGGCACGAGGTCCGACTGGAAGAACCCAAATGTCGGAAACGTGTCCTTCCGTTGACGTCAAGGGCCGGATCGCGTGTGCGAGTGAGATTTCTACAGGGGATGAACTGCTGGAGCTCATATTTAACGGCGTTTTTCGTGTTTGATGAAAAGTTACGTGGGTCGAATTCCGCGTCACAACTAGCTCTTGCGACAGATGGCTCAAGCTGCGAAGGGTCATAGGAAATGCAGAGCTTCAGAAAAAGTTTGAAAAAGTCATCAGAAATGCTAGAAAGGCCCAATTCCGTGATTTTCTGCTCATCACTCTACCTGTAGACGGTATGTATCGAGACATCTTAATCTTTAGCGCCGAGTGATCAGACCGAGACGTTCCGATACCCCTTCAGAAACATCAGGGACTTCATGGAAGGCCAAACGCTGGTGCTTGAAAAGCTGGACCTATGCTTGGAAGTCGAATGAACCTAATTCCTTACTCAATCAAGCACTGTAGCAGCAGCAGCAGCAGATTGGGAGATGGAAGATGTAGATTAGTGCGCGTATCTCTGCCTTCAGGTCCGACTCGAGAGGACAATGATAATTGAAGCTCTCAAGGCTCGCGGGTGACAAACAGAAAGAGAGAACGAGGGTATCAGGCAGCAGCATCCTCAAACCACTGGAATGCATTGTAATGACTGACGCCATTTGCGGCATATTGAGTGCAATGATGTCCGTTAAGAGCTTTGAGAGCGAAATATGCCTGATTGCTATGGCGGATGAATGTATGAAAAGGGATGGAGCGATAAGCAAAAAAGACAAGACACCGTGCCTCTTATCCTGGACGAGCTCGAAGGACTGTATCATTTCTGCATTAGAAGGAGAGGAGGAGGGGATGGCTATGAGGACCGAAACTCTGAAGGCCTCTTGGATAGTCTCCTTTTCGTAGATGGAAATGTGGGAGGGGAGAGTTTATGGGTGCCGTTTGAAACAGCAGAAGGACGACGCGACGCTGTTGGTGAGAGTAGATTCCAAGTCTGGATGTACAGCCATCACTTTTTTCAAATACCGCTCGTCCCCTCTTTCCTGATCAGAATGCAGTGGATTCTACATCGAGTGAACGACTTATCTTCATACGGATCGTTGAGTCACTTACGAGACTATGTCTTTGTATGTAAAGAGCTGTAATACAGGCAATATTCTTCGGGGCGAGCCAGTAGAGATTTTATTAGATAAAAAAAATAGCTGCAAAAATGACGGTTAAATCTCAGTGAGATATCAATCCTTTTTGGGCACCCAACCCCTGAGAGTCAGAAGCGCAGTAGGAGAGACAGTCTCTACCTATCTTTCTCCATAACCATCTCTATGACTTCGAGTTCGACACCGGCGTTTGCTCGTACAAAAGGCCTAGTTCAAAACACGTAAACGGATGGTACGAGTTCCGAATTTCCGAAGCGCATATAACTGCTAGCTGGGACACGAATATGCTTCGTTATCAATGCGCAGTAGGTGGCAACGACGAGAGATTCATGACACAGCGCCGACCATGCAGCGTCGACACTCTACAGGAGAGAAGAAGACAAAGGCGGGAGTGTATGACCACATAACTAACGCACATAAATATAGGTTTCTGGGTAGTTTTCCAACGTAAGTGGCCAGGCTCGGATGTTTTGTCCCCAAGTCAAGTTGCGGAGATTAATCAGTGCTGGACAGAGAAGCTGCCCAAAAGCAAAGCAGTGGCTCTTTCTTGCCTTTGGGGTGGGGGACCAGAATGACTGACGCGATCCTCGCACGGTAACCGAGCGCTTGGAAGAGTCTGAAGATTCGTCTGTCAGGCATTGCAAATGGAGGCTTCCTCACGGATGGTGGCAACGACATGGACAACGGTCGAAGCTAGGCACCAATGGGAATACGCAGGTGGGCAAGATCGGAGTCCCGGAGCAATGAATTAGGATTTCGAGGAGGGTTCGACTAGCTCGGCACCCGATAACTCGACTTGCAACATCGCACTTATTCTCGTCGAAGAAAGTGGGAATCGTGTCGAGCTAAGTGAGTCGTGTGACAATTTTTATGTGAATTGGCGGATTGATAAGGATCTTTTTATTATAGAGTTGAAGAGGCAGGATTTTCTAGTGGGTCGAAAGGCGTCATCGATTGAATTGCATAGCAACAATATTTCTGGAGGTTCGTTGACTGTGCTTGGCTGCGCGTATAAAGTCCATCGACGTTTCAACAGTGTTCAATGCCGTTACTAGTTGACGAAAAAACGTGGCGCGTCTTACGTACGCCGGTGGTTCTTCCGATGATATTATTGAACAGATCCTGTCCGTTTCATCTGTTCTTTCAGCAACGAACCTCCTTAAAACGGTGACATATTCCGGCCAAAAATCGACGCGTCCTACTACGCTCTATCGTTCCAATCAGATCGTTGGCTTACAGGCCCCATTTGGCCACCACACGTTGTTCGTCCGTGTTTAGTTCCTACGGCACCGTGCTGTGCTGTGCTGACAGTGAATGTCGCATCTTCGGAAAACGGGACAACTGAACTTGCCTGTCTTCTCTTCCCCCTCCCCCTACCATGTCTTCCAATCCCTCCCGCTCTCGTTCTCGCCGCCAGCCAGTGCAAGGAATCGAACAAAGCACGCCGGGACCACCGAGATCACGTTCAGGCGCCAGTAGGCACCATTCTTCAACACGATCTGCCGTCCAACGGGCATCGTCTGCTGCATCACAATCTCAGCCCAAGCCTCAAACACAACCTCAACCTCAGCCTCAACCACAGCCAGAGTCTCAACGCACTCGCTCCTCCAATGTTATTGCTCAGGGTGTCGCGACGGGCGTGATTGGTGGTGGATATGGTCCTTATTCCGTGAGCATCCATCCCTCTATTTTCTTGACAATTCTCTTTTTAAGGCTGCTGCAGTACAATCCCACCCAAGCACAGGATGGTGGAATGTACACTACCTCCCGTTTTGCCGCACCCCCGGCCGCGCCTCTCGTCCAGACCAGCGCACTGGCCAACACCAACACCACCACTGTTCCCCAGGCTCAATACGTTTGGGAAAAAGACCCAGACCTTGATGATATTCTCCATAATCCCGATCCCCTCATGGACGCCCAAATGGACCACTCCTGCTCTCCCTTCTCCGCCCGCGGCTGGGAGAACGCAAGTGCACTTGTCGTCATCCTTGTCGGCCTCATCACTTTATTCGCTGGTTTCCCCATCGTCACTTATTATACGCGCACCGTCAACAATGTCTCCGGATATAACCTCGGTGGAATCAATTCTACTGGCCAGATACCGGCCCTTCCTGGCCTCCCTAGCCTTATAGACACAGATACTCCCACGAGTGCCTATTCGCGTACAGGCCATGATGGGAAGACGTACAACTTGGTGTTCAGTGATGAATTCAACACCGATGGACGTACCTTCTATCCTGGAGATGATCCGTATTGGGAAGCAGTTGACTTCAACTATTGGCCTACGGGCGATCTCGAGTGGTATGATCCAAGTGTACGTACATCTCCTTGACCGATGCGACGACCACCGTCCTCATTCCCGCTCTTCCCGCTCTTCCCGCTCTTTAGGCCGCCATCACACAGGATGGTAAGTTGGTGCTCACAATCTCGGAGGAAAACATTCACGACCTCAATTTCAAGAGTGGTACGTTTACATTTCAAATTCGCTTCTCTTATACAATTGACGCGTCAACAGCTATGGTTACCACATGGAACAAATTATGCTTCACTACCGGTTATATCGAAGTTTCGATCAGTATGCCTGGTAGTCCCAGAGCAGCAGGTTTATGGCCTGGTGAGCTAATGACCGTTCCTGGATCCTCCTTGATCACTTCTGATCACTTCACTTCCTTCTTCCAGGTGCATGGACTATGGGAAACTTGGTATTAATCCCTTCTTATCGCTTCCCAAGTTATTAATTCTCAATACGTCCCAGGGCCGCGCTGGCTACGGCGCCACCACAGAGGGAATGTGGCCATACAGCTACGACTCGTGCGACTTGGGCACATTCCCCAATCAAACAACAGCATCCGGCGAACCAGCTGCCGCACTTACCGGCGGGACTGAGGGCTCATCCATCAGCTATCTCCCCGGCCAACGCCTTTCTGCATGCACATGCTCGGGATCAGACCACCCAGGACCCACCACCAGCACGGGCCGTGGCGTCCCCGAAATTGATATCTTGGAAACCGAGATCGATACGACTATCTGGCAAGGCGAAGTTTCGCAGAGTTATCAAGTTGCCCCATTCAATTACCAGTATCAGTTTGATAACTCTTCCAGCGTGACGACTATCTACGATTCTACGATAACCCAGTTCAATACCTACAAGGGTTCTAATTTGCAGCAGGCAGTGTCGGCGCTGACGTACATCGATGACTCGCTCTATAATGGAACTGGATATGGCACGTATGGCTATGAGTGGTATTCGAATCCGGATAGTCGCGATGAGGGCTATATCACTTGGTATAGTAATGGTACCGAGTCGTGGACAATAACTGCTGGAACCATCGGAGCGGATTCCACAGTGGAGATTAGCGAACGACTTATCCCAGAGGAGCCTCTAGTGGGTACCGTTCTTTTTTTTAAAAAAAAAAAAATTTAACCGACAAGAACTAAACTTGAATTGTGTAGTACGTCATCCTCAACCTGGGCATGTCGTTCTCGTTCCAGCCCCAGGATTACAAACACCTGACTTTTCCCAGTTCAATGTATATCGACTACGTGCGGATATATCAACGGTCTGGAACGGAGAATGGGTTGACGTGTAACCCCCCAAACAGACCTACGACGGATTATATCACAAAGTAGGTTATCCCTTTTTTGGTGCTGGGTGTTGGTTTTTTTTTTTCTCATCATTTTTGGGGGATCTAGCCATGACGGTGCATACACGGACGCTAATTATACGACGTGGGATGCAGCGGGGTATACGTTCCCCCGGAATTCACTTTACGATGGATGTTAATGGATCTTTATGTATCTCTCGTTGTAATCACACATGCATCAGGACATTCATTGACGACGGGGCCCCCTCTGGATTCGAGTCCTGGTGGACTTGGACCCCCATGCATGTATTAATGGCGTGTGGGGGGGTGCCGGAGGTATACCGTTCTCTGTCCTTGTTACATACTAAAATTAGATAATTCTTCTTCGCACACAGTTCCTGTGATGGGAATAACAAAGTCCGGAGCGTCATAACGACCTGCAATTTGTGTTCAGTCTTTTTGCCATTAAGCCGGGTATACCGGTTATCCCTGGAGCCCAAGGTGATGGTAAAAGTTGTTTTATTTTTACACCTTCTCCGTTGACTGGCCCCCAATTTCCTGATTTCTCCGTACCGCTGCCCTTTGTTGGCTCGAGTGAACTTGACCGTCCCGTCCCGTCCAACTATAAGGACAAGTCCGCACAGAAGTGCAGGAATAACAATACTACCTACCTCTGACTTTCACGAATGTTCGATAGATCACAGAAGGCAGAAGGCGCGACTCATTGTATTATTTAGTGGATAATAGCACATAATTTCATTTTATCCAGACGTGGGTACCTCTCGCGGCCAGCGGCAGGGTAAGGATCGGTTCGGTGACCGAAGCCGACTATTTATTTGCTTCGTCCTATAACAGCCGCAACTTTTAAGACGATGCTAAAAGAAATGGAGGCGTTTGTTTTTCTTTCTCTGGATGTCGACTCGCTGATATGCTAGGCTACAGTCCCCCCCCCCCCCCCCGAGATCCCAGTTGAAGTCATCGAGGAAATCCTGGATTATCTTTGCAGCGACAAGCAAATGCTCCCTTGTCTCTCCGGTCCTTCTACCCTCGTATCCGTCACTGTCTCTTTTAATCGATAAGAATAATCCCATGTTCTAGGAGACTCTATGCGGAGATTTCAGATCCGATGGAAGCTAATTTAATAACCCTTGCGGATAAACCGTGCGTTGAAAAACTCCATATACACCGCCTTCACTCAGAGTCCTCTTTTTGTTCTTGGACACCGTCCTGTTTTTCTCGATTCTTTCCAGGAGTTCTATATCAATATGTATAATCCCCGGAGGGGGAGATCTCTCTCTTCGTGCTGCGACATCGTCCATGCCGCAAGTCACGTTCAAGTCCCTCACTTATATCCATCTCTAACGGGTTCCAATTCAGTACAACAATGGTCAATGTCAAACCACTCTTCCTGCCCCCTTCGCCTGCAGTCTCTCTTCTTCGATTATCAATTATCGTGCTCTTGATGGCGGGACAGACATCTCCGCCATGCAGTCAGTGGTTCCTCAATGCCTATTCACCCACAGCCCCTCATCTCAGATACCTACCTAGAAAAGCTCCATATCGACATGTCCGTGAACAACTGTGACGACTTTGTCGACGAGGATGAAATCTGGGTCCTGTTCGCATATCTAGGTTTGATGCTCGCCCACATCGATACATTACGTTTCGGTGTCTCCAATTGATCTACATCTGCGACTACCAACCAAATCAGCGAGGGAGATCAAGTACGAGATGCTATCTCTGACGTTGGAAAACTTTCCGTTTTTGTGTGAAAAGGACGTGGCGAAGGTTGCCTTGCACGGTGCTTCCGCGGCCTGAAGATTCCGGCGTGGTACTGAACAGCGTAGGTACGTTCACGGAACATGTCGTCGTAGAGAAGGGTGCTTATGTCCTTATTCAGACTGGCTGTATCGATGATATCGATATGGTACTTTACGTCGCACTAGTTATGAAGCAGATCAATCATCGGCGGGCTGATTCGATTTACGTGATATCCTCTAGTCCGAACCATAAAAGTTTTCTGAGTATTCTCCTTGTGCCAGTGGTTTGGTTCCCCGATGAAACCATTTACGTTAAATATCAGCACTTTGGGGACCATTCATTGAGAACAGCGTCCTAAGGTGTGTATCCGTCCACACGTATCCAGTTGGCTCGGATTCAATTTATGCTGTAGTTGTTGTCAGCTCATTAGGTTCTCAGTGGGAAGATGAGTTCCATCTGCTCTTTAGAGGTCGGCTATTCTGGAAGAAATGGATCCTTACGATGCTCTGGATTGTCACCTTATTGATGCAGAAACCAGTAATCCGTCAAGTTCGTTCTATTATCCCGCTTGGCTGTATCTTTTTAACGGAAGATCTTCACAGTGGACTGTCGAAGCTTCATTTATGGATACCGCATATATATCGTCCCGGAGGCCTATTTTGAAGGCACAAACTCGAACTGCGGCATCATTGACACCACGGTGTCAGAATACCTTTTGGCCTGATTTCTCTGGAAAAGGCGCTTGATATCAGTCCGCGGCCTGGCCAATGGTTCCACTTTGCTCGCCAAGAGTTCGTGTAGATGTACGTACGTATACAAGGAGTTCCCTTTGGCTCCTACGTCATCTTGTGGACATGGACGGTTAACAGCATATCCTTTTGCGTTGCAGCAGGTTGCGGACGGACCCGAAGCAGTGCTGTACAGAAAATGTTCTGTCGCCGATTTCCTGATATTGGTGTTTGTTATGCGAGTTGGACTGTTTTCTGGGGGACTATCCCACATTTCGTGTGTGATTACTATTATTTTTGCATTCCTTCTGTAATCGATGTACGAGAAGGCACGCCAAGGGAATACTTGGCATATTTGCAAGCGGACTTGCCCCTTCTCAAGCGGTGACTAGTGAGGTACGAGCTGCATAAATACCAAAGATGTAGACTGGCAAATTCACCATTGCGTTCACGATGAACACTGCAGGCCCGACAAAGGACTTTGACCTCATTCCTATCCCAAAAAGGCTCCGCTATGATCCAACCCGATCGTTCCCTGAGTTCGGGTTTGGACTCAGTCTCCCTTTCCCATTTGCGTGTACTGTTAGTACGTCGGCCATGCGCGTTTCGTGTGAATATATTGCTCATTGTCAGTGTCACAGTTGTAGCGGATCTGTACTACTGTCAAACATTGCTATGTGCGTCCGAGTCTGCAGTAGTGAGATCGTGGAGCTGACTTTGTTATCAGTCCACTTCTCTGAGGAGTTCGGAGTACTTTATGCTGATTCTTCCAAGTAGATCATACTGCTTTTTGGATTTTTGCTAATCTGACATCTATGTCAAGAGTCGTCACTTTCCTTCACGCCGGGTTCGTTCAGTTTTAGATTACCGCAATCGCACTGATTGCTCACGTCATAACTAGATATGCTGTAGGCTTATTCTTTATTGCACCCCTAGAAGACCTCCTCCGCCGTCGCCAGCTGATACTTGGGCTAGTTTTCTGCTCCACGACTCTGATGCTCTGCATTGCTCTAGTCCCTGACTGGGACGCATTCCTTGCACTCTCCTTCCTAGCCGGAACAATGAACGTCGCAACCCAAGTACTCATCCCCTTCGCCGCAGACGTCGTATCTCCCTCCCTCCCGAAGGTTTTTTTTCTTATCAATCCTCATCTCTGCGTTAGTCATGGGGATGCTTCTGGCACGGGTTCTTGCAGGAGTCATAACCGAGTATGCGAACTGGCGAGTGGTGTATTACCTTGCGGTTGGTGTGCAGGTCATCGTGTGAGTGGCGTGCTATTCGACGATCCCGGACTACCTGGCGAAGAATAAAGGAATGGGGTACGGAGAGTTGATGAAGTCGATGATGGGCTTTGTAGCGAGAGAACCACTGCTGATTCAGGTATGATGATGATCTGTCCAGGTCCGCGTTGGTTGCTTATGGTAACTGTAGGCATGCTGGTTAACTTTCTCGCATCGGCAGGCTACTCAAACTTTTGGACCACGCTGACGTTTTTGTTGGGTGGTCCCCCGTATAACTATTCTCCGTAAGTGCGTTGTACTTCTATCCGGCAGCTATCCCGTTTGACCGTGCTTCCTCCTCAGGTTAGTCATCGGCCTTTACGGGCTCGTGGGGATAGCTGGCGTGTGCTTGACACCCCTTGGTAAGTTCAAACTGGATCCGTGCTTGTGTTTCTTCTTGTCATCATACTGTTTAGTGACTTTAACGATCGACAAGTTGCATCCGTGGTATGGATCGGTCCTGGGTGCCATACTTTATGCTTGCTTCCAAGGTCTCTTGGTCGCCGCAGCCGTTCTCCATTTTGCTTCGGTGGGTATTTTTATTTAATCAATGCTCACAATGCGCTTACTCTGATTTTGGGGATAAAGATCCTCCTTGCTATCATTGGAATAGTCGTATTCTGCCGGGTGTTGCAAGTGTCCCTTCAAATGTCTGTATTTACGTGAGTATCACCCGCTCGTTCATACGTATCTAGTAGCTGATGATGTGGCAAAGCATTTCCAAGGCTGCTACGAGCCGATTGAATGCTCTGCTCCTCTTGTCGGTGAGACGACATCTTCACTGGGATTGCTTGTATCTGAAACGCTTCTAGTTCTACTTTGGGTAGATAATGGGTTCATCTGTGGGCTCGCGCGTGTTTTTGGAGAGTAGATGGAGGGCGGGAGCGGGGCTTTCGCTGGGATGGACGGGTCTTGGTTTTTCACTGCTTCTCATGCGTGGACCTCATTGTGAGCGTAAAACGTGGTGTAAATATGAAGGTGGATTTGGTGTGAGAAATAGTGGTGAGGAGACAGGCAAGAAGGACTCGGCCGAAAATGCGTAGCAGCATTTGAATGATATGTCGCCGGCGCTGTTGACTATAAACCGGTCAATATGGGCCACCGACCATCAACTGCTACCTAGGGTTTAGATCTATCCCTGTTGTAAATAGTATCACTTTCTTTACAATTCATGCATGATACCCTCTCCTTCAGCTCGTTGAAGTTAAAGAGTGCCTGCAAGCCGGTTCCACCATGGTCTTTCGCATCTCTCAGATCCTCTTTCGTCCTTCTCTGTTTTCGTCTCGGACTGGGAAAAGTTGCATTTTTTTTTTCTCTTCTCTCGTCTGTGCCGCTGTAGCCTGCTTTAATTAATGCTCACCATTCTACTTCAGTCTGATATGAGTTCTCAGGAATGGAGCAGCTATGGGTGGGCTATTGACAGAAGAATATATGTGAGTATCTCAGTCGGGCACAATGTGGGTGAAGTGACTGTATTGAGTCTACTGTACCTATTGACAGAAGAATATATGTGAGTATCTACGAACGAGTGTAAGTATCATAGTCATAAGCACAGTAGGGATATACATACCTCAGTCGGGCACAATGTGGGTGAAGCGACTGAGGCATACAGATAGGAATGGCTGGACTATATAGGTGATCGGGAAACGACAGGAGGTGTAAGTATATATAAGGCAAATAGAGCGAGTGATCAAAAAGTAAGATAAGATGAAATGTATGGATATCCTCCAACACTCCCCCATATCCATTCAATCTACTGGGACAACATTGAGCATCTCGAGGTAACCATTGTGCATATCATGAGGCAAGGGCTTGGTGAACATATCTGCAGGGTTTGCATTCCCTCAAACAAACTCAACACATAATTTGCCATCCTTCACGAGCTCTCTAATGAAATGCTCTCGGATGTGGATATGCTTGACTTTCTGATGGGACCATGTGTTTGTTGTTAATGCTATAGCACCCTGATTGTCACCATACAATACACTGGAGCGAGGCTGAGGTAGTTGGACCTCATCCATCCAGGACAATATCCACATCATCTGTTGCACTGCATGAGTAAGGGAAATGTATTCAGCCTCAACAGTGGACAGGGCAATGGTAGCCTGACACTTTGAGCTCCAGCAAATCAGACCACCCGCCATGGTGAAGACATAGCCAGACATCGAACAAGTCATGTCCCTACAATCCCCATAGTCTGCATCTACAAATCCAACAGGTGTTAACAGCTGCTTATGTGAGAAGGAGATACCAAGGTCCATTGTCTCCTTTATGTACCCAAGGACATGTATTAATGCTTTCCAGTGCTTTATCCCTGGGTTAGACTAGAAGCGAGCGAGCAGGCTCACAGAAAAGCACAAGTTGGGACGAGTTGCAAGCTGTCCCCACATAACACAGCCTAGCAGTCATTGGTATGAGAATCTTTCCATAGTATCCTTCTCTGCTTGGGTATTCAGAGACTGTGACATGTCGAGTATGATTCCAACAGATAGAGAGGTGGTCCGTGATTGTATGTATCCAAGGTTGAAGTCCAAAAATATATTCTCCCAATATGGATGCTGTGAGAAGGTGATGGTGCCAGCCTCAAGGTTTTGTTCAATCTTCATCTCCAGAAAGTAATAGTTCTTCTCTATATTGGTGAGCTCCCATTTCTCCTCTAATTCCTTCTTCCATCAGCTCACCTCCTCTGTAGTTGACAATGCTCCTCACACATCATCAATGTAAGTATCTGTGATAGTATACTCATCTCCAGGCTTGCCAATGGTGCATACACATGAGTCTGCCTTCAATGCACAGTATCCAAGGTCTTCATAGATTTTTCCAAGCATCTCAAATCAATCATGGCCATCCTGCATAGTCCTATAAATAGTATGGACAAGTTTGCACACCTTATCCTCTTGTCCTTTGACTACATACCCTGAAGGCTGATGCATATAGATGTCTTCTTTTGTCTCGCTATTCAAGTATGCTGAAATGAAGTCCACTTGCTATAGGACAAGATCGAGCTTTGCTGCAACAGCAGCTGACATCTATATAGATTTGAGATGAGTCACTGCAGCCCAAGTGTCATTATAGTTGAGTCCATACTGTTGAGTATAGCTCTTCCCAATAAGCCTCGTCTTGTTCCTGATCCAGTTACTATCACCATCCCATTTCATACCATAGATCCATTTACAATCCATCATGTTCACACCTACTGGTCTGTCGACTAGGTCCCATGTATGCTTCATCATATGCATTTGGTATTCCACATCCATGGCTGCCTTCCATCGCTCTTTATCAACATACAGTGCATCTTGATGATTTCATAGAATGTATGGGTCAGGTGGATTACCAGAAGCCATTGAAGCATATAGCTGTTTGCTGTTAGTTGCCCAGTCATTTCTGCTTGCATGGGCCTCAGCCTCTTGTTGCTTTGATATCAGAGATTTGGCAGCATCAGTACTGAGACACATTAAGCATATTGATCAGTGAAGAGTTGGTTCTGTGGGAGCATCTGGCATTTGCTCGGTTGGCTCAGTTGGCATAGGCATCTCGGTATGAATAAAAGTGGTGAGTGCAGATTCATCCTCTATCTCTCCTACACTCACACTTTGGTGTGCTGGTCCTTTATCAAAGATGACATCATGAGATATGAACACATGTCCCGATTGATCAAGTACATGGTAATTGGATCTTGAGTATTCTAAAAAGGTGTATTTCTTTGATTGATCATCAAGTTTGCTTCCGCCATCTATTAAAACCCCACCAGCTATAGGTTTCTTTGCTCAGCAAGTGGATCTGAACACTTATAAAAATCCCATATTCTGTTGTCACTTTGAGAAACCCTCTGCTGGTACCACTCCAGGATAGCGACTCGAAGAAACAAAATTTCACATGAAGATTAACATAGAGGCAGCCTCAGCTCAGTAGCAGTCAGCAAGGCCAGAGTCACTTAATAAAGCTCTTATATTTTCTATAGTGGTGCATAGAATACATTCAGCTAATCTATTCTAGGCTGATAAGTGGGGTGCAGTTAATTCCAGGATGATCCCATGCTCCTTGCAATATTGTTTTCACTTTACTTCTGCAAAAGCACAATCAGCATGTATATGCTTAAGCTTTCAGCCAGTCTGAGTCTCAGTCATGCACTTGTATCTGTCAAAAGCAGCCATGGTAATATCATCTGCTTTGTCTGCCAGGAATTCCTCTGCCTTGAATGATGTACTACTATCGACGAATATCATCATATAAGTCTTTTCACTTGGTGATGTCATTCGAGATAGTCCCTACAAATCTATTGCAACAAGCTTCAGTGGGTTGATATTGGGATCAGTGGGCTCATTGAAGGAACAGCAAGCATGTCTGGCTAGAATACAGTCCTCACAGCATCTCTGGATAGGCTCTGAGGTAATTTCCAAGTCATCCATCAGCCTTTTTGATGCCATCTCCTTGATTTTTGCAGGACTCATGTGGACAAAATAACAGTGTCAAGTACTCAGTGAAGTGGGAGATGAGTGGAATGCTATAGCTTGGGGGCTGGGTGTAGCATTCAGCACATACATGCCATCTGAGTCTTGCCCAGCAAAGATCTCTTTACCAGACTTATCCTGGACAACTGCATGGCCATCAGAGAACACAGTTGACAACCCAGCCTTATCTAAGGTGCTTATGGAGATGAGATTTGCAGTGAGTGAAGGTGAATGCAAGGCATTTTTGAAAGTGAGCTTAACATCTCTTCCATTCAGTCTAAAGACCTTTGTTGCTGTACTCTGGCCCAGGATCTTGAATGTTCCCTTTCCCTCAACTGCAGATAAGCCAGTATGGAAAGCTACTGGCATGTACTCTGTGAAGTTGTCATGATTCCTAAAGAAGTAGTCACTCGTGCTAGAATCCATGAAGGTTAGAGTGATGGCTGGGGTATGGCCTTCGAATGTAGTCGTGACAAAGGCTGTTGTAGCAGGGTCAGCCTCACATGTAAAGTGTCCTACATTCTCAATGTTGGTCTTGCTAGTGTCTATACTCTTGACAGAAGATATCTCATCATCTCCAGCAACATCTTCATCATCAGAGTCATCGACATCAGTGAGAGGAGGTATTTCAAGATCTGTCTCTTCTTCAATCTTCGACATTAATATAGTGCTGCTCTCTGTTTCATCCCAGCACCAGAAGGAATGGGTACCATTCCACTCATATATCCTCTTGCCAGTGCTGCCATCCTCAATTACAATGCTGTCATCATCACGATCGACTTCCACTGTAGTAGCATGCACAGCAAGTACAAAATGCCTTGTAGTATCAGCCATAGTGTTTGAGATTGCCTGGTTTGCATGGCGAGGTCAGCCGAAGTTGGCAGGGAATTGTCTCTCCTTTCTCCCTCCTGGCCAATAACAATTCTCGGTGGTGTGTCTAGTCTTATCATGGGCCTTGCAATCTGGATTGTGACATTCACATACCATGACAGAGGTTCTGACTCCAGCTGCAAGTGCTTGGGAGTTGGCAGGATCTTTACCCACTGCACGAAGCATGGCGGCATGGGTTTGAAGATGGGAAAACACATCAGAGGATGTTGGCATGCCATATAAACTTGGGAGGATAGGCATTCAGTGATCAGTTGGAATTATCGAGCAAATAATTATTCTCTTGAACTCCTGATCACTCAATGCTGTGGTTCGGAGGTCATCCACAGCTCGTCGTTTTGTGTGCAGGTTGGCAACATGAATATTGATGTCACTGTTTCCATCAAACTTTGCCGCATTCAGCAATGCCTCAGCCTCGGAAAGGGCCATATCCGTTTTCTTTGCGTGTTCCACAGCAACAGAGTCCCAGCATTTCTTTGCTGTTCCATCAGTCTTGACCCCTAGACCAATGGGGTCGAGAACATTGAGGACGATGTTTGAGTGGGCGAGCTGATCATGAAAGACCCACTCATCATATGAGGGAGAGGATGAGTATATGGGAGTAGGGTCTGGTGGGAGGGGTGTGGTAGTAGCCGTGGCTGTGGTAGTGGTGGCGGAGATGGCAGGACAGACAGTAGTTCCTGCAATGTATCCCCATAGGCCTTTTCCCTTCAGTAACTCAGTAAGTTGGAGTTTCCATGAGGCATAGTTCTTCCCGTTGAAATGGCTACTCGTGTCAGGGAGGATAGTGACTCCCGACATCGATGACATCATTTAGGGGTGTGGTGTAAAGTGGTGAGGGTAGTGGTATGGTATAAATTCAAGCGGTAAGTTGAGTCGAAATTCCGTTGCGTATTCTTCTTGACTGAGTAGTTATAGGCAACGGGGCCTCATAACCTATTGACAGAAGAATATATGTGAGTATCTACGAACGAGTGTAAGTATCATAGTCATAAGCACAGTAGGGATATACATACCTCAGTCGGGCACAATGTGGGTGAAGCGACTGAGGCATACAGATAGGAATGGCTGGACTATATAGGTGATCGGGAAACGACAGGAGGTGTAAGTATATATAAGGCAAATAGAGCGAGTAATCAAAAAGTAAGATAAGATGAAACGTACGGATATCCTCCAACATGGGCTTAGGATGCTGCCAGGATGACTGCCGACTACGCTTCTACAACGTAACATTTTGCATCATCAAAACTCCTGCTTGCCGGCGGACGAGATGTGTTCATACATTCAAGCCTAGAGCCTACAGGTGTGATATTAAGGCCACTAAAGAACGTAACAGGAACACCTTCCAGTCCTTCTAATCCATGATTCCCAGATTCCAGGAGTAGAAGAAACTGCATGGCGTAGAAAACATCGGGGAAACTGACGATAAAACCATCTCTGACATCGGATAAGGCGAGACAGAAAGAAGGGATGCGAAAAGATGAACTTACATTATTCTATGTACCCAGGCACCCGGCGACATTTCTCTCAGCAGCCACACGTTATGATTCGAGAGAGGCTCCCTGGTTTTCAGATACAGCACAGAAGTCAATCCGAGGTCTATTGCGGTGAGAAGACCATGGTGGGGAGTGGGATGTCCCAAGTCATTGCTGTTCTTCAGTTTTGTACGGATGCCCAGTTGCTCCGCGTCTGGGCGAAACAGTTCTCGAAAATCGTTCGCATAGTCAGGGGACCGAATTAACCGTGCGCACCAACTTATATAAGGTCCTATCCTTGTTGATGTAGGGTAAGAAGGTCTTGATTTCAATCTTAAAACGGAGGAAGGGCCTGAAGCATTGTTTACGGCAGACAGAGAGTGGGCCAATGTCAAGTAATAAGGCTGTTAATCATCACAAAAGGCTGAAAATACTGAGAGAAAGATTAGGATGAAACTGGAATAGTTCGTGGTGGTGGTGTCGTTGGACCGATATCCCGTCCCAATTCCAAAGATCAGGCCGCATTTCCACCGGAACCGCGTTGCAGGGTGTCGACGCGCCGTCTACCTGCTTGCAGTATCCAACCAAGTTAGGGTCATTTTCTTCTTTCAATAGCCAAATCTTCTTACTCAGATGTCCCATTCTAAGGCTGTATCTGTCTAAGTATTCTTCGGCCTCTCCTCGGCTGATATGGGGAAGACTCAAGTCCATCTTTGCTGCGATTCCCTGGCGTCTATGGTTATGCTTTCCTCTATCCATCAGATTAGCTGTATACCGCTGTCTTGCCAATTGGTATGCTGTTGGAGAATGGAATATCCAGCATCTGCCTTTTGGTTTAATACTGAAGCATACACACGATCAGTCACCATTCCTCGAGGTCTCTAATATCGATTTCGTCTGTAAGAACACTTCCATCCCAGTCCCACACATCCTAGATGTCATCCCCTCACTCCCTTCTTATCCCGGCGGATTGATCATCATGAACGAGATCGAAGGCATGACACTCCATGAATGGCTCAGGACCAGGGTCACATATCCCCCAGACTTCTACCACTACATCGACATCCTCGCAAATGGAGAGAGGGTGAACATCGATGAGCTTCGTGCAATTCTTGATGGATTTGAACCAGCTGTTGACCTATCAGACTCAGTAGCACTCCTAAACGATCTTAAACGTGCTCTACTCGAGCTTCGCGCTATTCCTCCCCCTCCTTCTAGCAAAGTTTCTGGCGCTTATGGGGCTCCATTTGTATCTATGCGTTGCACTGATCGTGTTGTAATTCAGCCACTCGATAGCATCCGCGCCTTCCATGATATGCTCCTCCAATCATGCAGTGTCCCCCGCCGCATGCCTCGTTTGTTGAAGATGGCAGAACCCGTATACGCCAAGGAGAACGGGCTCTATTTCACGCATTCAGACCTCCACACCAATAACATACTCATAAAGGATGGCCGCCTTGCAGCGATCATTGACTGAGAGGCAGCAGGGTGGTTTCCTGAGTATTGGGAGTACACTATGTTGGAGATCCGGGCTATACAAGACGTTAAAGGCTGGCAGATCTTTTGGGATGCGGTTGGCGTTTTTGGTGACAAACAATATGAGGAGGAGCTGAAATTGGAACGTGCGCTATGTCATTGTACAGGATATATGGCAGTACTTCCTGGCGTGATTCCAGATGATCCGTTGGATCAGCTGCTTATGGGATATGAATTTCAGTAGGTTTTGTATACTTGATGCCTTCGTTCGAAATTAAGCAGGCATCTTTCAGGACATTAGAATGGTTCTTAAGGCTGGTCATCACAGTGTGATTTCTCTCATTCATTAGTCGGAATTCAAATTGTATGTGATGATAGGAACAGGGCATCTAGAAGGATATTAGTGGATAGATGCACTTCAGAGTTGGAAGTCTTATCCAGGTTCATAAAACTGACATCGGCCACCGTCGTCTCATATGGTCCTGTATCATATGATTTCCACTAACATGTTTCTTATCGATGGTCGTTCAAAAATGATGCATTTGTTTATAAACTACTACCTCTAATCAGTACTTGTACCGTGGCTTTCTTGCTCCTCAGATACAAAGCTATGTCAGTTCTTCTTCCTCTTTCCAAGCCTACTCTCGAAGGGTGACTGTATTTCTGTCAGGCAGAAGAATGAGATTTATGCAGCGCTCGCGAAATCAGACCCACCAGAAAAGTTCCACTGGATGATTTACTTCATGATCATTCATCAACTTTTCCCTCTATTTGGTATACATTGAACTTGAAGAGGGTTGTAGGATGCTTCGGTGGGATACAAGATCCATGCAACCAACCAGAGCAATACCGGTGCCTGGAGGTATGAGTGAGTGCAATGGAGGGGGACAATCTGTCTTGGCCGTCATGTTCACAAAGATCAGACACGTCCATGATAGTCTGACTGTGGAGCTGTTTGAGGAGTGTCTCATCGATATCCCAATGTAGATTCCCGATGTAGATCAGGGAAGGGAGTCACGCTTCACTTGTCGTGTTTGGTTCAAAGAGGCAATCCGTAGGTTGAACGGGGCCCAACTTTTCGTAAACTGTCCAGACCAGAGGGCTATCGCCTTCCAATACAATCAGCTCAGTATCAGGCTCTCTCAGTACTTGACCACGGGGAAGGCAGTACCTTGGTCTAGCTGATGCATGGATATTGAAGGGCCTCATTCATATGATGGGCAGTCCATTAACGACCACGCTGTCGAATCCGCACTTGTTTCTGGCTGCAATCTTAAGACCTAGCCATCATTCTAATAAAAACCCTTCTTCATTTCCTACATCACAAATGTTTATTGATCTGTCCACTGACAGAATATGGATAACTAGTAGTAATATAAACCCACTGCTTATACCTATTCATCGTTGTTCAGGGTTAACGTAACTCGATGCTCACTGCGCATCTACAAAGACTACCATTAGCATGCCACAGACGCCTGACATATGACAAAAAATCAACCATCGCAACGCGTAACCGTCACATGAACTCGAACATCAGTAAACTGATTTTCAATATCCCGCTTCACTGAGGCTACGTCCGTCGACGTCCACTTCGCATGCACCGCTACGACCACCGCCTCCAAAGCAGGGAACCTGCCCTTGGACAGAAGTTCATTCAAACCCTTCAACACGGCAAGATCACCCATTTTCATGGTACCCAACGTGATGCAAAAGATGATACGGCGAATCTCAATGCACTGTCTGAGATTCTCAATCCACCACTTGAGTAGGCGTTGGTCGCTGGTGTCATCAGAGTGGTAGTCCCACATGTGGAGGGCGATGCTTCGTAACCTGGAGATTCGGAGGCGATGAGAAGAGACGAGCTGGTCAAATACTAAGGAATGATATATGAGGAACGGCGACAGAGGAGGCAATGATCATACACGTACGATCGATGTTCCGTGGCATATGCACAATGAAGTCTCGGACGGGGCGAAGTCCTCCGCTGAGCAGGTTTTGCAGAAGGCGTATATCGGCCATGTTGCGTAGCAGCGTACCAAGAGTATGAATGTTCTTCAGTGAAACAATGAAAGACATATCTTTCCGAAAACGTTTGTACAAAAGGCCCGAGTCATGGAGCGTTAGATCCAGGGTACGCGGCTCAGGTTGATTGCGGAGCTCCTGAATTCCGCTGATTTCTGTATGGAAAAGTTCAAATGAGCTAAGGCTGTCGTGAGAGCCGGAAATGAGGCTGTGGAAGTCGGACGCGTTGACCCCTTTTACGAGATAAAAACCGATGTACCGGTAGGCATGAGAAGACAGGGCCACCCGCATATCTTGGGGCAGCAATGCCCAATTGACGAAGATGAACTTTATTTCTTGTAAGCGGGAGAACGACGATATCACAGCAGCAATGTGCTTGGAGTCTCGTATCTGATCTTCCCCACCACCGTGAAGGATCAATGTCTTGACTTGGGGAAGTATATGAGGAGATGACTGGCACATGTGGCGAAATTTGTGAAAGTGCTGGAAGTTCCAGATGCGTAATTGACGGAAAAGATGGGTTCTGGTTCGATAGAGAAGAGAATGACAGACAAGAGAGGAGGCCCTAAGGGATTCAGGATCATTGATTAAGAAATCTACAATGGAATCGACCAGCTCTTGAGGCAAGCTATTGAAGCAAGACATCTATAAAAATCAGTTTCTATCATCGAGAAAGACAGCACAGAAAGTACCTTGGTTCCCCTAATACCGAGGACTAGATGATGGACGTCACTTGGAAAGGGAAGGAGAGACATTTTTCCACGTCTCATTTGTTCACAAATAGGAGACAGAGATCGTTCTTCAGAGCAGTGGCGTGATCGCTTACTGTCTGGTCTATTGTCGGCATCATCCCAGAACAAGAGGAGCCAATGGAAAGAAGTAAGTCATTTGGGTATTCATCGTTGCCGCTTGTAGCTCAGAGTGACAAATGGTAGTCAGTTGTCGGTATATGCACAGCAAGACAAAGATAAATGAGTCCATGGTCCTAGACATTATCAGATTAGCATGGATATTAAATTCGTTTCGAGTCAGAACTGATACTAAAGCCAGCACAGAACTATGCTGTATTCTAGCATTTAGAGGCGGAAAGGACCAAATAAATGATACGCACATCATTGGCTCCATGAGAAAAGCTGATGAGAGCGAAGCCAAGGTTGATGACCATGGGAAGACGTGATCTAGACTGTAAAAGAGCGCATTGATGCAATAAAGATGGTGGGCTGTGTACTGAAGTTTGTCGAGTCGTTGCGCTCTCTGGTCCTGGGTCTCGAGTCCTGTAGGTACGCATGCATTCGAGTGTGGGTCAAGGGATAAGGGGTGCAGAAGGTCGAATGAAATCAGGAGGAATGTTTCCAACAAAGAAAACAGCTTGACTATCAGCCTTTTGCATTTGGTATAATCCCGTGCAATCACCGTGGTACATGTATCCAACAGACTATCGCACAACGCCAAGCTTCAAAAGTCCTCGACTCGACCTTGCAGAACTGTTGACTCAAGTTATGTCCAGGTCTTGGGAAATGGTAACCGGCCTGAACCAATGTTGCAAGGCGAGGCAAGATATCGCTCGGGGTTCTAATTACAGAGTAATTAAATGTGCAAAGGTTCAAATAAAGGAGGACGAACGATTAAGGATCAGCCGATAATGGAGCGCTCCCACAGCTAACATACGCGCCGTCCGTATCCCAGCTTCCCATCTCACAGAGATGGACTCTCGGCGCGTCATACGAGCCCATTGCAACAGTCATCGGGAGCTCAGTGTAGTTGCTCTCCTGCACACCGAAGCATCCGAGCACGCCAGCCTGTTGCAGGATAGTATCGTATTCGAAAGCCTGAGGGCGCCTGGTCCTAGGTCTCCGGTTGGTGCTGTTCATGAGGGTCATGTGCAGTTTGAGGGGTCGTGTGTCGGTGATGAGGCCTTCGTCGCGGAAGATTTTGTTTATCTGGGTGAACAGAGGCTCTGGCTGAGACGGACCAACGTATAAGACGTGGGCGCGACGTCGGGATTCTGTTTTGAGGACGTCGAGAGTGTCGAGGGTGACGGTTGGCGGCACGGCTGTGAGTGGGAGGAGGGTCGGGAGGCGGAAGAGAAGGTCGAGGGCAGTTGGGAGGGATTCAGGAGTGAGGTTCATGGCGCCGAGAGTGAGGTGTACGCGTTGAGGGCCTAAGAGGAGCGTGCAGTCTGGCGGAGGAAGACGGAGGGTAGCGTGGAAATCAGCAATCCTGGCGCGGAGAGTCGAGTGGGTTTGGCCGAGGGGAATGGAAAGAACTGCAAAGCGTGAGTTGTGATTAGTGCATAAGCTCAGCGACTTACAGTGTGTAGGCCTTGCCATCGTGGTTACGGGAAAAGGCCCGGCTAGCGGACCGAATAGCCGTCGAATCTATCCTGAGTCTGGTTTGAGAATCAGACCGAAAGGAAGATGTCGTATACTCGGATCTCAAGGATGTAGGAAAACATAGCCATAGATGCCAGGGAAGCGTTATCAAGCATGACGAGAAAATGGACAAAAGTGAGTGACGGGGCCGCATATTATCCTGAAGTAGGATCTGTGAGTAAATATCTATCAGTTACATTAACATTCAATGAGAACATGCTCTTACTGCTCACTTTAGCACTCGTCGTGGTTCGACCTAACTTGTGACTTGAAAGTGCATGATGTGACATTGCGCGTCTGTGGACTCAGAAGCACCTGCCGGAAGTTTTCTTGCCAATTCTCTTCCAGCGTTCTAAGTGCGCCAACTGTTGCCGATAACCATACATCAGCTCAGAAAAATAACGATCAGTTGTATTGAGCGTGCCATCGAGTGACTAAAATACTCAATTAGTTAGTTTCTGTTTCTGCCATTTCAACCAGGTTCGAAGCACTTTTGCACAATAGTACCATCAGGACTCGGAGGACGAATCTATTGACCAAATCTACAGCTAATAAAGGGACCAGCAGGAACTCCAAGAAGACTTGTGGTATGAACGTTACCCTGCCAGTGGGCAACTCAAGACCAATCACCGGCATCCTGAACATCAGTCTTCTGTCTCGCCGCCTTCAATAGATCCTCGACTGTCCATGGTTCGTAAGTGTAGCCCGGAGGAGTGTTCGTGTTAGTAAAAGGTGTGCCGTCAGTTATATGCTTCGCACAAGCAGCATAATTGTCGTATGCATACTTCTCCGAATCATGCATTGCTAGCCATTTACCGATGATCTTGCCGATTATTTTTGGATTCTTCGACACGGCATCCCAATCCGCGTGATGCCAATTTTCACGCGTCTTGAATCCCATCCTTTGAGCACAAGAGGCACGCTCGAACCTAAGATAAATTAGCATTGAACGGTAAGGAAGGGATCTTTCAACGGACCGTAGCTTGTTGTAAACTTGGACTGCCATAGGGATGTTATCCTTTCCACTGAGGTGGAGGCAGGCAGCGAGAGTGAAACCGTCCTCCATAGCCATAGTCGCACCACTGGCGCTCGTCGGAAGAAGACTATGTGCAGCATCTCCGATCTGGGCGACCCGGCCCATCGGGGAGACCCACTTGGGCTGGGGGTTCCGCCACATGAGCTTCCAGTCAACGACTTCCTTGTTGGGCACCGCATTAACGAGAGCTGGGACGAACGGACTCCAATCTTTCACATGCTTAAGCGCGGAATCCGAACTCTGGATCTTTGACCAATCCTCGGTCGCGTTACCATCGTCCTAATATGCCATTAGAAAAGAAAAGAATCAGGGAGGATTAAGGAGAAAAAACTTACAAGATAGGTCATCATCCAGCAAACAACGTTCTTGTTCTTGCCCACGACTATATGCGTATTGAAGCCTATATAGGCAGCTGTATAGGAGCCATCGCCTTCGCACACCTTCGCCAGCACGGGATCCTTCAATGCATGCTCGAGCGAGAAGGTCGTTCGATAGACTGCATAGCCACTGCTGATAGGCTGTTCCTTCTTCCCACTCACGATACCCCATCCCTTACCTCCTACGCCATCTGCAGCGATCACAAGATCCGCCTCAAGCTTAGTGCCATCTGCAAGGATAGCAAACCCCTTATCGGCAGTCTCTGAGTAGTCCACGACGCTAATCTCATGCTCAACGGAGATCCCAAGCGAGGTGGCGTACTTGTGCAACGCCCGATGGACTTCCAGACGGCTAAAGGCAGTAGCGCGTTCGCCCGTAGTTGGAGTATAGTCACTTAAGCTAGGGAAAACCCCGATGAGGGTCCCGTCAAACTTGTACAAGTGGAGGTCGGCCCCAAATTCGTTTTCAAAGAGCTGGTCAAGGAACCCGGGCCACTTGCGCATAGTGCAGAGTGCGCTGGGTTGGATGGCGATTATATCACCTGGAGCGGGTGTTAGTTTTAGGATTTACACGCATTTAAGCCACTTGCCAAAGGGATCGAGCCCAGGTCGACGTTCGACGACACGAACGTTGTGGCCTTTGCGATGACACTCGATGGCAGCGGTCAAGCCTGCAAGGCCACCCCCTACACGAAAGATATGAGCTTTGCAAGGAAATACCATTGAGAGATCTAGATCCACCGACGATGAGGATGTCTATGCCAGAGAGCGGTTCGCGAAGCATGTTTTCAGCCATGATGACAGAGGTGATGTTAGTTGGAGGTAATGTTCATGAAGATGTACCATCGAGCTTTATAACGCCGAATGATGCATAGTTTCGGGTTGCGGGGAAAGAAAAGACAAGATGAGATTGACTAAGTTGACTAAGTTGACTAAGTTGAATGCGAAATATCGCTTGGATTATGGCATTCAACCTTCAGATGGGGATGGGTAGAGACGTCTATAGAACACGGTGTCGGAGTCATCTTCCCAAATCAGCTCAGCAAAGACCCGTTAATCCGCGAGTATGGCTAGTCTTCCCAGTTAAATCGAAGCCAAGAAAGTGGAAGCTGAGGCAAATCTGTTTGTTGAATATGAAGCGAGTCCTCAGTAAGATATATAGTCTCGATATGAAAGCAGAGAAATTAGAACAATACGTTAGTGCTTGTTCTTGGAGCGCGAACGGCGTGTGAGCAGCTTCGTAAAATCGCATCACAAAACGGGACTCTGCCCGGCGTTGCAAGTCCCGAGATGTAAGCCATCACGCGTAACGTGCATACCCGGGATGGCCAGCTATCGGCCCGATAACCGAGCCTCATTCCACAACCACAGCCGCCGGTCCGGTCACGTCTTATGGATTGGTCCATCTCAGCCCGAGCCTGTGTTCAGCCAAATGAACAAGATATTCCGACGTATCCTTAATCGTTCGTCCTCTCTGTCCTTATTAGACCCTTTGCATATCCTCTGCAATTGGAACCCTTACTGCTTCTCATGCGTGGACCTCATTGTGAGCGTAAAACGCGGTGTGGATATGAAGGTGGACTTGGTGTGAGAAACGATGGTGAGGAGACAGGCAAGAAGGACTCCGCCGAAAATGCGTAGCAGCATTTGAATGATATGTCGCCGACGCTGTTGACTATAAACCGGTCAATATGGGCCACCGACCATCAACTGCTACCTAGGGTTTAGATCTATCCCTGTTGTAAATAGTATCATTTTCTTTACAATTCATGCATGATACCCTCTCCTTCAGCTCGTTGAAGTTAAAGAGTGCCTGCAAGCCGGTTCCACCATGGTCTTTCGCATCTCTCAGATCCTCTTTCGTCCTTCCCTGTTTTCGTCTCGGACCGGGAAAAGTTGCATTTTTTTTTCTCCTCTCGTCTGCGCCGCTGTAGCCTGCTTTATTATTTAATCCTCATTCAGTCTGGTATGAGTTACTATGAACATCTCAGGAATGGAGCAGCTACGGGTGGGCTTAGGATGCTGCCAGGATGACCGTCGACTATCATCAAAACTCCGGCTTGCCGGCGAACGAGATGGAACTGCTAATCATACATTCAAACCTAGAGCTTGCGTGGCCCGCCTACGTGTCGACATCACCCTCCGTCCGTCGCTCCCTTTTTGAGGTGTGGCGATGGGAACAGGTGTGATATTAAGGCCGCCAAAGAACGTAACAGGAACACCTTCCAGTCCTTCAAACCCATGATTCCCAGATTCCAGGAGTAGAAGAAACTGCATGGCATAGGAGACATTGGGAAAATTGACGATCAAACCGTCTCTGACATCGGATAAGGCGAGACAGAAAGAAGGGATGCAAAAAGATGAACTTACATTATTCTATGTACCCATGCGCCCGGCGACATTTCTCTCAGCAGCCACACGTTATGATTCGAGAGAGGCTCCCTGGTTTTCAGATACAGCACAGAAGTCATTCCGAGGTCTATTGCGGTGAGAAGACCATGGTGAGGAGTGGGATGTCCCAAGTCGTTGCTGTTCTTCAACTTTGTATGGATGCCCAGTTGCTCCGCGTCTGGGCGAAACAGTTCTCGAAAGTCGTTCGCATAGCCGGGAGACACGAATTGGATGCACTGCCTTTCGGTAAATAAAACCCCATCTTTATCAATGAAGTATCACTTACAAAGGAATTGATCAAAGTAAAGGTTCCGTAGGCTTTAGCGGGTGATCCTAGCTTGCGCAAGGCCTTCCGTATCGCTGGCATGACCGGAGCCATGTCCTGAACGTCACTCAGAACGACAGTGCTAGGGCGGTTCTGTCCCCGTGTGGGTGTATACCATTCTGGAACCCAATATGTCGACGAATCTGGCACGTAAGTGCTTGATGTGCTGCTTTCTTCGAATCCTGGCAGGCCTTTCTGGAGAGCTGCAAGGGCCTACTGCAATGTTTAAGTTTCAACAAACGCATCTTGCGAGATATGCGTACCTTGATAGAGGATTCCACGTCTAAATACCGCAATATGAGACCGTGGGATGGCCCCCCAATACGCGTTTTCTCGACGAACCGCACAGACTCTATTTCTCCGTACGCCGACAGTGCTTCCCTGCATGATTCCTCTGTCGGCGGCTCCTTGTTCCGCCTGAGATAGACATCATAACGCACATTCACTGCTCGAGAGGCATTGTGCAGTCCCAAATGTGCGACAGTGGTAGCAAGAAGCGGAGGCGACACAAACGGATCCATCTCGCAGCTCATCCCGTATCTCAACCTCGTCTTCAACTCTTTGATACATCTCGAGGCAGCGCGAGTATTGAAGAACTGAAGCAGAACACGGTCGTCTTCGGCCTTTACGCGCTCGATGGGACCGAACTTGATTTCGTCGAGAAGCCTGGTGACAGAGCAATTCTCGGGGACCCCACGAACACAGACAGTACGAAAACGAGGGCCGTATTCAATTTCAGGTCGTTCTGTTGTTGTTTCTGGGGGTATTTCGTGTATGTAGTCCTGCCATGAATACAACTGCATTGACGTGTTAGCAATTGACATACAGGAACTGTGAGATTTGCGTACTGTGGGCTGGACTTCAAAAGGAGACGGAGGAATTGAAGTCAAATGAGTCAGCGTGCGTGTCAAGACATGCTGGCGAAAGGAACGAGCAAGAACCTGGCTCCGGTGTCGCACTGAGGACGTTGTGGACATGGTCGCGGTCCGGCGTTTCCGCTCAGAAAATTATTTGATTACGTCATTCCTCGCACCCGCAAAGGTTAATATTTATTTGTAGTTGCAGATGATCTCCAGTATTTCGAACATATATCCTTCAACAGACGTTCTAGGAGTAAGGACCATTTTTGCCGATTATAGGACGATCTATCGTGCAACAGAGGTACCATACAACCCCCTCTTGCTTTGTCTCCTCGCTTGCCGCCTTAATGATTAACCGAATCCTATCCTCAAAGCTAGAATTCATAATCCCAGCAAATTGTGTCTCTTTTCGTGTTGGTAACCCAGTTTTCTTGGTTCGCTCTCGGTGCGCTGCAATATGTAACCTGAATACTTAGTACGACGAGACAAAAATCACGAGTACTGGAGATAGATTCGCCCTGACTTGGCGCTGGTCTCTTTATCGGCCGCTTTTCGCTCTTCGACGGAGAATCAGCTGAAAAGTTGAAATGAATCAGAGCCATACAGTAATGTCAAAGAACGGTGAATCTTCACATTGACCAACAGAAGATCCAAGCGATGTGACCATACTCCCGGGATGGTCGTAAGTCGGGGGGACGTTTCTATGTCCGGTTCGATATCCTCCTCCATTTCAGAAACTTGATGCAGAAGTAGCCTCTGAAAGGCCTGGTCCTCCGCAGGAGGGGGTTCAAGAAAGCCATACTCGGGTGGCATCTGCATGCAAAGGCGACAAAGGAACAGGACCATATCAGAGCTGTTGATTGATGTCGCTTGATAGAGGAGTTCAAGATGGTGTTGACAGACGTAAGCTGCGCTGGTATTTCGGTAGAAATGCCGAATATATTGGTAAGAATGTTCTGAAAACTGATGTCTCGGTGCAACAGTTATTTCTTCATGGCACTGTATCGATGGGCTAAGCTTCATTCAGTACATATAACAGTCTCCAAAGCGAAGCAACTCGTACCGTTCAAAACATCTAGCATAATGACCTTGATGATAAGGACACAGTTGGAGATGCTGTTGGTACGGACAGCTTTTATCGCATAAATAATAATAAACCGCCATTAAAACGTACCAGCACGTTGCTACTGGGCACCTGAACAATGAAGCTTCTGAAGAGCTACTCTCCCCGTTTGAATTGCACGCAGTAGAACAATGTGTACATGATAGAGTACCAACGTTCCCTCCAGACGATTGGACACCTGAAGCGTCGTATATCGCAGTCTTGACGACTCTGCTACTTGAAAGGACGGAGAGGTAGGGGTTTGGCTGATCGTAAAACGAAGGATGAGTGTCCAATACGGCGGGATAAGATTGGGTGTGGGGATTCATCCCTTCTCCTGGCATGAGGCATTTTTCCGATGGAAATTGAGTCTGGTACAAAGCGCCGCATTCTCTAGGTACCACGCCCAAAGCTGCCTTCCATCGAGCATATCCGCTCCGCCCGCCGCCCCTCAGAATCCATCTGCATTTTCCCCCCAAGTTGGCTCTCGGATTGACCAGATCATTCTCTTGGAGAGCCTGGTAAGTTCACATTTCAACAAATGTGGGGAAGGCTGCCATATACGGGGAGCAGGGGGGCGAGAATCTGACCAGATCGATGAAGAATTATAGACTATAATGCTCTGAGTCAGGAGGAGAGAGATGCAGGGATAGATGAAAGGCGACGAAGCAGCAACTTCCCTGGACAGGTGGTATGCACGTTCCAGCTTCCCATGCTCTACAAACGAACTCTCGGGATGTTGTACGATGAGCCATGGTCATGTTAACAGACACCGTGGCTTCGATCTTGCCAACAGAGTGCCGTTTGAGCAGATGCACATTCGTTCACCAGGGCTTCAGGATTCCCGTCGAGCGTGAGTAAAGGGATGATCGATGACGGAGTGCGGAAGATCGAACGTAGTTTGGAGGAACGATTCTGACAAAGAGAAACGGCTCGACTATCGGTCTTTGCATTTACTAGAATCGTATGCATTCATCGTGATACATGTATCCCACAGATTATTACACAATGCCAAGCTTGTAAAACTCCTCTACTCGCCCTCATCGGGGTGTTGAATCTGCGAAGCGAGTACACAGATTGCCCAGGTTCTGAGTACAGAGAGTATTTAGATGTGCAAAGGGTCAAATAAAGGAAGACGAACGATCAAGGATCGGCCGATAATGGAGCGCTCCCACAGCCAACATACGCGCCGTCCGTGTCCCAGCTTCCCATCTCGCAGAGATGGACTCTCAGCCCTGTGATGCATGCATCAGTCTTGATCGTAAAAATCTGATGTCTAAACACATCTTTCATCTGGGAGAGACAGTAATTCCGGAGGCGGGCGGGTCAGAACGATATGCCAACGATTGACCATTGTAGCTCAGAATTAGAGCTGCCGTATCGGACTCAATGTCCTCAAAAAATCCAAAAGCTGTAGGGATATCCCCTGCCGCAACAGGCACAGGTCCGTGTGGTAGACGCCGATATATCACATACTCATGACGTATCCTCTCTTTCTGTTTCAGAGCGCGAGTTTGACGGTAACCTTTTCTGGATAGCGCGCTACATCTCCAGAGGTCATATCCACCTCGACTTGAGCCTCCTATACCTGCCCGATAGCACCCTGGCCTAATTTCTTCCCAAGAAGAGTTAAGCAGTCATCGTAACGATATGAATGCTGCCGACTAAGACTGTTTGGCCTTCTAAAGAATGACGACGAGCTAGAATGATAATTCCCGTAGTGCAAGTAGAGTAGGGCTATTTTTTTGCTTAAGAAGCTCATTTATTATCTCTTGTGAGTCGAGCTCAGCATGAAGAGGTCATGTTAAATTTTTGACCTACCTCAGGTGCAATTTCATCGAGTGGTGTCTCTCCGAGTCTACGACGCGAACGTCTAACTGGGACAGTTGCTTCGGTAATGACCCGTGGCCATTTACCAGCATGCAAATGCTTGCCCTTGATTAATGTCAGGTCAAGGAGTGGAGCACGTTCAACAGCATCACTTAATATTGCCACGTTGATTGCCACCATGAACTTTCCAAAAGTTGGATTGGAGCAACTGCGAACATCAACTAGTTCAGATATGTAGAATGTTTGGGTTTCCCGGCGTCGAATATGATAAAGGTCGAGTCCGCATGGACAGCACGCGCCCAAGCCTGGACTCCAGTGTTAGATGGCTTTACGAGACAAAGGAAAAATGCGCATACCCGTTGTATAAAGTCAGCGGCATTCGCTTTGTACTTTGACGTTTTATGTCCAGATGTCGGAACAGAAATTTTTGCGGTGGCAAGTTCCTTGACTAGTAATGAACGGACCGGCCTTTTCTTTAAGGAAACATGAGGTAAACCCTTCGCAGAAGGTCATCCCTTCAGCCGCTCGCTTCGACGTGAATAAATGATACCAGCCTGAGTCGGAGCGACCTCATCAGACGGTACTGGCGCGGTATCCCACAGATACTTTTACACCTCTGGCCGCCATACGTGGGCTGAATTCGCAAACTGTCGGTGTCCCGACACGCCACACTGCGTCCAAGGGAAGATATCAAGAGCAGCCAAACCCGACATATCTTCCAAAATAGATTGTCCGGACAGCGTGTACATGTCCCAGATCGCTAGTTCGGGTAAATGGTCCCACATAGAGAGAATAAGTATCTTCCGATCTAGATCCCAAGATTCCAGCATTTTAGCGATGTCCTCTTTCATATAAGTTTCATACTTGAGGGAATACTTTTGCGTATGAAATCCCTCCGGAGGCTCTGGACGTCCGTTATCCATCCTAAACAGTCCTGAGGTTTGGTTGATCTGGATGAACAACGAGAATGGAGGCGGCCTGTAAAAAAGCAGGCAAGCCGCGACGATATCGTTCCGCGATGTCGGTAGCATTCTTTGGGGGTTCTACCCAATCATAGAGTTCGGGGCAGAGGTAAAGATAGGGAGAACAGAATGATTCGTTCTCATAATTGAATGTAGAATAGTAATCATAAAGGGCTTCCGAGATAGTGGATATAAGGGAGGGTAGAACCATGACTTTCTTGAGAATTAAAGAGTCATCCAAGTGTTTGTCAAAGAAGGTGATGGGCGAAGGTATGGCTTAGGAATGCCGGAATCGGGGTCCTGCTCCAGAGAAAATGGAGCGAGTTCAAAGAGATCTTCAAAGTCAACCTCCGAACTCGTCACGTTGACGTTGAGGTTCAACATAACCCTGCGAGGGTATTTGGGAATTATCTCATCTTCTGGGATTTTGATGATACATACTATCCTCAGATAGATATGAGCACGAACGGGCATTAATCTAGAAGGCTAGACCGATCATGCTGTTTCCGTGACATTCGAGTCCGTACTATTGTGCTTACAGCTTAGTAGGCCATGCCTTCCTAGCAGCCTTGGAAGACGAAATTTCGAGCATTGACGATGGGGATTTGGAACGTTACTGAGCGGATTCAGGGAAACGCATAACACTCTGCACCTTCAACGTCGTCCTATCGTTTAAGTATGGCCCATGCACCTCAAAGTTGGCAGGTACTTTCAAACGACGCCCTTGATTTCGCACCATTTCAGCTTTCGTCCATCATGTGAACTTGTTCTGGCTGGCGCTTAATCGACCACAGATACCACCTCGCGCCCAGTATAGGATAGCCGGCAAAAGGTATCTTTTGGGCCAGGTTAAATGTGGAGATTGTGAACGTTCGCACTCCACAGTTCATAAGATAGTGAGGTCAGGATTTATGAGACTAAGTCTGGCAAAGGTTCTTCTGGCGATTGAACTATATTTATCGACGTTTGCGCAAACATGAAGGTGTATATAGTATCCATGCATAGAAATGTTACATTGCAGCAAGAAAACATAAAGGAAAGGGAATGTTCAAGGGTGCATACATATAATAATGATATAGTTAGCAGCTCTACTGAAACTTTTTCTTGTAAATCCATGCTAGACCGATATCGCTCTGTCCTTGGGCAACCTGCAGGGAGGTGAGCTGATCGAACAGTACAAGAAAATGCAAGACACCCACAGCCTTCCTATACCACCTCGCAGCCTCCTTCCTGTCCTTCTTACACCCCTTCCCGTTCGCCAAACAAAAGGCCAAGTCACTCTGAGCATCAGGATCCCCCAGCCGCGCAGCAGTTGTGTAATAGCTCTGCCGGTCCCATCAACACGCGAAGAAAGGTAACAAGAAGATGTGTAACTCACCACAGCCATCTTCTGGTCCTTGGCCACTCCCCAACCATGAAAGAAACATTGCCCTACTTCGTATATCGCAAGGACCAGCTCGTCCTTCATTTCTTCTTTCCCATTCATGCTTTGCTGTCGCTCGAGGTCGCCTAGTGCAAACTCGGCTGCCTTCCTTAACCAACTGAACCCCGTCTTCTCGTTTTTCGGACATCCCCATCCATGCCGAAGTGTCAGACCCCACAAAAGCATCCCCACTCCACACCCCCCGTTGACCGTAGCGCTCTTCTCAAAGCACGAGGCGGATTCGGTCAGTCTGTTCGCCTCGTGGTGCGTTATACCGAATTGGAGGTAATCAGCTGGGGTCGTGGGCACATTCGGATGTGGTGGAGGGGGTATTTGGTTTTGGCTGGTCGGCTGAGACACGAAGTGAGGCTGTGATGATTGAGTTCCAGGTGGGAAGTGGGGTGATGAGGGTGAAGGACTTGAGCTGCCGTTGTCGAGCTGGTAGAACGAGTATGTGGAGTACAAACTTGCTGGAGAGTCTACGCGTACAGATGGCGGTTTACGGGGGAGCGCGATGGCTTCTGGGCGGTGTACAGAAAGCAAGTTGGGGCTTGGGGTGGAAGGCGCTGCAGGGCCATGAATTGTGTCTGTCGGGCTTGGCGAACGTGATCCTGGCTGAGGCAAAGGTGAACGATGATTATTCTGGAAATGCTCCAAACCCCGCGGTGGTACAGGGAAGTGAGATGGTGAAGGGCATTGATAGCTAGATGTGGGAGACGAAGTTGTACTCCGCCCGTTCCGTTCAAGGACCTTTCGTTTCCGGTCCTCCAGCTCAGCTGGGGACTGTTCCGAGGGGAGGGAAGGGCGGACAGGTCTTGAGTAATTGTTGGTTACTGCGGAGCGAAGGATCGGAGCCTTGCCTACGAGGCGACTGGGTTCGTCTGACACTGGGGACACGAAGACGGTCGGAACGGGGGAGTCTGGGTCCGCAGCATAGGCGTCGTATATTTCGCTGTCGACGACATAGTCGTTTGCGAGGTGCTTGTGAGGAGAGGTGCCATGGGATTCCCATGAGTCGCGAATGGCTGGGGCAGAAGAGTAGATGCTTTCCTGATCGTAATAGTGGTAATCGTCGTGATACACCTGCGATGAGTCACCCGAAAGATCGAGGTACGAGTTGTCGTCTTTGGACGATCTCGTCGCTGTAGAGCCGCGAGAGAAATGGCTGTGGAGAAGAGGTGAAGAAGGGGTGAGGTGATGGCCGGAGTGCTGCTGCGGCTGCTGTCTTGGGGGGGTCGTTAGGTGGTTACCGGAGCTTGAAGAGCTCTGAGCAGGATATGTGAACTGGGGGTTCAGCCCGGAACTGTTCGAAGAATGGGCTGGGGGAAGCCTGACTGGCGGCGGTATATTCTGGCGTGTCGTGGACCTGCCCAGTGTTTCCAGCGGCGATGAATGGTGCAAGGAAAAGGGTGACGATGGTTGGTAATACGGCCTACTCGTGGCCATCATGATTGAAAGAGAGGAAGGTGAAAGGAAAGGCTTGCTAGTGAGGAAATGAAATAAAAAGAAGCTGGGCAATAAAAGGAATGCATTGATTGTCGTCCTGTACTACGCCCCGGTTACATAAGGTATATGTCGCCTGGGCAGTCCAAGTTAAGATAGGGGCAAATAATCCAAAAAGGTATTCAATGAGTCAGCATTTCTGCTCGTCGACCATCACGGTGACGGCTGGTGCATCTGAAAAATACTTGAATTGAGCTCGATAGGCTTTCCAGGACAATAGTCTTCTGTCAATTATTGACCCATATTATACCTGACGATGAGCTACCGCGGACGCCGTCGGTACAGAGGTGAGATTACTGCAAGCCTGTCAAAGTTTCTGCCATCCGAATCTTTCTTCCAGACGACTATGACCGACGCGAAATCATCGAGTCTCCCCAGCAGAAGCTCAAATCCGCAATTTTCAAGCTTGGAGAGGTGGTGAGTCGCTCCGCTATACTTTACTCTTCGTTGTAACTCAGGTTGTGCTGTAGGATCCGGTCGAGGAGCTGCCCCACCTAGAAAAGCAGATTCGAGCACTTGTTCCCCCAGTCATCTCCAGCCTATCAGAGGCTTTTCGGATAGCGTGCGTTGGAGACGCGTCGTCGTGTTCTTTGACCGGCCAGCTCACCGTTGTTTAGGGTGACGGAGCAGCCGTACAAAATCCCTTACTATGCTGCGTTGCTGCGACTCTTGCACGAACAGCCAGACGGAGAACCCCCCTTGGGACGTCAAATTCTTGAAGATATATGGAAAGGGTTCCAGACATATGTCGACCAGCTGGCATGGAGAGAAACTCGGTTCTGCGTACGTTACTCCCCTCATACGCCATACCCTTACGCTTATCATCCTCTCAGATACATTTCTTTGCCCACCTGACGCTAGCAAACTTGATCTCGATAGACTCACTCGTCGGCCTTCTTCAATCCCTCACTGCCGTCCTCGACGAATTCGGGGTCTCCCATGGCCGAGCAAAGCGCGCTGCTTTGTGTGCTGCTGAGGGGCTGATGATTGCAGGCTCCGTCATCAAGACCAACCACGCGTCCAATGCCACTGATATCGTCAATGCTATCGCAGCATTCAACGAAACTACATCAAGCGCAAAATGGATCGTTCATCCAACCACGTTTTTATCTTCGGCAAGTATCACTACCGATAATGCGGATGAGGTGAGTACGGACATCCCGCTTTGATATCCTATTCTCATCCATTATCAGCTTCTGGATGTCCTACTAGCGTCTCTCGGAACTCTTGAAAAATCTGGATATGCAGAATCCTTGACCTCGTTTCCCCGTCCCTATGCTGATTTCCCAGCCCTTGATCTGGAGTCATTCACCCCCTTCGTTCTTCCCTCTGTTCTTGTTCCGCCAGAAGTTATCGAATTAGAGAACGAAATGGGAGACGACGCACCCGTCAAAAAGGAAGAATGGCCTGAATACTATATCCGCTTGTTCGAAAACGATGTGCGTTCTTTGCATCGATTTATTTATTTTATTTTGTTGAACTCTTGAATCTAGGTGTCTCCTGACTTCAGTACACCCGAAGGATACGCTGTTCGGATGGACCTCGCATCGATACTCGACATATTCGAAGTCAATCGGAAGGAGTGCGCGCGCATCCTTCTCGAGTATCCGAAATGGATGATTCCAGGAACCTTCAAGCCGAAACCGGGCGCTCCCATTGTTGATATCGAGCCTCTCCTAGGCAGAGGTTGGCAACTAGAGAGCACAGTCATCGAGGTAAATGCCTCACAGTCATTGTGTGACTCGCCATTGAGCACAATTTTAGACTATCCTTGGAGCTTTCTTTGTTCTGCCTGAATCGTCACAAAAATCCATCTACTACATGAGCGTCATCACAGAACTATGTAAACTGTCTCCTTCCACTGTGGGCCCCGCTGTAGGAAAGTCGATCCGTAAACTGTATGGGTATCTAAGCGATGGATTGGACCTGGACATTGCTCGACGGTTCTCTGAATGGTTTGCCGTGCATATGAGTAACTTTGGCTTCCAATGGGTGTGGAAGGAATGGTGGGTTGTCTTTTTTTTCTGTTCAGCAAAATGTGGTTTTGATGTGTTTTTGTAGGCTTCCTGATCTTGGCTTGGTGATTCAGAATCCTCGGCGTGCGTTTATGCGTCGTGCGTTGGAGTATGAGATTCGACTTGCCTATTATGAACGTATCGCAAAGACGCTTCCAGAACCTATGCAAGATCCTGAGGCCTATGTTCTGCCTAAACAAGCTCCAGGGCCTAATTTTGAGTTCGACGATCCTAGTAAGATTATGCTCATTAGTTCGGATCATTTTAATCACCAAACTCCCAGTGAATCCCCATCACGACAATGCACAATCTGTCCTGAATCTGTTTAGAGGGAGGGCAAATGCAGAAGATGTCATCTCTCACCTCGACACGCTCAGATCCTGCGTCGAGGCATCAGAAGACGGTCATATCAATACCGACTCGATCGTTCGCTCCATCGCCATTCAATCCCTGTTACATATCGGCTCCCGCTCTTTCTCCCATCTTTTGAATGCCATAGAGCGCTACCTCCCCCTCCTCCGACACATCGTCAACAGCGGTGCTGCCGGAAACGCAGAGGCCAAAACAGACGTTATGAACGCCGTAGCCCGATTCTGGATGTACAACTCGCAGATGGTGGTCATAGTATTTGACAAGCTGATGCAGTACCAAATCGTGGATCCGACGGATGTGGTGGCATGGACGTTTGAGCATGGGGTGACGGATGAGGCGCTGGGCGTGCTCCAGTGGGATTTGTTGAAGGGTGCGTTGGATAAAGGGAATGGGCGGGTCAGCATCGCGAGGAAGAAGTTGGCTGTGCTGAGGAAGGAGGATGATGATACACGGGCTAGGGCTATTGCTGAGGATGGTGCGGGCATGGAGGTCGATGCTGAAGCTAAAAAGAGTAGTTTTTCCCTCTCCTGCTTGTGTGTGATCTCGGTTACTGATAGTTCGCTCCTCAGATGAAATGCCGGAAAATCTTGCGCTTACGAGCGCCGTTAAAGCATTTTCGATCTTGACGAAGGAGCAAAAATCCGTATTGTCACGTACATTGGAGGGTTTCGTGTCCTACCTGGTTCCTTCGAACCCTGAGGTGATCACGGAGAAGGGATGGCATAACAGGGCTAATTGGGGCAGGGAAGAGTGGAATGCGTGGGAGACGTGGGGATGGTATCGGCATTTCTGTAGAGTGGTATGTCTCGTCGTTCCCTTTCCTGACCTTTTGTTGGCTGATCTGGGATTTTTTTTAGTACTCGCCGTATTTGCGTACGTTCTCGACGACGCTGTCGACGGTGTCGTTTGCGAGATTGGAAGGCTCTACGGACCCTGCGATTGTGTTGGTGCAGAAGGTGTTTAATGTGGCTGTTGGGCAAGAGTAGGTTTATATTGTCCGTTGCATCCGTTTGATGGATTGAGATAATATATGAATATGATATTGGTTGCTAGTATGTGCATCAGACGTCTACGAGACCCGCTATGCCCAAATTTCTCTGATTGGAAGCCACTCCCCCGGGAAGATGTCCCAAAGCGGTGGTTCATGATGGACGACCTCAAGACATCCAACACGAGTCGCAAAGACGCAGCTCTTCACGTTAGATGGGTCGATGGGTTTGTGCGCTCTCGGATTTCGATCAAGAGCTTCGAGCTGTACACCCAGTTCCACAGGCACATGCGCAATTTGGTTCAATATTTTTCGTCAAGGCCATAACAATTATATCAGATGCAGTTTCCGAGCTGCGTGGAGATATTCAGATGAAAAAAAGAAAGTTGGCTGTTTAATTGTCGTGGCTCCTAAACAGAAACATAAGGACGTCCGTTTCGTATTGATCATACCCAGCAGCGATGCGATGTTCGATGATCAATGAATGCTCACCAATCATTAAGCATCCAGTCTCAAATTTCGTATATGTGGCCTATCCGACTCGGAGCTCGGATGGGTCTGAACTTTATCGCCGACTGCCCTTTCAGACACTACTTAACTTTTCTTCAAAAGAGATGGTCGGATTGCTTGGCAAGCTTTACTCTTCTTTCTCAGCATTACATGTGGATCACTGCTGATATATATGACATCCACCGGCTTTTAGTCGACATCGATCAGAACAAAAACCCCTCCTCCTCCCACAGCAGATAGGCAGGCTCCAAGAGCGGCAACTTGTTGGAAATCCTCGGTGTTGCACAGGGTAGACTCCAGGCTGGTAAGGCCAGATGGTATGAACTTGTTATTCTACAGCTCCTACAGAGCTTGTATTTATACTCTCCAGGATTATATCTAGAATTTACTACAACTTTCTCTTTCTCTCGAGCTTACTCATCAACTCTCGGCGTGATGCCGGATTGCCCTTTCTAGAACTTTCCAGCAAAATCCCAACACAACTCGTCCAAGGTAAAAAAAAAAAGTCAATTACTTAAGGCCTCGATTCTTCCTTTATCTACACCAGACTATTGAAACGTCGCGGCCTTGACCCACTCAACATAACGTTCACAATATGTGGAACCACCCAGGCCAGCCTGAATATGTAATCATAATTAACAAACGACTCCGAGGCGGGAAAGAATATGGAGTAGACTCACCATCCTATACCACTGATCGTGCGAATCAATACATGGCAGTGAACTTGGCAAAGTCCCGAGTTCCGCGAAACAGCGCTTAGCAAAAAAGGAAAGCATCAGAGTTAACAGGCACTATGACAGAATGAACGAGAGGCGTACGTGTGGAACGACCTTATTAATTCTTCGACATTTGAGCCCCACCTTTCTAGCGATCACATCAGCCTTCTCCTCATCCAAGTATTCCTGGAATGCGATTGAGGTATCGTGGAATGCATCTACATTCTGGGTGTTGAACAAAAGACGGTCAGACACATGGTGCAAGTCCTAGCACAGAGTCACAAATGTCTGTGTCGGCGAATTTAGGACAAGTACTTACCGTGAACTTGCAGGATGCCATCCTCCTCCTCGCGCGCAGGTACATTGCTTTGGACGATGCGGCCTCACCAGCTCTTTTCCAAGCCGTCCAATTCATGAACAGGCCAATGATAGCGGCATTAGGATTAGCTTCGTTTAACAGCGGACCCCAATCAGACAGAATGGACAAGCCAACGTAGTTCTTGTCCGTGATATTGGAAGTCTCGATCCGATCGAAACTCTTGGGCGAAGACACGTCGCGTTTTAAAATCGCAGGAAGGTCTCTGGCATCTTTGTCATAAGAATAGATGTGAACCTTGAATTTCCGAAGTCGCTTGGAGAATTCGACAAGCTGGTCCTTCACGTAGAAGAACATGCCGCCCATCAGGTCGTCGTCAGTGGTACCGTGCGCCCTTCCTGCCTTGACCACTTCATTGTAACTGGGATTGGGATTGATCAGACGCAAAGAAACAAGAAGATGCCGCTTACTCCCATCCTTTAAGAGGACTAGAGCTATCATAGAGCAGGAGATTTCCCTGACGGGAGAAGAGCCATCTGTTCGGAACGTACATATGATCTTTCATCGCACCAAAAGGAAGGAGTATTCCAGATCTACGCCATGCGTCGAAAGCCACTCTATGAGACGGCCTGAGACTCGCATAATATCGCTCACGATGATCGATTCTCTCCGGCGCGTACATTGTTCTGCTCAACGCATTTTTGGCTTGGGGGAATTCAATCTCATCTCCTGCGAGCAAAGAAATGAGAAAATAGGTCGTGTCAGTGTCCCATCTCATGTATACTGTGGTGGTGGACGTTAGACAAGCGGGGGTACCATCGAGATGTTGAAAAGTCGGGGCATCGGAAAATAGTGGAAAGACATGGTCCCGATAGGACAGTGGTTGGAAGACCGAGTACCAGAAGTGAAGTGCGTGCTCGGCGGCTTCCTCCTAATTAAAGTATGAGGTCAGATAACGCCGAGTGAATACACAAAGCGATGATTGTTACCACATCCTCGACGATACCAAGAATGGTCAGAATCATAAGATTGCGACATACTGCCATAGGATTTTTATCATTTAGTACGATTTTAAGTGTCCCGATGTAGTCTTCTGGCAGCTCATTGACTGTCCTGACGACATTACGCAAATCCCCAGAAGCTAATGCACATAATTAGTTATTTCATAGAAACCCGGTTACAGGTTACAGCGATGGAACACACCTATGAAAGCAAGCGAGAGATCTTTGTCACATATTCCATCGGCACCCTCATTATTTTTTGCATTAATGAGATCGATGGACATCATGTTGCCCCATCTAACGGCCCAAGTATCAGTTGTTAATCGCTGGTGAAGAAGAGATATCCTTGCAATCCCATTCCATTGCCAAACCGTTTTTGCTGTATATTTGCCTCGTTAGGACCGGATATGAACGCCGGCTTCCTGTTCTCTGTAACCCACGTGGGCGACCATGACTTTGACTTCAAAGGGTTTTTACAATCTGCACCAAGATTAGTTATCTCACACGTGAATGTATAATGAATAAGTACCTTGCTTATGAGATTTCCAATGCTCTTTCTGACACGCCTTGGAACAGTATCGAACGAGAAAGCAGCCGGAACAGGACTGTGTCGCATCATTTGGGCAAGAGTGATTAGCGCATCCGAGGCAACGTAGAGGTGGTGGCATAAAATATCGGTCGATATTTGTAGAGAGTTTGGAGAACGAAGTGGTAAGAACCTGCATGTTGGTTGTTGTGGAGGTGATGGAGGTTGATGAAGGTACAAGGATATATATACAGGCAGGTGGGAAGTGATTACGTTGCTCGAAGGATTCGCAGCGTCTATCTGGATATCCTCAGTGCTCATGACCCGAGAATAGGCGCTCACTTGAAGGCTTCATAGTATACCGACCCATGAAGATATTCGCAAAGGCGAGACGAAATATAGACACGGGATTTGACCGGGACACACACTGCAGTCAAAAGTTAGGGGAGTGGTAGGAGCAGAAAATGCGTGCCTAACAGTAAGATGGTCGAGGGCAACTCGGCGATGAAGTGCTAATCGGCCCCGAGCACGAAGACTGAGCTATATGGTATCCACGTAACAGTCGACCGACGTCAAACACTAGCCTCGATATACGTTTCCCTTTGACAAGGCCTTCCTATGAAGACAACATGACACAAACCTTGTCAGAACAGCAAATCATAGTCACCCAATGGCGTCTCCAGACTCCAGTTCCAGAATAGCCTCACTTGTACAGCCAGTGCGCTAATACGCGCTTCGTAAAACCGAAAAACCAAAAACGTGGATTGGAAGATACAACATATTACGTCCTAAATCATGACCTTGCCACCTTCTTCTTTGCCTTGGCAACGTGGATGAGTTTGTCGTTATCGATATTATCCATCTTTGTTTTCGTCTCGTCATCAGAGGCATCGTCCACAATATCATCTAACTATTTATAGAAAAATATCAGTGAAAGAGGTAGGGGACAGAAAACTGAAATACCTCAAAAGCATCCTCCAAGTCAGGAACTGGACCTGCAGCAAGTTTCTTGGGCGCCTTGCCAACATCTTGGCCTTTGTGGAAGGGCATGGGATGCTCTTGGCTATTGTACCTAGAAAGAGCTCGATTAGCATAGATACATTCCACTATAACAGGACATACTTTCGCGTGAATGAGGACTTGACAGCAGGAGGTATCTTCTTGAGAATGAGATCATCCTTATTCTGGTCGACACCGAGCTCGACGATAGTATCCCAGTCTTCCTTGGAGAGAGAGTATTCATCCATCCCGTCAATAACATCATCAATCGCACCCTTCGCAGAATTCGTCAGACTTGTGCAGTCGATCAACGAGTACGACGAACCAATCCTTCGTCTACCAGAGGCCTAACGATATGAGGAAACAACGCAGGAATATATGATTGTCGAATCTCTGATTTGTCGCCAGATACCTTGAGTCGCATTCGGATCTGGACATCACCTAATTGGCGACTCAGTTTGTTCTGTTTCGAGTTCTGCCCTAACCATCTAGTTCATCTGGTCAATGCATGAAGCCAACGAGAGAGGAACGAAGACATACTGCGGGAAAGACATGGAATTTGGACCACCATAATGGGCCCCCTGCCCGTAGAGAAGAGATGCTGGTCGAACTGCAGAGCACACAGCATGAAGAGGCATCAGCGACCAATGCTGTTCTGGTCTGTAAAGCCCACACATTAGAAATACCGTACGATGACGGTTCGCGACTCACCCGTGTATAAGACCGTCAACTAAGTCGCCATCAGATATTGACGCCGCAGCTTTGTCCATCAGCTGGAGTTCTTTCAAAATCTTATTGGGACCATCCAGATTCCGAAGCTTCGCAGGCTGTGTCTTCAAATAATTCTCCTGTACACAGTTGATACCCAAGTAATAAGGACAAATAAGTAACGAACCTGAATGAACAAGGGCATAAAAGAGTGATCCTGAAAGTATAGCTCCATCTTGTCACCCAGTGTTTCCCGAGCCGTTGCTGAGAACAAATATGGCCCCAACATCTTGGAAGTAATGTCAAATGGACTCATAATCGAATATTTCTCGTTCATTTTCGTCCTTCGCTTAATAATTAGTCGTTGATAACAGTTACGCTCACAGCGCTCACAAGGCTTTGCCTTCATCGAAAGACATTGAATCACTGGATAACTTCCACGTCGATAGCATATTGAGAACATGTCGAATATCCGACTGTGATCCAGCAACGAGTTGATCTATCACATTCGCAGGAATCTTCATCTTCTCCCTAAGAATACCGTAAGCATAGGCTACGGAGAGAATAAGGGCCATTACTTGAACGCAATTGTTAAAATTCTGGAACGGATTTGAGCGGCAGGAGGTCTAGTAGTGAAATAATGAGGAGCTTTCTATCGTTCTTTACTAACACTACTTACTTTGAAAAGTTCATGCTGAATGTCGTCCCCTTCAATGGGGCCAACTTCTGGGCGTTACGGTCATTGGCAATGCAAATAATAGGAATCTATGAATTCAGAGATGGCTCAGGTGGTGGACACGATGACTGGGTTTGTACCAACTTTGGATTTCTTGATCAACGCGTTAAGCGCACCGACGCCACCTCGATCCCCAGCAGACATACCATCGACTTCATCCATAATAAGACAGCTTCGATCGGTAATGGTGACACCTGAAGAGTTTGTTTTCTAAAGGAATAGTGCCAGCTGAGTCCACAGATGATAAGCATGGGTGTTCACGAACATTAGTGCCACCGAGAAATCCGTCCAATGACATGTTGTTGATGTTCATCCCGTTCTGTTCAACAGAGTAGGTATGTCCTGCTCAGCAAGAGAGAAAGCGTAACCTACTTCAACGAGCTTCTTACTTCTCGCATCACTTGCATTCAATTCGATAGGTGTCAATGCGGCTAGCTTCGCACAAAGATGCGCGCTGGTCGTTTTACCGATACCCGGAGAGCCCGTAATGAGGACGGCCCTGAAGATATTCATTCCATTCTTCCCCGGTTTCTTGAACCCACTCTTAAGACTCTGGGGCCTGTGGGAACATCTATTTCATGAAATGTCGGGACCAGAAGTTCACATACCAATCATTGAGCCATTGAAGTAGCTTATCTACTTGACTTTTGTTTCCACAGATCTCTTTGAGAGACTGTGGAGCGTACCGCGTCGTCCATAGCTGAGAAGAAGGATCGATTACCTTTGAACTGCGGAGGTATTCAGTTGTGCTAGTCCTTAACGGGAGAGACACACTACCTGCCAGGCACGCCCCTGCTTTCCTTCGCCGCTTGCTTCTCTCGCTTTTCCATCTCTTTGGCGGCATTCTTGATGGCCTCCTGATCCTTTTCCATCTTTTTCTTCGTTTTTTCATCCAAATTTTCGTTACCAAAACACTTTCGGGTAGCAATCAAATTCAGAAACTCGTCCTCGTTCAAGGTCTTAAGCTTGTGCTTTGCGATAGCGGCCAACTTGGACGGTCCTGCATTATCGCCCAGGACGACAAAATCAGTGCGTGACGAGGGTTGCCCCACCACTCGTCTGAGATGAATAATAAGATATTGAAAGAGAGAATGAATACATATCAACATACCCTCCGAAGCGTTTCGCTAAATCAACCGCTTCTTCTCGAGAGAAACTGCTTAGTTCACCCGTGAAAACAAATGAAAGGCCCATAAGACAGTCAGGCTGGCCATCGGGAATGTCTTTAGAGCCATGTGCCACAGGCGCGGCCAACTTTGCGGCTCTCGTAGCGGCCCAGCTGTGGACCGTGTTCACACATGAAAACGCGGTAAGAGAGCCAACGTACTTGGGCTTCTTGGGTTCATCTTTGGTTTTCTCTTTCCCTTTCCCATCAGCATCCTTCGAGGTGATAGCTTTCTTCTTGGGAGGTGGTTTCGCTTTCGCTTTCTTCGGTATCAACCACTCGTCATCGTCGGAAGCTGAAGCATAATCCTCGTCTTTGAGGTTTTTAGTGGAGACGAAACCTTCCGCTTTCTTCACGTTTATTTTGGACTGGGAGTTTGTTGAAGGTCGAGGTTTTGTTGTGGCAGCGACGTGCTTGGAGGTCGACGGGGCAAGTTTCTTCTTTGGAGACGAGTCTTCATCGTCTTCATCGCTCGATAGAAGGGCAGCAGGCTTCTTGCGCTTCACAATAGGCCTGCGGGGCGGCAGCGGTGTTTCATCATCGCCTGATAGGAAGAAGTCAGCCTGTTGATACTGAGTAAAATCAGGTCACACACTGATCTCAATGACCTTCGACAAGTTGGAAGGCTTTCCATCAGGTGAGGTGGTTGCTGGCTTCTTCTTTGGCAGAGGCTTTTTTCGATCCTCGTCGTCGTCGCTCGAAAGTACCGCTGTCTTGCGCTTGAGGTTCGACGAAGCTGTGCTGACCTGATAAGCTGCAGACTGCTGCCTCTGGGCAAATTTTCATACCTGTCATTTGACTAGAGCTCTTCCTTGTCTGCGACGAGCCTGACGTTGCAGTTTGCTGCGCGTGTTTTCAATCTACAGGCTTGAGACAAAACGACTGCTCCTTACAGATGAGCCTGGAGGTTTGCTGGATGAACCTGTCATGAATGCCCTAATATCTACCCCAGCTGGCTTTTGCGTCTTGGATGCCTTTGCCGAGCTCATCTTGGGGTATGAAGGCGATGTTGGTGGTGAGAATCAGCGGCACGGACGCGTTGCAGTCACCTCCGGCGCGTGAGGTCACAGTCACGCTCAATCGCCTCCTTCGACCATGAGAGTAGCTTTCCTTCATCCAGATCTCGGTATTGGTATGCTCGACTGTAATCCACTCTTCAATACCACCTCATTGCTTCATAGGCGGTGCAGAACGTCTCGTTGTGGATGCTGCGCTTGGGTTGCAGGGGTTAGGCCATTCTGTCGACATTTACACCTCCCACCACGACCCTAGCCACTGCTTTGAAGAGACCAGGGATGGTGAGCATCCATGTACTTCTCTCGAGATGATTCTCTCAATTCATCAGGAAGCCTTTCCGTCTTCAATGTCAAACCTCCTGTTCCCCGTGCCCTAAAGGGAAAATTCCATATCTTCTTTGCACACGCTAGACAACTGCACCTTACGACCCACATTCTCTTATCTTCATCTCCAAAGTACGATGTATTCTTCGTCGACCAATTATCGACGTGTATACCTTTCCTTCGCATGCTGGGCAAGACTAGAGTCGTATTCTACTGCCATTTTCCGGACAAGCTGCTTGCAAATGGCGCGTTCATCGAAGGGTCAGCGATGCTGCAGCAGGGAAGCCTGCTAAAGAGGATTTACCGGTTCCCGATGGATTGGTGGGAAGAAATAACGACTCGTGCGTACACGACCACTTTCAAATGACATTGCTTACTGTTCATAGGTCAAGCGGACATAATACTGGCCAACTCTCGTTTTACTGCGCGTGTATTCAAGTCATATTTTCCCTCCATATCCAAGACCCCAAGGGTAGTGTATCCAGGTATCAACATTGCTGCGTATGAGGCTGCGGTTGATACCTCGGATCCTGACGTCATTGCCATAGCTTCGTAAGGTACTGTCTTGTGCTATCTGGTGTGATCTGACCATTCAGTTCAGCGACCGTCCTACCTTTATCTCTTTGAATCGATTCGAGAAGAAGAAGAACGCAGCGCTAGCCATTGAATCTTTTGCCCAGGCCCTACCTAGCCTTGCGCGCAGTACTCGCCTGGTCATAGCTGGAGGATATGATCCTCGGCTTGAAGATAACATGCTCACTCTATATTCCTTGATCGACCTTGCCAAGAAACATGGCTTGAGATACGATGTGATCACTCCCTCCAACCCCAACGCAGTTCAAATCCCCCCTCTCAACACCACTCGTCAGAACCCTGACGTTTTGTTCTTGCTCAACTTCAGTACTGCTCAACGTTCCTGGCTGCTGAAGAGTTTATTAACGAAGGCTCTGCTCTATACACCGGCAAATGAGCACTTTGGCATTGTTCCTGTAGAAGCTATGATTTGCGGTCTACCGGTATTAGCGTGCAATAATGGTGGACCCGTCGAAAGTGTTGTGGATGGACCGGCGGATCAGCGTACAGGCTGGTTGTGCGCTCCTCAAGCAGACCTTTGGGCAGAAGTGTTAAAGGAGATCGATAGCTTGGGTGAGGCAGACAGGAGTGCTATTTCGAAGAGGGCGAGGGAACGAGCGAGGCATGTTTTCAGCATGGACGCGATGTCTCTGTCGATAGAAGAATCCCTGAAAAAAGCAGTTGCGATGGGAGAATCGGGGATTGGTCGGGGCTGGGAACTCTTCGGGGCGATGTTGATAGGTTTTCTGTTTGCTTACCTCCTTGGCCCATGGTTAATCTGACAAGAAGCTCTTTGTGATTTTATCAAGATATATATCGTTGCTCGTGCTCGTGCTGGAACATTTTTTTTGCGGATATTTGTTTATGCACCGCTTCTCGCGAATGCCTGGGGCCAGAACATCCTGCCATGCTTCTTATAGTCTCCTTTCGAGGTATGACCGCGGAATGAAAAACTCCTCGTGTACCCATAAGCTTTATAGTCACGAGCCCTGTGCGTTATATTCGTTGGGTTGTAGGCACGCACCTCTTATCACCTCGTTCTCCATTAGATCAAGTATGACAACCTCCATGTAAAATGGTGTTCGTCTTCTGTTGTACAGACCTCACTGATTGAGTCACAGGGAAAAAAACGATATATATGCCGTACTGACATCGACCAATATGGTTGGTGCATTTCATTGGAGCCTATATCTTGTGGTGGCAAGTATCCGTAAAATAATGTTGCTTGCGTTAGCTAACGACCCAATCTCCAGGACTCTTCAAAAGGCTACAAATTCCACGCCACCAACAAGATTGGCACCGCGCCGTGGCAGTATGAATGCGTACTTTGGGTGAATCCTCAATCGGAGGATAGCATGCCTGTCACTTTTACCAAGATCGGGCGCATCCCGGAGGAATGGGACCACTCATATCTGGATTATTTCTTGAGCAGCATACCCATGTGTACCCCAGATACTGACCGTGCCAGGGAGCCCCGATTTACTTGCCGAGTCTGGTTCAGAGAAGCTATTCGCACGTTGCACGCGGCAGAGATGTTCGTAAAGTGCGCTGATGTTGATGCACTCGAGAGAGACCTTGTGACCAAGGCGACAGCTGCTGAGTATATGCGACGCTCGATTCCCCTTCCTCGATTTCTGACTACAAATACGGTGGATGCTGAGGGATGGCTCTAATACTGTTTACGGCTGCTTGTTAGGTGTATTTCGAATAAATAGTGGTCCGAGCGCACAGAGGCGATTCCCATTCTTGGACTCAGCTAAACTGCGACAGCACCAGAAAGTGCGGTGAAAAACGACGTAAAGAACATCATGGATTACAGATTGGCACCCGCCTCTTCAGTGTCTGACAGGCAAAGATTAGATGCAAAGGGCGGCGGTTCCCCCCAGGAGAGGGATTACTGGATATTGTGTCGGAGATACCGGTATGTCTGGTATTCCTCGACTTTGCTTCTCGTTAATTTTTCAGGGAGTATATGCGACCGACCCGTGTGTCTAAACCACCGGACCCGCGGCAAAGAATAGAGTGAGATGTTTATTTCACGTCCAACAGCATTCATTTCTCAATCCCCTTCTTGGTGCAGCTACCAGCAAAGTTTTATGGGTCATGAATGTTGCGTACTCCCCCCACCGCAGAACGCTCCCGGAAGTGTGGGGAGTCGAAGCTCAAGAACCGCCGCCAAACGAAAGAGCTGCTGGAACGAGTGTCTAAGGTACTGTTGGATATTCTCCTCCGAGGACATTATTTAAGGTGAGTGCTACTATGCCATCTCGAGTTTTTTTTTCTGATGTCGGCACAGATCTTCAGTCACCTCAATTCGTTTGTGCCATTTCTTAACCGTTCGTCGCTCTCCACTTGGAGTTTACCTTAATTAAACGGGCCTCCCGAATATTCCGACCTACTTGTCGGAACCTCGTTTCACAAGCTTGCATGTAAACACTGCTTGGTTTGTCGTCGCATATGCTTCAGCTACACTGAGATTTATTCTGTCTCCATGCTGTGTCTATATCTCCTCATGCCTCGTTCAATATGTTTCTTGCACCAAATACTGCACAAACGGTCTTCAGAACATCAGGGATATTTGCTCAACGAGTAACCGACGAGGAGATCAAATTGGGACGACAAGAAAAAATATTCTCGTTCCCCTACGTACCAGGTACGACTCAGAACCAGGTACCGGACTCATTATTGACACTGATATTTCAGCACAACAGAATGCAAAATTGGCTGGAGCAGAGGTCTTGGGCTTTCGTTGAAGAGGATTGATGAGTAGGTCGTGGATAGGCTTTTGTTCATTTATATCTTATCTGTTTATCACTAAGTCTGGACCAGTGCCATCAATCAGAAGCTTCGAACAATCTGATAGGCCGAATACAGACAAAACCTCTCGTCGCAGTACAGCCCATTGGCTGAAAGAAGAGTGTATCATTCAGTTTTCCATTGGCAGAGTATTTGACATTCCGCTGAGGGACACACTACGAGAGATCCCGAATAAGTTTGGGCCTTCAAAGCTTCATCGACATCTCTAATTGAACAAGAGGATCATAATAGATATAATAATAGGTAATAGGATTTACAGCTATCAATAATAACAATGTGTGATACCTCCTTTGTTACACAGGCTTACAAGGGATGAAGGTGAAAATGAAGAAGAGACACTGGAGCTGATGTCTCTCATGAATCAGCCTCAGCTGAGAATTGGCACTAAGATAGTGATGGTGCTGGTGGCCCATCCTTATGGATAAGCAGAGCTCCATATCAACAGAGATTGTGGGTGCCTTGAGATCCACACCAGAGGCCTATGAAAACACTCCCTACCCTTGGAATTTGCCTTTATGATGAGCCAAAAGTGCTTATTCATTGGGGCACTGTTATGTGCATGCCACTGGACTCCACTTCACACCACCAACACTTTGTCAACCATTGGATCCCACTGGAGTCTGACAAGCCACCATTTCCTTTTATTTGATTTTACCTTTACCATTTCATGTCCTTATTTCACATTTTAATTTCCAACCTAAAGTTGGTGATGATTAGTCAGCATTGGAGTCCATCAGACCCTGACTCAGAATTAGCTACCTCTAGTATATAAGCCATGTACATTCACTGTAGATATTCAGTTCAAATATCAAATTAGTTTAGCCCAATAACTTCATCCTCATTTCAAGCTCTCCTCTAAGTCTGACAGATTCCATTCCATTAGAATATCATCTATCCAACTTCTCTCCCTTTGACAGACTCCATTCTGCTACCTTGATCCTTTGCACTTCAACTCAAGGGTGACATTTCTAATAGCTTTGCCAAAGCCCATCCACTCTGCATGCAATTGACTTCATTCTATTGACATGTTCCTAACAAGCATCTATTACTATTACTGAAACTATACATTGATGTATTGTTTCTCTCATTCTTTAGTTGAAGCTCTTTCATAAATTCTATCATCACAGGCTCTACATTTCTAATCAAAAGATTCAATACTATGTTATCTGTAGAGGAATTGAAAGAACATACTGTCATAATTTTAGTCTCTTGATCACAACCTTCAGATGCCTAGTAAGCTGACACTTATGAAAGCCCAATAGTGGATGCTGGATGGTGAAATGGATCAGTTTAGGCCTTTTGACTAAACAGGGAAGTATGTCAATACCTGTCAATACCTGGCTTACTGATCTTTCCCTAGGTATAGCATTTAAACAATATTAGGTGATGTTCTATGCAGAAATGAGCTGCTCTTCTTTGCCCAGAATTCACCATTCATTGATATCTGTGAAGAATGATGTTTCATCCTGGCATCTCTATGTACTATGTGACAAGGAAAAAGCTGTGCCTTAGAATGATGGAGTTAAATTGGCTTATGAGCAACATCTTGAGTCAGTCATGGTAGCATATTGTCAGCAACAAAAAAACTGACATGATGTGTCACACTTTATTTGCTAGAGAACCAAGCAGTGAGGTGAAGATTATACAAGAGTGCAGAGAAAGAAAATCCTGTGCCGGTCCTGTGCTCTGTCCTATTCTTCAGATTCAACGTATTCCATGAAGGTGGTGATTTCCACTTTTGGCAACAGAACCATTTCTCTCTCCGTCCACCACCAACGTCACGTCACGGCAGTTCGCGATGACATCCCTCATTGCGATACTTGACCTCAAGGGCAAGCCACTTATCCAGCGATCGTACAGGGATGATGTTCCAGCGTCATACGTAGAGAAATTCCTTCCCTACATCCTAGACATCGAGGAGGAGGGCCAGCAAGTGACGCCCTGTTTCTCAAAGGAGGGTGTCAATTATGTGCATGTGAGGTTCAGTAATCTATATCGTGAGTAGCGGAGCGTGTCATCGTAGAGGCTGGCTGATGCTGTTCGCCAGTGTTGGCCCTGTCGAAACGAAATATCAACGCGGCAGAAACTGTCATATTTCTCCACCGGCTGACGCAGGTCCTCGTTGAATACTTCAAGGAGCTTGAGGAGGAGAGTATCAGGGATAATTTTGTGATTATATATGAGTTGATGGATGAGATGATGGATTTTGGGTATCCACAGACGACAGAGAGCAAAATTCTGCAGGAGTAAGTCTTTTGTCTTTTCAGTTTGAACAGTTCCCTGTGTCGTTGTTGATGGTTCTGTCTATCGGTACTAGAGCTTACTGACACGTTCTATTCTAGATACATCACGCAGGAATCGCATAAACTCGAAGTCCAAGTAAGGCCACCGATAGCGGTAACCAACGCGGTGTCGTGGCGTACCGAGGGAATCAGGTACAGGAAGAACGAGGTGTTTTTGGATGTTATCGAGAGCGTCAATCTGCTGGTGCGTGTCTATTGCTATTTTTCCATGTCTGTCTCACGTCCAGTAGGTCAACGCCAATGGAAATGTCGTAAGGTCAGAGATTCTGGGTGCAGTCAAGATGAAATGCTATCTCAGTGGAATGCCTGAATTGCGGCTGGGACTGAACGACAAGGTCATGTTCGAGAGTACAGGGAGGAGTGAGTCCACGACTGTGCGTTCTACCTATTCTTCCTTGACTGCGGTTTGTAGCTGCGCGTGGAAAAGCCATTGAGATGGAAGATGTCAAATTCCACCAGTGTGTGCGGCTATCACGGTTCGAGAATGACCGAACGATTTCGTTTATCCCACCAGATGGAGAGTTTGAACTGATGAGCTACCGACTGAGCACGCCGGTCAAGCCGCTCGTTTGGGTCGAAGCGGCGGTCGAGAGCCACAAAGGTAGCCGGGTGGAGTACGTGGTCAAGGTGCTTGCACAGTTCAAGAGACGGAGTACGGCGAGCAATGTCGAAATTTATGTGCCAGTACCGGATGACGCGGACAGTCCCAAGTTTAGAGTGCGTTTGCTGAGTTTTTTTGGTTGGTGTACCTCTGATATTCTTGATAGGCGTCGACAGGTTCGGTGCAGTATGCTCCTGACAAGAGTGCTTTTGTCTGGAAAATAAAGCAGTTGGGAGGAGGAAGGGAGTTTTTGATGAGGGCGCATTTTGGGTTGCCCAGCGTAAAGAGCGGTGAGCTGCTCATTCTTCGACTCTACTTCCAGCTAAGATTCTTACAGAGCAAGAACCGGAGAAGCGCGCGCCTATCACGGTCAAGTTCGAGATACCCTACTTTACTGTTAGCGGCATCCAGGTGCGGTATCTGAAGATCGTTGAGAAGAGCGGGTACCAGGCGTTGCCCTGGGTGAGGTATATAACACAGAACGGAGATGATTACAGGTGCGTAAAATCTTATTCGATTCAAATTGTTGCTGATTTTTTTCTAGTTTACGGACGGCACTAGAAAAAGGCAGTGCTCCAATAAGACCGCCTATGTAGGATTGCTATAGACTGGATTAAAATGTAATTATTTTTTAACGACGGACTTGGTGATCGTGATCGTTTCTCTGTTTCTGTCTTCCACCATGCCCACACCCTCGCTCGATGGCAACTTCATATTCCCTCGCTCAGCTGGGCCACAACGCTCAGTTCTCCCTGTACGAACAACAGACACCAGTGGTAAATGGACCGTCTCGCCTGAATTCGGTGACGCTCTGCTCCATGCGATGCGTGAACAATCGTATACGCGTATTCCGTCCATTCTTGAGCTGCCTCAGCCAAAGAGGCCCGAACTGCTGGTACCGTCGCGAGACGCCCGGAGACTGACGAAGAAAACACGAATCGCTGTTCGGGACAAGACTCCGCATCGTTTCGAGGTCGTTCCGTTGCGTGAGGTGCAGAGGAGAGCGCCGTCCCCGATGTTCAAAAAGATCACACCGTTGGCCAATGCGCGAGTAAAGCTGAGGACCGTCAATGCTGAGAACTCAGAGCTGCCGCCGCCGCCAGCAAATAGCCAGAGTCGGCCTCCCAGTATGAAACCGTCTAATGTCCAACTCACTGTTATGCACACGAAATCAGTTTATCCAACTTAGATCCCACCAGTGTGCCAAATCGGCACACTGTCGGGTGGTCTGAGGACATTCAGTGCAGAAGCCAAATACCTTACAGCCTGAAACGACGCGCCATCTATACCCAAACACTCTTCATTCCCAATCTTCCCGCGACAGTTGAAGAAGGCCCACTCGTATCGTCGCCGACATCCATTTCGGCCGACAGCCTCCCTGCTCTGGAGGATACCACGCTCATCGACGACGAGGGTTCTAAGGTTGCTCACCCGAAATCCAATTCGCTCGCAGCATCGTTCCAGACTGGAAAGGTAGTTTCGAAGCACCATGCGATCGCCATGGAGCTGATGGAGGCTATTGACTTGGCTATTAATGAATGGGAGAATGTTACTGTAGGATAGCGCCCCACAGGTCCAGGCAATGCCAATACCACGACTAGACACATTGAAAAACTTCATGCCGGCTGTCTGCTGAAACGTTGAGTGCCAGGAGTTGTCGGTGGCCGAACGGTCAAAGTAAGGTGAGATTGGCGGAACATGTAGAAGCACATAAATGATGAATCGTGGATCATCACACTGGCTGCCATCATTGCCGTTGTCGTTGCCATCGTCGTCGTCGTTGTTGTTCAGGTCGTAAGGTGTCGTCTAGTGTCGTGTTATGGTAGTAGTATCGAGCAACGTCAGCGTGAACGGTCAAGGCGCCGAGTCAGGCACTGAAATTGAAATTTGCTGAGCGGAGTGAAAAAGGTTGACAGGCATGGCAACGGCAACGGATACAGTACTACCCTTCCTTTTCCTTTCACCTGCTCGCTACTTACCTTCTCCCCGTCGCCTGCGTCCTCCTCGCCTGCTTTCTGCTCCCACTGACCTTTGCGGTGGATGTCGGGCGTCGACTTGCTCGAGTCGTATATCGCGCTGCCCTCTTCTTCGTCGCGATCCGTTGTGCTACAGAGCATAATTAACGGTATGCTCCGGTCGGTCGCTCTATCCGAGATTCACTAATCCTTATGGTTCTCTTCTTTTGCGTCCAGCGCCGCCACTCACGTTTAACAAAGATACCCGTGGAACTCTCATCGATACCATTCTACATGACCTCAAAGGTAGTTCTAAACATGGCACTGGCAACGGGAGATTGTCGTTCAAGGGTGCGGCGTCCGTCCTGTGTCCATTCTTTCCAGCTCACTCCTCGGAAGACGCTGCTCAAGCCCTGCTCGCTGTGAAAATGCTTGGAAAGAACCCATCAGGATCTGAGACCCTCGCGACAGCATCGACGCTGAGCACCCTCCTGGGGCTATCAATTTCACTTAAGGACGATCCAGAAGCTTCGAATGAGGCGTTAAGGTGTATGGCGAATACTATGCTTTTATTTGATCATGCCAGGGGGGCCTTCATTGGCAAAGAGGTTGGAGGCGGCGAAATTTGTGTCGGCATGCTTGATGTGAGCCTTCTTCGCTTTCTTCCTCGCTCCCGCTCAGTTTGCGCAGAAATCGACTACGCCGGATCAAGTTTTCATTCTGTCGAGGATATTGTTCTTGGCGACAGTGTCGGGGTCGTCCTGGATCATTTCGCTCGTCGAAGATCACAACCACAAACGGAGAGGCGTCGTTGATATTATTGCGAGCAAGCTCGATGCCATGCTCGTCGCCATACAGGCTGGTACCAAGCTTGGACGTGAAGCCATGGCGGATTTGCTCAAGTTCACGTTCAATCTGTTGCTGCATTACCCAAAGGTGCGCTGCAAGATTTCCTGTCGTGACTGCGGATCGGCTGATGGCTGGCAGATGGTCGATGCTGAGCCACAGACGCCGCAAGCAAATGATGGGCAGAAGGCATTGGGCGACTTTTGGAGTCCAAATCTTGATGGGTTGCTGCCGTCTCTACTACGAACATTCTACTCGTTGCCACCGACCTTCCCCAGCCCTTTGGTGTCGCCGTTGACTCACGTTATTCATGCCCTTATCACGATACCCATCACGTCCTCCCTCAGGCCCGTATGGCTTGGTCCCTCGACTCCTCAGCGCCGCAGTTCGTCAAATAGCAGCAGCCCCAAAACATCTACCAGCAATGGTGGTGAATCGCCGGTGCTCTCTCAAACTCCTCCCAAGTCAAGTACGCTGGACCGGGCTCTGTCAGTATTGTCTGTTGCTGGGCGTAGATCTTTGTCACGAAGTCCATCACCAAATACAGCAACACAACAAGACATTCTCCTCCGTGCCCATGACCTCCTCGAAGTCTCCTTTTCACACTATTTTCCCGGCTCCATTGACCCTGACGACCCCTCTGTTCGCGAGCGCCCAAAGAAGGAGCAGCTGGACGGATCCCTTGATGATATTATTTCACCGCTAATTGTGCTTATCACACGTCTTTGTCTCGCAGATGAGACATCGCGGGGACGTCTGCGTGAATGGATTGTACCTCCGGATCTAGACAGGTCGGCACCGTTGGAGGGAAGGTCAGATATGCTTGGTCGCTGTTTGCGTCTTATGGGTAGCGTCTACCACTCCCGGCTGAAGGACTCTGTGGGGGAGATGCTCTTTGCAATGGCCGACTCTGACGCGCGGATATTATCAAGCCTTGTCGGGTATGGCAACGTTGCTGGGTTCTTGTTTAACAAGGGCATCATGTCCGCTCCTCCGCCCCCTGGAAGTGAGGATTCCCCTTCGTCTGCTGAACCTGTCGCGCCTGATGGCAAGGTCATCAATCCGATTACGGGCAACACTATGGAGAAACCGGACTTGCCTGAGATGACGGAAGAAGAGAAGGAGCAGGAGATGGAGAAGCTGTTCGTGTTGTTCGACAGGTTGGAGAAGAGCGGTGCACTGCCAAAGAGCCAGAATCCTATTCGGAAAGCGATGGAGAAAGCAGCGAGTCAATGAAATGACGAACGAACAAACGAACGAACGAACGAACGAATATCGACTATTATGTTACGACGAGTTACAGCACATCTTGTACTTGTACAGACGCCGCTGGTATGTCGGTGGGATACCTAAATAATTACCGTAATATAATTTCCTTGTGTTACTTGCATCGAGGGTATAGGGGAACAATTATATCCAATTTTGAACTCCGACCCGATCGACTCGGCTTGTCTTCCGACCACCATCATGAATGTGCGTCCATGTTATTCTTCATTTCTATCGCGTTTCTTACGGCTATATGTGCAGAATCTCCTAAGGACACTTACGGAGAGTCATGTCAAAGAGGCATTTCCGAATACAGACCTCAAATTGCTGTTGACGACGGTCAAGGAAGGCAGGGTACGTCGCGATATCTTGCTTCAATCCCAGTCAAGTAATCCTCTTCCAGCACGCTGGAGACAAACTATCAGATCCATTCTATGATTCCCTCGACGGTTTACTTGCTGATTTGCGGACAATCACTATAGTACGTCATGTCTCAATGATGTAACGCGCTCCACTAAGCCGTCGGGTTCACCAGGACAATCACGATGCAGAGGCTTTCCTCAAACCAGTTTCCAAGACGGAAGCTCCGGATTATCACACAAGTATGGTCCCCTGAATTCCGTTTATTGCTTGCTGACCTGCCTCAGTCATTCAAAACCCTATGGACTTCCAGACAATGGCCAGAAAAGTCAAGGCGAAGAGCTATAAGTCCAAACGCGAATTTCAGGACGATTTGGACTTGATATGGACCAATTGCTATACTTACAATGGAGATGTGCGTCTGCTGTAATTTTCTCGTCTTTTCGCGCTGACAGCGCGTTAGAATCATCCCCTACGGCACTGCGTCAATCGGCTTAAAGGCAAGGCAGAGAAGTTGCTGCGAAATATCACAGATCGCAAGGAACGAGCCGATCCTGTAATTCCTGCTGCACTACAGGGTCCCAAAGTGAACGGCATGGTGAACGGATACTCAAGGCCCGGCATGGTACATCCCCGGTCTTCGAGCTCAGCCCCCCTCGCTAAGACTATTGTCAAGCCTACTGCTGTGCCTCTACAGCGCCGAGATTTACCTTTTGCCGACTCGCCAGCACTGATTCGGACGCAGCATGGTATGTCGTTGTTCGCGAAATTAAACCACGACTCTCCTCCACGCGACGAACTTCGGGTGTTCGCACCGGACTATCAGAGCGATGATGTTGATCCGATTGAAGCGAAAGTAGAGGCGGTAACAGGCGAGAAGCGCAAGCTGAATGGGCAGATTGCTCGCCCACGCAAGCGTGCACGAGTGGAACCTCAATACCCGATCCCTCTTCCCTCCGAAAGCGATGATATCACGCAGATGTGGTGGATGAGAGCGCAATCTGACCTACTGCTTCCTAATGGTCTGCCTGGGGTCCCACAGTCTCGGCCACCCAAATCTTCACTTCCGAAGCGCAAGAAACGACGGAAACAGCTAGACCCTTCAAGGCCGAATCCCAAGTCGTTATTGACACTCATGAACAACAACATACGGACGATGAGAAGAGTGAGGCATACCCATGCCAAGTTCTCAGCACTGGGAGGAACCGGCACCGAGGATAGCGAATCATCATTGGGAGATCCGCCTGGAGGCATGATCGTGCCTGATGAAGAGGCAGCTGTAGTGGATGTTGACGGACGGCCGTGGAGTTTGGGGAAGAAGAGAGTGAGAATAGAGGACATCGGCGAAAAGAACAGCACAGATTGTTTGCAGTGGATGAGCAAGAAAGTTTTGGAGCATTCGGGGTTTCAAGGTACGTCCGCGTCTCGGTTGATGTGGTATGTAGCTCAAGTGTCACTTATCGCAGGCACTTCGCAGTCGGCTTTGGATGTGCTTGCTGGAGTCACTTCGGATTATCTGTTGAACGTTGGACGAACCATCAGATTTTTGTCTGACAAGTATTCAAATACAATGACTGCAGAGGTGAGCACACATGCTTGTGTCGGTGCATGTACATGCCGCTGAACGAGTCGCAAGGAAATCATATTGCATACCTTATTTGAGAGTGGCGTGACGCGAGTCCAAGACCTTGAGCGGTACATTTCTGACGACGTTGAGCGGTATGGATCGCGACTGAATGATTTAGAGAAGAAGCTTGTTGGGGCATATCGAGAAGCGGTCAGCACAATTTCTACAGCTTTTCTCTGAATATTCTGAATATTTCTTTAGACTGCTGTCGAAGCTGTAGAAGACGAGGGCCTATTCGAAGAAGAAGACGAAGACGAGGCTGGTGTCTTGGCTCTGTATGTGATTTTATGCTTCTGCCCTTCATCTATATCTTACGAAACCTTCTTTTCAGAGGCGACTTTGCGGAGTCTTTGGGAATGGATTATCTGGGTCTACGCGAGCTCGGTATTGCGGAGGAGTTAGGCATGTCAAGCCTCACTATTCCGAAGCGACTTCTCAAAGGCAAGAAACGGTCAAAGGGGCCGTTGTCTGCTACGTACGTCCTCTTATTGCCTCGACATATATGTGCTGACTTTCTCTGTCAGTGTCAAACCGTCAGAACCGCCCCCGCCCTATCCACCGCCACTTCCTTTCGTTCCTCTCACTGTGGGCAAAGTCAGCAACCAGATTGGCTTGCTCAAGTCCTTCTATCAAAGTCGTATCACAGCTATGTCGGCCCCACCACCACCACCACCTCCAACTCTCAACTCGTACCCCCTTCTTACAGACTCCTCAGGTGCTCCAATACCCATACCTGTGCCGCCGCCGCCACCTCCTCCCAATATTCCACCGCCAGATACCCCCATACCAGATGAAGCACCACCAGCGGCCCAGATGAAGATAGGGCCTCTGGGACAGATCATCAAAACGGGAGGGACATCTGCGAAGAAGAAGTCAAAGCCTGCTGGTTCTGCAGCTCCATCAGGGAATACAGCTACAACCGTGGTGGGAGCGGCAGGAGGTACACCAGGAGAGGCTGCTGCACCAAAGAAGAAGAAGGGAGCTACAGGTGTGGGTACAGGGAACGGGCGCAAGAAGAAGTTACTGGAAGCTGCGCAGGCGCAAGCACAGGCACAGGCTCAGATGTTCCCTGGGGTGATTGTGGCCCAAATATGAATGTTGCACGTCATTAATACGATTGTTTCATTTAGAATGTCTGGAGAAATGTCCACGCAGTGGATAGGGCAGACCAAGTTGAGTACTTTCCGCCCTACGTTACTGTGACGTGACCGAGCAGAAAAGGAAATTTTGTAGTCGTGTTTGGCACAGTCATTGCATGTCCTCGCCGCCTTTCCCGTGCCTTCTGCCGGTTTATGTTTAAGTCCTTGTATTAAGTGGCTTAAGAACTTATTTTATCAAAATTCAATAAAGGATATCCTTATCCTTGGTGAACTTTCCCAAATAATTTAGTGGCATGGAGCATGATGCATGCAAAATCACTTAGATTCAGTGCTACTGGTCTGAATATTAATTTGAGTTCAAAAAATGCTGGTGCTGATATTTTACTTCTGGTTATCTGAATCTAGCTACAAGTAATGCTCTGGTAGCTATCCAAGATGGTGGTACTGAATAGAATAGAGTGGGTTACTGCCAAATGGCCCAGAGGAATATTGGAGTGGTCCTGATGGTGAATATGTTATGAAATTTGAATAAAAGCCATTATATGTTGTTGCACAATTTTAGCCTCTATATCATGCTTAGCCAAGAATTGGTTTGAGGTAGTGAGACAGTAGCTTGGTTTGAGATTGCTGAGACTTTTTTATACAGTATTTATGTTATAATTTTCCTGCTTATCTTATCTTATCTTATCACAAGCAGCTATCTCTTTGGTGCCTATCTTTTATCATAATTGCACTCTCCCAATCTGGGCTGGTAACCATGCTCATGCTAAACAACTTATGTTATTATACTACAATGAGTAGCTTTCTGTTATGATTTTTCTATCTTTTCTTTGTTTTAACCCCTATTTATGCTTAGTCAGGGCACCTAGACTGGTGCTTAAGACTGTGAGACAGGCTTAGTCATCACAACAAGCTGAGTCTGTCATTGTCTTCTGACATAATAATGCCCTTCAACAATACTCAACAACTCTTTTGTAGATGGTAGCAACACTCAAAGACAAAGAGCACAAAGACTTGGACATACACAATTAGTAGTAGTATATTTATCTTGACAGATGGATAGTATATAAGTAGAATAGTTCTTGCTGTATAACCCCAGCTTTGAGCTAAAGTTTATTCATCTATCATTCTATCTCAAGCCAACTTGTAATGGCCTTAAGACACAAAGCCATATGAATGCATACAAGTGAACTTGAGTGTGACTGTATGAATATGATACAGTGCTCATTTATCATATGTTCAGATCACATGTTGCTTGAGCTTAATAATTAGCTTGAAGCTTATGCTTTTCTTTCCTTATGCACAATAAGCATAAAGGAAACCAAATGCCATCCTTGAACACTTCATCTCTCAATCTAACTGATGACTTCTTTAAGCTATTAGCTTTTATCATTGGAATGCTTCTAGGCTTATTGGCCATCATACAACTTTGCCATGGATGACAATCAGTATCAGCTTGGATAGTCAGGCACTATCAGGCATTCCAGCAGGTACAACAGATTTTATGCAATGTCACCTCTGATCTCCCCTTCTATGACATCCCTGCTTCTGTCAGAGTCTTCTTCTGGCCTCTGCTCAGACCCATACCTAAAGTCAGACCTAGTGGAATAAATACACAAAGCACTGAGAAAGAAGAAGAAGAACACTGATATCTCTCTAGACCTATCTAATTCAACAGCAGAAACCACAACAATCAGCACACAGGCTTCAAAAACCCATAGGTACTGTTAAACTTCCCTTCAGTCCTAGACTACAAAGATGAGAACCTCTCTGAGGACTTCTTCAATGATAAGCCATCCCCTGACTCTTCTACTGCTCTACTAGAGCATGAGATTGGAGACTGTGCTTGGGACTCTCTTGATGCCACTCAGATAGCTCCAGGATCTCAACATACATCTTCAAACTCTGGACATGGCTCTCTCTATATGATACCAGCTGGAAGCTCCACCTTGTCAGTCTACACCAACTATGGTAGTTATGGGGCCACTGATCTCTGAACAAACAATGAGGATCTACCAGAATGATAGAGGGAAAGGCTCATGGCCCAAGTTGACTCAAGCAGAAGACTTTATGCCTAGTACAGCCCTGAGAGAGGCCCATGAGATTACTCTACAGAAGAACCATCTGATGATTACTATACTGCCACCACTTGAGCAGAATGGGCCAGGATAGAAGCAGAAGAATGAGCCTAAGATGCAGCTAAAGATGCAGCAGCCAGGGCCCAGAATAAGTATGAAGAAGCCCAGTATGATTGTCAGTACTGATGATGACAATGAGAGCTCAAGGCTGCCACTTGGAGATCTGGTTCCCCAAGCTAGTACAGTCTCTGAATCAAATCTACAAGCTCTCCCTTCTGGGAGCCCAGTATATCAACAAATACTGACTCTTGGGCAGAGTCAGCTGAAGCCATCTCTTCCAGTGAAGCTGCTCAGAGAAACACATATTTCTCTTCCCTCTAAACAGATAGTATTGCAGATATCAATACTATTCTCTTATACTCTGAGTCTGTACTCAATGCTTACAGACTTTGAGTCCCTTTTAACACTCACATCTCTGACCATGGGCTCTAAAGATTCCTTGCAAGAAGAGTTGCAGCACTTCTCCTCAATTTCTGATTTTATTGAAATTTCTGCCAGTATTGCTGAGAACTGAAGGAGCAAAGAATGCATAGCAGATCTTGAAGAAACATTGAAGCCAATACTGACTGATATAATGAACAGCCTCCTACTAGAACTGACTCTAACAATACTGGCCTCAGCAATAATAATGACAACTAGCTTCCTAGTGACTATCAAGCTCTCAGTCCTGTCCATCTATGACCCATGTGACAGCTTTCTCATTGAAGACAGTATGAACAAAGAGAACAAGGAGGACAAAAAAGAGGATGATGAAAGGAGAGATCAGGACATCCCTCTTAAATAGGGAGATTGAGAATACACTAAAGAAGATACAGATAAAGTCCTGAACAAGAAGGTGCAGTGAGCATGGGAGCAGGAATATTTAAGGCTGTATCAGGAGAGAACAGTATTCCTGTGGAGGAATGTCAATTGGCTAAGAACCTCTCTGGAAAGGGGGTATACTATTTCAGATGACATTGAAAAAAAGACATTCTACAGGATGTGGTGACTGAACATGCTATTAGGATCTACAATTGAATCCACTCTAAGGACCAACTCAGCAAACTCCTGCTATACAGATCAAAGTACAAGGTCAAACACATACTATAGACCCCCTCAGTCATGCTGAAATATGTCATCTAGATAGCACCCTCTATCTGAACCACTAGCATCAGATACATGTATTCTACACCATCAACTCAGGCCACAGCCACTCAGCTTATTCACAGCCAGACATGGCCAACCACTTGAAGTGCTGGATTCTGAAACTCTTAGATCAGCCAAAGAAGCTAACTCCTTAGAGGGCAACCACCACCTGATAAGGCTGAAGGAAGCAGGAAGGATCCTATAAAAGATGACCCCAAAACCATCAGACTAGAGTTCACTGTGCAAAATAAGGTAATCATATGAAAAGAGATGGAACCAATAGGAAGTCCTGTTGCTGATAACAACTCTTTACACTCATTTCCTGGGTTGCCAACTGAATAGTGACAACCACCCTTTGACCAATACCCAAACCTGATGGGGGCACTACTGGAAAATGCTGCTGTGCTCCAATGCAGATCTGACTTGCTTTGAAAACCCTGCTCTTTCAAGAGCATATCCAATGATATCAACTGCTTTCTCATTGACTGTGAGCAGTACTTCAAAGTCTATACTGTCTTTCTCAGTATGGACATAAACAAGGGTGCATTCACCATATCATACCTTAAAGACAAGATGAAGATCTGATGGATCCTCATATTGCCTAACTTCTATTCTATGATCAGGTAATCACCAACTGCTGTTCTGGTCCATCTTCAAACAGATGCTTAACAACAAGTTCATTGATTCTATAGTACAAGAAGTACATAAGAGCAAAATCAAGAAGTACAAGATGGTCAATAAACTGGCCACTGAGTATTTTGACAAACTGAAGCAACTCACAAAGCTTGCCAGAATATGAGAGGACATTGCTGATGGTGGACAGATAGTCAAAGCACTCAAATGAAGGGCACTGCCATCTTACATCAAGATAGTTTCAGACATTAGTATAAATATACCAAAGAAGTACAACACATGAAAGGAGTGAGTCATTGAGATGTATAGGGAATGACAGCAGCAGAAGGCTGAGCAGTCAAACTTACAGGATGAACATAAGCTCTATCAGCCACTGAATGCAAAATCCAACAATCAAACCAGCACTGCTAAGACCATCATCTCATTCTTCAGCACTCCTACTTATAGAACATAGAAAGTGAAGACAGGCACTATATACACCAGAGCCAGTAAACCAATGAACATTGACCAATTAAAGAAGGAGGGCAAATGTTTTAACTGCAGACAGAAGATAAATTCTAGAAACATGTCCTGCTGGTTTGGATTGTTACTTCCTGCAGGGCTGTTGGAACTGTCTGGGCTATTAGGACCACCTGGACCTTCTGGCCCTCCTGAAAAAGAGTTTGGTGGATTACCACCTGGTTCCCATCAGATGAGAGTATGAGTGAGAGTGTTTTCACCTCTGACTTCCAAGTTGAGCTGTCTGAATTCCCATGCATATTGCCCAGAGATAAGGGGTCTATTAGAGGGTCAATTTAGGTGCCATACATCAGGCTGGTTCATCAGGCTCTATTGGTTGGAATGCTAATAGTGTCAAAAGGGTTAGGGGAATTGTTGTAATTAAGTTGGCAGGCAGTGAAGCTAGAGTGATTGTAGATTTCTCTATAGGAAGGTTGTCTTTCACTGGAGGCTGATCCAAAAAGGCCTGGTTGTTCTTTTGAGACAGAGGCCAGAATGTCTTCTATGGAAAACATGTTGCAATGAGTAGGCTGGGTTTATTCAGGATTGATTTCTGTAGGTTGGGTAAATATGATGGACATGATAAAATTTTTTGACTCAA